CAGGGCGACGAACGGAGCCGTGGGGTACGGCTTCGTCATCTACCGAGACTCCAAACGCATAGCACAAGGGTGCGGCCGACTCGGACTAGCAGAAGTGTTCGACGCCGAGGTCGAAGGGGCGCGAACCGGCCTCAGAAGGGCTCTGCTCACCAATCGCGGTCATCCAATCCACATATGTATCGACAACACCAGCGTTATACAAGGCATCCGCGGCAAGGCGCCGGACTCGTCACAAGACGCGTTCCTCGAAATCCAAGAAGCGGCCAGGATATTTGATATACGGACGCACTGGTCCCCGGGACACCAGGGCATCGAAGGAAACGAGGCCGCGGACCGGCTGGCCAAAGAAGGAACGACACTGCCGGCGCGGATGGGTCAAATGGCAACACTAGCGGGCATCAAGCGGCTTGCAAGGGAAAAATTACAAAGCCAGCACAGGAGATGGTGGTATAAAGAGCGAAGGCCGCGGTACGCGGACTTGGGGCTTGAGGCAGCTCTGTCCAGCCCTCCTGAACTGGCCTTGCCGCGGGCTACGTTACATCACCTGCTGGCGGCACGATCGGGTCACGGGGACTTCGAGCAATATCACCGACGTTTCAACCACGACGACGCTCTAATGATGTGCTCTTGTGGAGAGGCGAAAGACGTGGACCACCTGGTCTACTGTCGACTAACGCTGGCGAGGAGGCAACGGTGGCCGACCCTCCACTCTCGCAGTATGCCCGAGCCCATAGGCCCTATGGGATCTCTCGAGGCCTACTTCAAGAGATTAATCACCGACCCACGAGGCTTCGAGGCCTTTCTCCGCGTGACGGACTTCTTCCAGAAGATCTGTCTGCGGTAGCAGCATCCACACCTACGTAGATGTGAGTGCGGACTACAAAGAACCTCCCGATTCCAAGGGACGATTTGGGAAAGAATGAAACTGGGGCACCAGCGGGAACCGGGGACAGACAGAACGCGTAGTGGCCACAAGGCATGATTTGGAGGACGATGTAAAGAGACGACGTACTGTAGAGTAGGTAGCCTTGGCTCACGGCCCTCCACGCCATATACCCTTCGGGAGGTCTGCGGTAAGGGCTCTAGCCCGGCCGCCACGGCGTTAAATACAACAACAACAACAACAACAACAACAACACACCCATCCAGTAGTGAACACACAGTCACATAGATAAGCCTTCAAACGCATCAGCTTCAACACATATCACCAGTAGGTTTACTGATCCTCACGTAACTGAATTTCGACTGTAATCAGAAATACTCACCGTGTCGCTCAGTCTCTTCTACGCCGTTGACTTATCAAGCTCATCGATACGTCAACATGTGCCAACTCAACATCATCTATTGGCCCAAATGCTGTGGCAGACGCGAAAGAATGTTAAATTCCCCTTGCAATGACGCTCGCAACTTCCCCGAAGGCCAGTGCTTCTCTCCGGCGCGAGAGGAGCTGGTTACCCGGGATTATCCTTGCCATTACTGTATAGTCCAAGCCAGCCAAGCACAAATGGAAGAATGGGAGCCAGACGCAGACAAGAGGAGATTCTTGATCCTAGAGGCCCCCACTATAATTGAAAAGATTGAGACTGAGCCAAGAGATAAAGAAAGGCGATCATATCAGAGGGCTCTGAATACTGGGCGGGCGATAGCGATTATGAACCAGAGGAAGGCGGAAAAGGCCGCAGCAAAGGCCAAGCCAAGAACGCCTACGCAAGAAGATTCCATGGAAATTGACGAAGCTGGCTCTTCTGCACAAGGCGGCAAGGCAGCTGGCAATTAGCAGGATCAGCCCATTTAGACATTCTGTCATTAGCGCCCCTTTGTGGCTGCTCCAACTTCATAGCAGGCCTGTAGCTTGACTAGACTCTAGCTTTTAGACACTGAAAAAATCAGACTTCGTTGTCACCAATTCTTTGCGGCCCATGCGTGCTGCGTTGTTGTCCTTCGCTCTTCAAGTGGAATTGAAAACATTGTCATAAGGGTAGCCTGGCTAGCAGGGGACTTGCTCAAGTGCCGTAGGATCCTGGTCGAGTTCAGGGCCTGTTGTTGCAGACTGTCACCTAGTTCTGGATGAAACTTATTTTTCGAATACATCATCTGGAATGATATGCTGCCCGATCAATAAGAAAGTCTCGTTCTTCATGTATGCAATGCGGCTAAGGTAGTGCATGAATTCACTCGCACACGTCTTGACCTAAAATTTGAAGTTTGTCATTCAGACTACCATAACTCATTAAATATGTCACTCGTCAGATCCGCAAGAGACCTGGTATTTTATGGCTGCCAGTCGATCTTCAGCTGGGTAGTTCTTTTCGAAAAAATGCTGACAGGTCAGTGCTTTGGCCTCTAAATACTAAGGTAAGGTAAGAAGGAATCATGCCCGGTCCGGACAACGGTGCCGGGTGGACCTGCCGGCGTGCGGAGCTGGCGCCGGGGTCCTGGATAGCCGAAAATTTGCCGCACTGACCAATGAAACGACGGTTTAGCGAGCTGACTAAGAATACTGGGGCCCAAGCTATGATCAAACAGAGATGTTTTCAGTCAACATTCTCCTGTGATGGTCGCGTGTCTCGACATATCTACAGAAGCTTGCAGGCTCCACGACAAAATGTCGGTCCAAGAGTATGCGGTATGTTATATCTGAATTCTTGCCGGCAAGGAAGATTCGCTAAACAGGCTCAAAGGTCAATGAGTACACCGCCAATGCGCAACCTCACTTCAACTTATTAAGGATATTGGGCGGATGGGGCAATGTCAAGTTAGTTCGATCACTTCTCCTCATACCGTATCCAAGCTAATTTTCGAACAGTGGTCCGGGTCTTCTGTACGCACCCTCAATCTCACGGTACGTGGTCAAGCTGACATCATCTTAGCATGCTCCGGAGCATGCTTGCGGGCACATCAACGGCCGCTGTCATAGGGCTCTCCGCCGCGATCGTAGGGAGTAGCATCTGGGGCACCGCCGCACTACCCTTCATCGTCGGATCCTCATTAGGATTCGTACTAGGAAGCACCAGATGGTACGTCGTTGCCGTGAAAGAGTCTATGTTGCAGCTGGACAACTACCCCGCCATCTTGCGCCTCCACCTGATCGCCAACTTCCCCTGGAAACCGGAGCTCGGACGCCACAACCTCGACTGGTACAACGTCAGACGATTTAGCTCAAGCTGGCAGATGAAGAGCATGCTGGTGGCAAGTTGGCTGACCGCCCAGCCCGCGCTGGACGAGATTCGGACTCGCACTGAGGCTGCGCTGGTGGACACCTATCTTAGGCAAGGGGGTTTTGAAGGAGAAGGCCATGCTACTACACCGCAGGAACGCCAATGATTTGCGCGAAACCGCTGTTCGATATGCACTGGCAAGCCTGTAGTAGTCGCCCATGCACAAATGCAGAAAATGCTCTCATGTATTTTCTGCACGTGAGCGCCTGTTCACGTCCCTAACAGTTCCGAAGGTTAAAGCTAGCGACCTGCAGGCTATAAAGTGCAAGAAATCCCATTGTCTATTTACTCTTGACTCTCTTCGTCATGGATAAGAATCTGCTTATACCTACGAACTGGATGTTGACCCTTGTTGTTGTTCACCTGGAGAATGACATGCGAGGATGCCCCCTCGAGCCTGACGGCCGTAAACCTAGAGAAGATAAGCCAATGGGAGGCTGCTGACAATCACCAAGCACAAGCTTCAGGAGATCCTCGGCGGGACTGAAGGTTGCGTTGGGGTGTACATGCTTGTTTAGAGTAGAAACTACTTCGCCATATGCTTTGATAATAAGCTCGATAGCCTCTGGATGCGTCTCGTTCGGCATCCTGACTGAGGTTGTGGCGATCAGACCTTTGGTTTCAAACTCGTTTGAGTAGGTTAGATAGCGAACCATTGATATCTGATCATCAGGTTCATTGAGGATGTCCGTCAGGATGAATATTCGGGCTTGTGAGGAAACTGAGGCAACTTCGTCAAGTCATTGGCGGTATTCTCTCGGGTCTGGACATATCCAAAGAAAAGTGAGATGAATGCAAGGTATAAGAGCTCAAATGGGGTCATGTTGTCTGCGTTGATAATGATTCATGGCCACTGGCTCGAAGATGTACTATTACTATCGCGATATGCCCATCTTTATATGTCTCCTCCTGAGTCGTAGCAGCTTGTGTGACAAGCGCTTGAATTGCCCGAACAGGGACAGATAGATGCATGAAGTTATGTCAAGCGCATGTCGTTGAGTCTTACGGTGATTGAGAGACCTTGGTTCCTGGAATCGTAACATCCTACTTTCACAATTGAGGTGGTCTAACGTAATGATACTAGACCTCCTCTGCAGGCACGGGTCCTACCCCGCATTCCCAGAACCGAAATTCGAATCTGGATTCGATCACCAGGCGCAGCCGTGGAAAAGTATCTAGCAATGGGAATGAGGAAGACGCGGAAGGAAGCGCGTAATGCCAGGTGTTGGAAGAAACATTCTCAACATGCATGGGTCTCGATCGCACCCGAGAGGCATGACGAGATGACTACCGCAGAAGTTGATAGGTCCATACCACCAATGACAGTATAATCGTATTCAGTCTTGCCAATTGACGAATCGCTGGATTTTCGCGTTCATAGTGTGATCCACAGGTCTAAATCAGGTAGATCTAACCGCTCCAGTAGCCATCACCACAAGAATCGTTCAATGCCCAGTCCTGGACCCAGACACTTGAGTTATCGTGCCCACCACTTCCGCAACTCCGTGTCTGGAGCTGATGCTACGCAGTCTAAGTTGGATTTGATCAAACCCCCCAAACATCTGCATCGTGACTCCAAAATCCATCGTAAGCAGAGAAAATATCCCCAATCGGGAAGTGCATTCTAAGCCTTAGACGGAACCGAATCACGGGGTGTCAAATACACCTTCAACGCGGGCTTGTCCCAAACAACCCACGCCTGCTGCCCGTCGGTCCACTTCCTACTCTCATGAGAAAGTCTCATCTCGAAATTCCAAATGATTCTGGCCAGGATAATCCTCATTTCGGTATACGCAAGGCTAGTAAGGTCTGTTAGTTAAGGTACTCAGAGTCTTGTGACAAATTTCTTAGGCTTGACCTACTTCATTCCAATGCAGTTCCTCGGCCCATAGCTGAACGGCTTTCTGGCTTCTCTTTGATCGCTAGAGAAGCGAGGATCACCCAACCAGCGCTCTGGGATGAAGGACTCAGGGAGCGTGAAGTTCTGAGAGCTGTGATACATTGGCCACTGAGGAATTCCAATGACGGTCTATGCAAGAAATTAGTTAGTAATTACAGTCCAGACTTCTTACGAAGTAGGTAGTCTCCCAACAGCGGATAGCGGAAATAGGGTCACTTACGCCTTCTGGGACAAAGAACCCATTGAACGTGTCGCCCCCCCTGTGAACCACGCGCGGCGAAGAGCCAGGAAGAGGCGGATTCAGCCGTAGGGTTTCGTCCAAGACAGCTAGCATGTATGGGAGGTTTTGGACTGAGTTGATGTTGATTTCTTCTTCCGTTTGAAACGTAGACAAGACTTCGTGGGTGAGCTTGGACAGAACTGCCGGGTGAGACGTCAAGAAGTACGTAACTGCTGAAAGTGCGGTCGCGGACGTCTCAGAACCTCCAAGCATGAGCAGGAAGGCATTGCTGACCATCTCGTGTTTTTGAATCTCCTGGTCATAGAAGATAACCAGTCAGCCATCAATGGTAACATCGATCTTGAGTTAGATACTGCGACTCACTCTTTCCCCCTTTTGTCGGATCATTGATTCCATGAAATCTGGGCGGGAATCCGCCAAGGCGATTCGCTTTTCGACATTCGCGGCAGCCAATGCGAAGTTCTCCTGCTCCAGTCTAGTCAACTCCTTCGGGATGAAGGCTTTCAGTAAGGTGGTAAAGGCCGGAAAGTGTTTGGCGATTCCAAGGTACAGTTGGTACTTGACGGTGTGTCCCAAGGCCACGATCCACGGGTGATCCTGCTCTTTCTCCAGACATCCCAGTGGCTCACCCCAGGACAGGTCACTAATGACGTCGAACGTGACGCGGTTATACCAAGACACCATATCGACAGGATGAGCCCCACCGGCTGAGTGCTTCCGCAGCCGTTGTAGCAGGAGGTCGACGTGGGCCGAGATGAGAGGCAGCTGATCCTTCATGGCCTGCATAGAAAACCCGTGCGAGAGAACGCGACGCATACGACTGTGGTCCTCAAGGTTCGCACCAAAAAGATTGTGTTCGTTGCCGAGAATGGCTAGTGGCTCCTTGGTGTTCTCGGGTACGCCCCCTTTTCGATGGCCGTTGTTGTCTTTCCATGCATCAGGATAGATGAAGGATAACTCGTTGTCGGCGATTCTGACAATAGGACCATACTTGTCGTGGAGGGCTAGGAGATGCTTGTGAGGCTCCCCGTCGACCTGGGCGAGGCTATACGGGATGCGGCTCGCAGCCCATGACTTGGGTCCGGGGAATCTTCGAAGAGGATGGAAGAAGACATTGTAGAAAGCTTTGCTGAGAGCATAGGAGATACACTAGCACACAGCCAATGGTGTTAGCGGGTAAGAGACGATATTAAATAGTACAATAGTACCAGAAGTGCTCAGAGCTTGGCACATACTGAGAAAACCACAACAAAGAGGGCTGAAAGAAGCTGGGCTACTTTTGGAAATGGGCTTCCAGTCGTAGACTCCATGTTGGGGAATGTTTAGGGCCGAAGCTGATAGCCCCTGCTTCGTATGTAAGATATGCGGAAAGTGGGATGTAAAGAGATGATGGAATGCTCATAATATCAAGCTATGGTCGCTACCTTAGCTATAAGTATGTGATCATAGGTCTTCGTTCGATAGAGTACGCATGCACGCGGCAATTGACCTCGAGGCTCGGGCTCTAGCACCCGTCCGAAGGCCGATGACGACGTTACTCGATGCTGCAGCTGCGCATCTAAGTCAATGCCAAGACAGAAAGACAAACGCCGTCGCAGGCATTGTCCCAAATGCCGATCAGGTTCTGATATGCGGGTTTGGATGTCCGGCATATTCTGAGGCTCCCGCAGCTCCAATATCTCCTCCTTCACCCTTGCTAGTACTCTTGTACAGGTGCGGGCCGTGCGGGTAGATGGCGGCGGACACGGATATTTTTCATCGGTCAAGGTCAAGGGTAAATGAGCACGATTGCGGCACCGCTCGTTGGTTGATTGAGGTGGAAACGGTGCGTAGGTGTGGGGTATCTCTCCAACTCCATTCAACAAGTTAAGGAGGAAATCCCCACGACTTTTACTTCTCGAAGCTCTGCCACATCTTCTGCTTTATGATCACCAAGTCCATTATATTGAGGTGCCAAAAATATTTGGGGATGCCTTGTGAGGTTGTTAACTTCGGCATCAAGTGATGGCTTGACTGACGTTGGAAGCGAGACATGGCTTGACGGACACTACTATCATCTAAGCTAATGGCCGCCCTTTCCCAGGTGGTTCTCCAAAGTAAATGACATCTGCCCCATGTAAGAGCCATTCCAGTCATCCACGTGGAGGTCCGGAAATGCGTTCGCTTCCAGATTCGACTCGAAGCAGGGCCAGCCATCCGTGGTAGGTTGCTGCAGGGGTAGGGTGATGGTGGTCTCCGCTGGCACGGCTATGCATGCAACCCCCTTCTTCGCCTTGATGTAAGCCTCTGCGATGCGGTACAGCGCCCGGCATAACTCGTATTGCTTCTCGCAGGATTCCACCAATCCGCTTAGGCGCTCGCTGATCTCAAGGGAGGAGCGCAGTAGGTTTAGATCTTGAGCGTCCGAGTTCCTGATGCAGTGGAGAAAGGTGATGATGTATGGCGTGTAGGAGGAGTAGAGCTGTGTCCTGTTAGAGGTTTAGCTGACACGTACGTGTCTGTCTTTTTGAGAGGAATGGCAGCATACCAAACGGCGTATGTAAATAGAGAAGCGTATCCTCCTGATGCGGACCGAGGGTACGCAGTGGCATGGGCAGTCAAGCCTTTTCTGGCCGCCTCGAAGCATTCCTCCGTGATGGCGCTGGCTGCATTTGAGCTGCTTGCCCCGCGATGTATGAGCGTTAAGATGGAATAATAGACAACCTCGAGTGCATCAAATGTGAATTGAAATAGTTCTATTCGATACGCAAGGGTATAGTCGACGCTGCGCCATGATTCGTACCACGTTGACAAACGCTTTGCAAGATGAGCCGCCACGGCCCGCCTCTCCTCGTCTGTCGACCGGGATGCTGCTGGAGAGTAAAGCTTTTCGTAGATCTTGCATTGTATTCTTCCGAACTCGATAAAGGCAGAAAACGAGGTATCCCAGGGTTTTCTCTCGGGTGTCTGAATGATTTCGAAAGGTTCGACGTCGACGTCAATGTCTTGTATGACCGGAGCTTTCCCTTGCGTGAGGGTCAGTCCTCGGTCTGCGAAGTATACGTGCCAGAAGAGTCGTCGTGCTCGCCGCGCCTCTTGGGTTGGTAACGCTGCCAACTTCCCTCTTCGGTGATAACCTAATGCCAGGACGTGTCTGGCGGCGGCCGACATGAGGCCCCATTGCAGCGGCAAGTTACCATCCTGTTGCGCCTTTAGACACTACATGTCCAAAACTCGAGTCAGTTCACAAGTTCGATCGTCTCGATAGCATAGCACGGACCAGGGTTGCTCCTCACTGACCGCCATAGATAATATGAGAGTGTGCTCGAATGTAGGCACCGCCATTACTTCGTACGTCTCAACTCCCGCTTTGAAGTTGGAGTAGCACATGTTGTATAACCGGTTTGCTTCTTCTGCACTGAACTCGGGATTCGACTCGAAATCAATGTCTCTCAGGAGCACCGATAAGAAGCCATTTAGCAAGTTGACTTCTCCAATGGTCACCGGCTCTACGGAGAAATAAACCCTTCGACATAGTTCCTCGACTTGAATGCGATTCTCGACTGCGTAGAATAGAAACAAAATAGAATGGTCTGCTTTGCAAGACAGCTTAGCAACTCTGCCGACTGGGGGCAGGGCTAGGGGAGAATTTATGTACTCACGGCTCACAGTTCGGAGAAGACGAATCACAAACTCGGATGGTGGAAGTTGTAATTCTGCCCCCTTGGTAGAATGAGGCTGGCGAATCTTCCGGTTCGATCGTGATTCCACGGGCGTCTCTTGTCGTTGGCAAATCCCCCGCAACGTTGCGAGCTCGTCAATCACGCCCGGAGTCTGAGCCTCTTCAAGTCGTAGCTCCTCTATTTGACTCGCAAGTAAAGTCTGTTGCCTGAACGAGGATTCGCCCTCATACGAGACGTGATGGTCTTCCCACAGGCAGTGGTGCGAGACTGCATCATCCTCAATGGTCGGAATCGTATTTGGTGTGGAAATTGACGTCGCTCTAATGCCGGGCTGGTCATTTTGATTCCTGAGAGATTCTTCAACAGCTTTCAATCTCTCGTGCAGTTGATGAATTGTTGGCGCGCCAGGGCTGTGGCTGCGGCTGAAATGTCAGCTCGAACCCAAAATACTCAGTTGCGGTCCCATGTGCCACTCGTACCTTTCGGCCCTTTCTACTGCTGGCCGCTGTGCAGTGTGTCGCCCTGCCGGACGGCATGGAATCTTCGATGTGACGCAGTTGGAACAAGGAACCTCTCGATTGCAGCGTGTCTAGAATGCTGCTTGTCAGTCCGACGATTGTGATCCTTAGAATGCTAACCGAAAGGGAGCGCGGAGAAGGTGGCGCGGAACGCGTGCCGCGGACCAGGTCCGGAAGGTCTCGGCCGGTCATTTATGACAGGGGACTCGGACATAGGGTTATGAATACCTTACGGATCCGACAGTTATGGCACTACAGTGGGATACCGGTCGTTAGCATACTCGACCGTCAGGCGCGGATTCCGAAAGGGAAGGCATACAGCTCTAGGAATGACGCTTGTTTTCGGTGTATGCGGCTCTGGGTCCATGATGTGATAGAAAACCCACGTCGCCGGATTACAAGTAATGAGGATGCCCTCTCGAAGACTGCCCTTGGACTAGTAGGTCGGGCTTGAGATTCCGTACGGCTACAGCTTCCCTTTTGCCTACGGGTTCTTCGAGCCTTTTTGTTTTTGTCAGCCACGGAATCCGTGGGACTCGCGGGGACGCACGGTCGCGGTGAAAGGGCCAAGACAGGGGTAGCTGTTTAGACTCTAATAGGTTTAAGCCCGGCCAGTGCAATTTGTATGTACGGATAGAGAGCGGACATTCCGCATACATAAGCAGGACAGCACAAGCTTTTCAGGAGCGATGTTATGCTTAGTAGTCGGAAGCGAGACCGAACAGCAGTCGTGATTTGTCAGTTTGCTGGCTACATCTGGTAGAGACTCGCCGGATGATGTCCCAATGCGCTAGGGAAAGCAGGCCAGGGTATGTATAGTTTCCGTACCGTTGGATCTACATGTACGTTATAATTTGGTCCCCTGTTTCAATCTCCGCAAGGCCCATCATCCAAGATATCAAAGCCATGTAAAATCCGCAATGCCGACATTCTGAACCGCGAACATGAACAATGACTGAGTCGAAATGTGGCTCAAATTGTTTTGAAATCGCCGACGATACAACGTTCATTCCGTTCAATGGCAAGGCTTCCTTTGCGGAACGCTCACCTGATCCGGGTTACGTCGGGCTACTTACGGCCTATCAATGGGCTGTGGGTTAGGCGGAGTGCATCGAAATTCTATCTTGCATGTCATCATACGAGTTTTACTGGGAGCTATGTCCGGCCAAGCCCCAACGACCCCTGCAGGTACACAATGAGCAGACCTCGAGAATCAAAGCAAGTCGAAGTTCGAAAAGCACCCAATGCCCCGATAGTTGTATTTGATGTCTATGAGTTATACTGACTTCTAGGGATGGGCCCATGGATAATTTTTTCCAGGATTCCCCTTCTTCGGAAAATAGAAAGCACAAAAATGCAACAATGCGCCTCCAGTTGTTTTAGCCCCCCAGATGCCACATTGAAGTCCTACGGCCTGAATTGTCGATGGTTCCATGGGCTTATCTTTCGGAAACCGGATCCCGGGCTCTTACTCGGCTATGATCCCGCAGCCTCTACGCTTGCCTCAATATCAGTGCTTCAAGAGAAAAGAAAAGCTTTTTCATGTAAGATCACAAGGCATTATTCGTGTCTCGCCATTTGCATTGAGCTCACACCTGGCACTTGAATCATCAAGGTCCTTACTCACTGACTCTTGCCGGCGGCCGCCTCTGCAACGGCAAGCACGGCTATGATACGTGTACAGGTGGTAAGCTCACAGTCGTCTCGAGTCATAGCATGCATTCGATTCTTACTTAGTCAATTGAAGCTAAAGATAATTTAAATTACAATTTACAAACCTATGAACTTGGAGCCTAGAGCCTTCTCACCGATTGGAAGCAAACTATTTTACCTAAGGTACCTTATGAATAGCACAACCGCTTCACATAAGAATGGTTACGCGTCCGAATACATCGGTGCCAGTGTACATATCTAGAATCTAACTGGCCGACCTTTTGATGCCAGATCAACATGAGCTTCAGATGCGCGTACTACCACAACGTTGTGGCCTATAAGCAAGCAACAAGCATAAGGTACTTGACCCGGGCCATTGGTAATAAGTCTGCATTCGTAAGAGCCGCCCTACCTTGACAGGAGGTTCCTGCCACGTGTCGGTAAATTACGAAACACCCACTTCGTATTTCGTAATTCGTATACTCCATACCTGGGCTAATTATGTTCAGACGACGTAAACATCGGCTGCACTGGCATGGCCCTTGTTGCGCATGTAGCGGGCAAATGGGAGAGCATGTATCGGACTCGCTTTGTTAATAGCGGGCAAGATCTCCCCCGTCTGGCTACCTGAGTCTGTAAAGCTTGTATATGTGGGCAATTGGTTATCCGTACGGAGTAGATGCAGCGGTCACCTATTTAAGTTCACGGTTCGGGGGCCCAAGAAACTGTCGCTAGGATCGCATTTGCATACAACCCCGGGGAGATTATTACTGATTCTGTCCTAGGTCGATGCATCAACATGGGACAAGAAAGCGCGCTTCTCAGGGGTTGCATGTCCTTTTCTTCGCCCGCGGAGGGTCGGTCTCGCGATATGGGATTTGTCATGGCGTTGAGGGGAATACATTGCCCTATTCGGAGCTCTCGCCGAGAAACAAGCGTAGTGTGCAAGGCCATTGGCTTGATGAGTAATGTTTGCAAATGTCTAAATATCTGTGGGTATAGTACACCGTCTATTGTACACTACGAAAGTCCGTATGCGGCCCACAACCGCCGAGTTCATGACTAGAGCCTAGAAGAAACTAAAGGTGATAGCTAAGCCAGCAAAGACAAGGCCAGAGGCCTTGGAAGTGACTGAGACAGCGCCGTTAGGTGTTTGAGAAGGCGAGCTGCTACTTTGGGCTGATGTCGGAGTAGAAGTGGACGAGCCTGTCGGGGACGTCGAGGCTATCGCCGACGCACCGGATCTTGTTGCCGCTGCCGTAGCCGTCGCGCTTCCCGAGGGTCCCGCACTGGAGCCCGAGCCTTGCCCATCCCCGTTGTCGTCGATGATCGAATCCCAGGACGGGAACGTCGTGCCGGGACACGCGGCAACGCACTCGTACGTGTTCTTGTAGACGCTGGGATCCTCGCTGGTCGTGTTTCTCTCGTCAAAGTACTTATCATTGCACTTGCGTGCGCACGAGTACGCTGTGCACGGGATGCGATCCATGTCGCCCAGCGTCGAGCCCCCGAGCTCCGTCTTGCCCCATTCTCCGGTGCCGCCCGAGAAGGAGAAGTCGTTGCTGTATTGGAAGCCCGAAGGTCCGTCCTTGTTCGGGTCCGAATTCCACTCCATCGCCGTGATCTTGAATTCGGAGCCGTCAGGGATCGCGTCGGCGGGGATTTTCACCGTCACGGAGGTAACATCGATCTTTGTGCCGTTCGCCAGGACGCACACGGGGCCGGTACCCCATCCCGGTGGAGTGGTTGAGAGATAGAGGTTGTAGTTGGTGAAGCCGGCATCGAAGGATTTGCTTCCGGTCGCTATGTCGTTTTCGATGGTGACTTCGACATCGGTGTCGGCTTTGACCGTGGTCGGGATGCTGATGCGGTCGAACGCCAAGGCACGCGACGCGCCTGCTAGCAAAACGCCCATTGGCCAGAGGAATGTTGATGAGATCATGTTCGGAACGTCGAGAGACTGATCGTGCAGTTGTAGCGAGCGGCTGATGAAGAAAAGCTGGTGGACCAGGGAAATAGTATTAAAAGGAAACTTATGAGCTGTGAAGACGAGGAAAAAGCTTTTAAATCGAGCGACACATCAGAATACGATGTTTTTGACTGAGGATTCTGCGAAGGATTCGATTTTGCCCCTGATCCTCAGCACCAGCAAGCGGGAGCCAATGCGGCCGATATTGGCTCAATAGACTAGCACTGATCGATGTTAGCGAGCGGCACAGGCTCGACTGTTGATCTCGAAAAGGCGGCTAAAACGGCTAATACGACACTGCTGCCTGAGACACGGTCTTATACATAATGTGAGTGACGCGGTGAGTCGGAATCGCGAAAAACAACCATGGTGATGATCCTTTGGCTGAGGACCCAAGGAAACAAACTTTGCCATGAGGCTTATACCACACCCGAAAGCTTACTTCTCAAGCTTCTCACGGGTCGTTGGAATCTCAGGGTGAGGTCTCATGAGTTCTTGCTGATCAATAGTCTCAGCCGCTTCTCATCCAGGATCTCGCCCTCTACCAGTCTAGCCGTCTCTTTTACTTCGCCATCTGAAAGCTCATAGCGAACAATCGTCGGCACATTGGTGACGTTCCACTTGGTTCGAAACACATTTGTAGGGACTTTCCACCTGGTTTGCCACTAAATTAGCGGGTGCTCGCCCCAATAAATCCCGAAAGTCCAGCTTTCAGCTGGGTACTCACTCAGGCCGCTGCCCTACTTCAACGAAGGCCATCTCCGGCGCGCTTACAGGCGAGAAGGCGGCTATGATGTGAGGAAGAGCGGCTCGGACATCGGGGCACCACGACTCTCCCGTATTAGGATGGTCTGATGTGGTGAATGTAATGAAAAAGGGGGCTGTGGAATTTGCCGTATTACGCCCTAGGGCGCTTGCATCGTCCGGCAGCTTGAAGTCGGGAATAATCGGCATTTTGGCGGAAGATGGCCGACACGTATGATCGAGCTTGGTAAGCTATTTTCAGTTTCTTGAACTAGTGAATAGCCTTTGAGAGTAAGGCTGCAAAGATCACCAGGACGCAGGCCGAGTGGCCATATAAAGCCGGCCTTACGCGGACCATACTCCAGGGTTCAGGCGAAATGACGCGATGCTCCTCCACTACTGTATTCCAGGTCAGATCCGCCGATTGCCTCCGACACCGGCTGATCCTGAGCTGGATCCACAGTGCCGGAAGTTTCGAATATGGAGTCTGCGAATGCCGTCACGACCGGCAAACTTCATACAATTCTTGCCGGTCCTCGGCATAACGAGACGAACCCGATGACCATGCGCAATTCGAATGCATCGATTCGCTGTGAATATGCTGACGATGTGGTTTGTTTATGCGTACTGTCAAATGTTCTAAAGCTTTCATACTATCATAAGTCTACCGAAGCAACGACAACGCGAAAACCATTCCCCCTCCAGAACCCTGTTGGTTCGAGGCTACCCCGGTAAGTACAATTTGCCTTCAACTCCGGGCTTGAGAAGCATCCGCCTCTCAGTACTCTTCGAACATGATCCGGGGCATCAGTAGACTCTCGCCCATCATCCCGCCAAGGATACTGGAAAGTTGGCGTGGCCATATCTTCGCCCCAGAGAGTTGAGCACCACTCCCATACATGCCCCGCCATGTCGTAACATCCGTACGGCGAGCGACCCTTCGGAAACAGACCGACAGCACAGGTCTTGTTAAAGCCAGTCTCATCGCCATTACCAGCATCTTCCTCCCAATTCGTACCCCAAGGGAAAATCAACCCTTCAGTACCCGTCTCACCTTGGTCACCCCTGGCTGCGCGCTCCCACTCTGGCTCTGACGGAAGTCTCACATGCTCGTTGGAATTGATTTTGTTTTCTTCTCTCCATCTTTCTGTAAGCCATTGGCAGTAAGCCCTCGCGTCATGCCATGTAAGGTCGGTTGCTGGGGCATTTGACCTCTCCGGATCTGCTCCATCGGGGCTCATCCAGTCGCGGCTAGTATCTCTGACAAAGGTATGGTAGTCTCGGTTAGTGACGGGATAGAGACCGATGCGAAACCTCTCGAGTGAGATCCTATTTAGGGGCTGCGAGTTGGGATGACTTTCAGATCCGATTAGGAAGCTTCCGGCGGGAACCACTGCGAGTCCAGTCAGATCTCGTGGGTCGCCATACCGTGACAGTAGGCGGCCAGCTTTCTCACGCTCGCCAGCCGACAATGCACCGTTCTCGACGATATCCAGAATGAGGCTTCTGACCTTGCTCTCAACTTCCGCGGATAATGGAATGAGACCGGCCACGAGTAAGGCAGCACGCTGAGAGCTGGCTAGCGATCCTCCGAGAAGCCCGTCGACAAGCTCGACAGACTTGTATGAGGAGCTCAGGCGTAACAGGCAGCTTTTCAGAACATGGTTTGAAACGTGAGGTTTTTCATGGAAGAGGTCGATAGCGATTTTGGGTGCCAGGCCAGCTAGGTACCGTGCAGCTAGTAGCCGATGCACTACGATCCTTTCTCGCGCGGGGTTGGACTGAGTCGAGGTCGGTGATATCTCATCCAGACTGTTAGGTGATAAGCCGTGTATTGTTAGCTTGTATGCTCTGTCTACTAGAAGCTCTGCAGCACCCGGTTCTGGATAGGTGGACGAAAGCCACGCATCAAGTAGCTCCTCGGCGCTGTCTCCAGGGTGGTTGGCTTGGATCGCAAAAGCGAATAATGCTGGATTCGACGCAGCTTCACCCATACCAGTTGGTATGGCATTCGCCGATTTCGATATTAGATTAACACATACTGCCTCTCGTCTTTGAGATTCTAGTAAGGGAAGTAATTCGTGTCGGACGACCTTGGCAGGACAACTCCAGCTGTCCAGAACATCTGCGTCGCCAAGTAAAAGCAGCTTAATGTCGGAACGCTCTGGTAGCAAGAGTAGTACCTGTGCAAGAATCCCGGTCAATTCGTTTCCTGCGTTCTGGAGATCATCGAGGATGATTAGCAGACCCTCATGTCGAGAATCAGGTGCGCTGAGAAGCTCCGGAATCGTGACTTCAGCCAAAGTTTTGAAAGCCTCGGTGCCATCCAATGCAAAATAACAAGGGGACAGTCGACCGATATTCCAACACTCTTCCTTGATATCACCAAGGTTGTTCCGAGCTAGCGGTCTAGCTTTACTGAAGCCGGAGGAGGCTAAGCTGTAGCATAGATGCTTAGCAAATGTCGTTTTCCCGCTTCCACTGGGTCCCGTCAAGAGCAAGATTGAGTTGTCGCGGACTAGCTCCAGAGCAGAGAAGTGGATCGGATTTTCCGGCTTGTCCCCGGCTTTGCGCTTCCGCAAACCTTTGGCGGCTTTGTCTTCCCAGGTGTAACGCGCGAGGAGTGGAATGTAACCACTAGATAAATCGACAATTGTACGATTTGGTAGAGCTAGGAGGGGCTCGGCGCCAAACTTCTGAGCCTTAATTTTCAGGCTTTCTATGGATTCCGAGGTGTTCATTGTCAGCTTGGAAGGATACATGCGTCGATTGAGAAAGTAATAGACTGAGGTGTAGCGTAAGGTAGTCGGCGACATCGGCCGGCTTTTGTATTACCGAGGCGTGACATGAGTGGATCCAGTCTCTGGGTCCATTACGGACAACCTGCGGAAATAATTCATCGTGGAATGACCTTAATCAGGAGGAAGTATTAAGCAGGTTGAGGTGGTGAAGTATATGGTCACGTGTCTCACATAGAGAAGATCCAAACGGCTTCGCTTTTGTCCACAACCTATGTTCCTGACCAGTACTCATATTACACCGCAAGATCTACGACGGCTTTTAAACCTTCTGATAATTTCATTGGAGCTATTTTGTGCTTCTACTTCTCGAATTGCAGCTCGTTAGTCGAGTGTGAGTACGCCTGAAGGCCCGATCTGAAGCCCAACCTCATGTCGCGTTGCCCAAATAACATCAGGATGTCCTATGTACAGCCATGGAGGATTCTCCTGCAACCTTCTAAGAGTTCTAGCATATGCCACAGCTCTATCTTCGTAGCCAATCTTGTTCCTTGCGTCATGAAACAGATTCTGAACCTCAGCATCGTGATAACCAAGCCACCACGTTGCGTGTGATGAACTGGAGATTTTGTCGTCCAAGACTCGAAATGTGCTGTTGGGTGTAGAATCAAACAGTGCGAGGCTTCCAATCTCCTTTTTGAGTCCAATTTGGCGAGCGTATTCTGGCCGATTGGTTTCAACCTTGATTTCGACCTCAAAGCCAATGCATTGCAAGGATGATGCCACGAATTTGGAAATCTTTTGGGCGTGTTCTGGCATGTAAATCGGGGTCCTCAAGACAAGAGGCGTGCTTTTGTCAAAATCTTTGAGCAAGTCTATGGCTCTGTCAGGGTCGTAGGATATCGGTTGCAATTTCGACTCTGAAAACCCAAGATGATAGGGGCTTACGATGGTAGCGGAGGACTTTGCGAACCCACAGTATACTTCCTTTACCAAAGCATCATTGTCCAGCGCAAGGTTCACAGCTAGACGTGCGTCTGGGGAAGCAAAAACACCCTCCGTACAGTTGAGATAGTAGATTGCTGATAAAGTGCTCGTCACTCTGCCCCATCGGAGGGAAGAATCGAAATCCAGAAGGTTTAGATCGTCGACTCGCTCAAGGTTCAGAGCAGCATCGACGTCTCCCTCACGTAGAAGCCGAAGTCTTTTGGCAGCACTCGACTCCATCGTCGCTATGATAGTATGAGGTGAACCATGTCGCGTTGGATTCAGCCGATGCAGAACGGCTCTACCGGTGCCCTCTTCCCGTTCGAACTCGACGACACGGAATGGGCCCGTCCCAAGTATTGGCTTGCCATGCTTGTCAATGCGAGAAGGCCAAAACTCGCAGAGGACACCCTCAATATCCGCAAACGGCTCCGCATTTACCACCTTCACTGTTCGATCATCCTCGGCAGAGAACTTGGTTTGCGCGAAGTAGCGGCTGTAACTCCATTGCATGCCGAAGTAGTCTCGCGAGTCCAAGAGACCTTGAATGTAGTTGACGACATCCTTAGCCCTGCAAGGCTCGTTATCATGAAAAAAGGCGTTGTTTCGGATGTGGAAGTGCCAGACCCGGGCATCGGGGGAATGCTCCCATCGGTCGAAAAGCCCGGGCCTGACACAGCCGTGAGGCTGCCATCGGAGGAGGGGCTCGAAGACCAAACTTTTCAATACTGTCACGCTATTGTCATCTGTGACTTGTGTCGGAAGTCGAAAGTCGACATTCTCCAGGCATAATCGAAGGACTTCGGGCGTCATGCTGTACGGAGTTTGAAGAGCGTCCTCTTATCGTGAAGTTTGGGGCGTTTGATAGGGGACCGGGCGGAATGATTTTATCCTCGGATTGACGATATCAGCATTGCTGGGCTTGAACTAAGTACCGGAGCAAGCACAGAAATCTGGCTAGTTTACCCTGCGATTGCGGAGACTGGAGAATGCAGCCTGCCGGAACAATTGTAAACACATACGAATACGCAGTCCAGTCGATTCTGAATTCACTCCGGCTTGCAGCTGGACAGGGATCCTGAGCCTTCAATGGACACAAGTGGCAGGTGGCTTATCATAACCTTTCACACAGCGTGTCATTTGAGAATTTTGTCAGACCAAGATCTTCACCATATTATTCTCGTGATCCCATGCAGTTATAGTAAGAGCTCATGTTCCTAAAGTCATTCCATGAACTCCATCAGATACAGCGATGTTTCCCCCTGAAGATCTCAATTCATGAACCAAGGTGGCTTGCTAGACTGTGCAGTGAGACTCATCTAGCTGTTTGCAGCTGGAAGGAAATGATTTTCTTGTTCACTTGCCGTCATCAATGCGAGAAAGATTGCCGGGCAAGCTGCCGGCACCGGCAAAGATGCCGGAAATCAGGCAAGACGACAGAGCGGAGTGAGATAACGACATGGTGGGGCGGCCAGTCACGACATTGAATTCATTGTGCTGCGACATCCGAGAACGGCACAGAACCCTTGACATACTCTTACCTATTTCCGAAGAGTTTCCAGAGGGAAGACGTTCTATCCGTGCATACATGGAGATTGTCTTCAAGTCGAATTTGGAACAAAATTGGGTCCGAAGGATTCAGGGAAAAGAGCTCGCTCACAGGGGCTGTAATGGCATCATCCACCAATAGCAAATCAGGTGTAGGAGGTTATCTGGCCCATGTCACTCATATACATAGGTGAATTCAATGTGGTTAGATTCTTGGGAAAAAATCGTTTTTCTTGGGGAAGCCCAAGTATATAGCGATCTGAGGTCAACCGGCCACCGAACAGCAGTGCCAAACCAGATTACTGGGATAATCGTGCAGAAACGTCTTCTCTGAGCGCTAATCATCGACAGACATGTCGGAAATCAAATCCATCGCCCCTGTGGTAGTCTCAGGCACCACCTCCGATGCGGACAAAAACGCCAAAGACACTGCCCCAGTGATCGTTACAAACAGTGTCCCCGAAAACCCGCGCTCCCGGTGGCGGAAGATTGTCGGTCTCGTATGGGACTCTGTTGAGGGAGACCCCGAGTATCGGAAATATGTTCAAAGACTCGATACATTCTTCTTGTCAGTCTAGTCTTTTGCCATGTGCCGCATCCAACTGGCGCCCCAGGGCTGACTATTCTTTATTCACTAGCCCTACGGTTTGTTTTGGCTACTTCATAAAGTACCTTGACCAGACAAACTACAGTAAGCCAGTGCTATCAGCTTCGCCAGTTGGATGTTAGTAACTCTGTCTCACAGGCAATGCTTTCATCAGCGGCATGCAGACAGATCTCGGTCTGTACAGAAATGAGCGTAACTGGCTGAATACTTGGTTCAGCCTGGGTATTATGGTCGGCAGTGTTCCAGCCCAAATGTCACAACTCAGCTTCATTCGCCCCTCGGTTCTCATTCCATCGTGCGAGGTCATCTGGTCGCTACTGGTTATCGGCATGGGGTTTGCCAAGAATATCAAGACGGTTAGTGCAGTGCTTGGGAGTTATCAAGGCTTACATCACTAACGTCCGTGACAAGATGTACGCCTTACGGTTTTTCATCGGTCTCTTCGAGGCTTGTGCCTTCCCTGGATATATCGCCATGCTCGGTGGCTGGTACGGTCCGAAGGAGCTGACCAAACGGTTAGCCATCCTTCTCCAGGTTGAGTCTATTGCGAGTATGTTCAGCGGATACTTGCAAGCAGGGCTGTATTCAAGCATGGATGGACGCCATGGAATTGCCGGCTGGAGGTGGCTGTTTATCATGGACGCAATCATCTCGCTTCCAATTGCTTTTTGGGGCTTCTTCGGATTGCCTGACCTGCCGCATAACACGAAAGCCTTTTACTGGTCAGCTGAGGTAGCTATGTGTTTCCAAAATTCCTTCTGTTACATGAATAAAACTAATCAGGTTTGCATAGCATGTCAAATATGGCATCGATAGGATTGAGAAACTTGGTCAAAAGGCTCAGCAAAAGCTGACGTGGAAGGAAGCCAAGCGGATCTACCTGGGCTGGGAGATCTGGGTCTTTATTGTGCCGTACACGTGAGTCAATCCGGGAAGAGAGAAAATAGTTGAGGACATCACTTACATGAAGTAAACTGGATAGCATGGTAGCAGCCTGTCACACGGCTACAAGCTACTTTAATCTCTGGCTAAAATCTGCCGGCTACAGTGTTGTAGATGCAAACATCTACCCGACCGGTGGTAGTGCTCTGAACATCGTTGCCACAGTCATTTGGGGTATCATCGCGGACAGAACAGGGGAAAACTACGTGATGATCGTCATAGTTCAGGCTTTGATGATCCTGTCCAACATCTTGCTTTCCGTTTGGTACATCCCCAAAGGTGCATTGATGTTTGCATACTATCTTTCGTATGCTGGATCAGCCGCAACTCCTGTGCTCATCGTTAGTAACTCAGGAAAACCACAAACATGAAAACTTCTGACACTGGATATAGAGCTGGGCCAATAGGCTAAATGCAGGCGATCCTAGTCTCAGACAACTGCTCGTGGCCACTGCTAACGTCGTTTCCTATGCCTGGGTTCTTTGGGTACCATGTGGGTTCAACCCGGAGTCTAACACTCAAGTTCTTCACATATACTGACAAACTCTCAGTGGTTCTATTCCCGACGTATGATGCACCGAAGTACAAGTACGGTTATCAAATTCTCATCCTTTTCGGCGGTCTCGCAATCATTAGCGTCACGCTCATGTGGTACATGTATAGGCGAAGAGAGTAAGTTTGCTCAGGTCCCACGACAACCTCTAATAAAGCGTATAAGCTAAATAGTGTCAACAGTCAGAAGCTCACTCAGCAGAACAACCAAGGCACTGAAGGGGGCTCAGAGAGGTCAGATGAGCTGTAGTGTAAAGTTTCATGTTCGGATCGCACAGCTTTTGTGTGGTTACCGCCGGGTCAACCCATTGCAAAGAGGACTCTGGGATTGAACTGCCCGAAGTCATAGCTCGAATTGATTTCTATCGAATTAGGGTATTTCAAAGCGTGAACCCACGATAGTATTGAGACTGATACTTCAGGAGTCGAACCTCATGTGAACTCTCATACAGAAAGCATATTCAGGGGCGCCTTTGGATGGCCTATTGGCAAATGATGATGGCTTGAGACAAGCCTCTTCTGACGATGTCAGGGGACTTAAGCTGTCGATGACTCAGCAGGTGCTTGAGTTGTTGAGCCTGGCTTACGACCAGAAACGACATATCTGGCAGAGTGATATTAGCAATAGCGCTCAGAGCAACTATGATAGAGAAATTTGGTCTCAATGAGATAACCTACACAGGCCACCAAACATGGATTCTCGGATCACGCATCTCCTTCCTCGCTTGTGAACACAAAACAAGGACCTCCTCCTTTGACCAGCCCTTGATGTTGGTCAAAATCCCAAGAGCCGCTGTCTCGAGGAAGTAGTCGAGGTTCGCCAGACCCCATCCACCAATGTCCTTCATCGTTCTGTCTCGCGGCCAAGTGTTGGTCGGCCATTTGTAGATAGTCTCTCGAACATCTTCGAAACCGCGATCGATCAGAAGCTGCTTCCACTTGAGGGGAAGCTTGAGCGTCCGATTGATCTTTTCCATAGCGTCAACCACCTCATCGGCCCATTGCGCCAAGTAGCTATTCTCGGGTAGAGTGTTGTCATCGGTCCGAGCTTCCATGCAGACATCCTGGGCTTCGAACCAGCCGCCGGGTTCGAGTTGGCTACGTGATTGAAGGTTCGCATATTGTGCATGTGATCAGGCCTGGGGTATTCTGGGATGACTCACTTGTAAATACTATCGACCAGCTTGGCTGGGTCCAGGATACTGCCACTCAAAGTTCTAGAGAAGATGAAGTCGAATTGTTTTGACCATGTCCATGGCTTCTCCAGATCGTCTATCTCGAAAGAGCAGTTGGGAGGCATGCTTGGAGATCATCAGCAGGTATAATCTACATAATGAGTGGCAAATTCGAGAATGGCTTTACTTACAAGTCAGGTTGCACTGGGCTGATGTCCACTCCAATGACTTCAGACTCGGGATGCTCCTCCGCTACTTTACCATCAATTGGGGCCAATGGGGCCTAGCTCATGTGTGTACTGACCGTATTCAAGAGCCCATATTCCCGTTCCCGTTCCGAGATCAAGGACTCTTTTAGCCCCGTAAGACTTTGGACAAGTGCAAAGACGTCCTCTAAACGTTCTCATAAAGAGTTCGTGCTGTAAATCTAATCGCTCTTGTTCGACCTAATGATGTCTCGTCAGCCATCTCAAAGACACCCAGACTATCGTACATCATGGCGATCTTAGCTAACATTGTCGTGGGGAAAGTAGTATTCTGCCTATGTATCAGCTAAGAACCAATCTCGTGGCCGTTAGGTACACGAACTGCCTCGGGAATGAGAGTGGTATAGACGTCCGTTTTCATCTTCAAAATTGAGGATAGACGAGCGAATGGACGTGAGAGAATCGCGGATTGACTAATAGCACATGGTGTGGTGAGCACAAATGGTATCCCATAATACCTCGAAATGAGATCCTGTCGCGATCCGAGGTGTCTCATCTTAGATGGCTGTGATATGTATTGTATAACGTACAACATTGATGGCGGAGTCTGTTTCTCCTTCATCAGCATCCTAATCACGGCATCACAAGTTAGCAAAGGGCTGCCCGTTCTGTCCGGCTTAGGGCTCGCTTTTTAGATCAAAGCGTACAATGATACCTGTTGCCGGGTTCACGCCTTCCTCAGGATGAGATGGGGAAGCCGCGACTCCAGCCGCTAGAGGTGAGCGCGTCTCGTCTCCCGGAGTGGCCATCTATCAGAAAATTAATAAGTAGGCGTCGGTGAGGGGTTTGATGTGAAAAACCGTGGGGTTACAGATTAGATCGTCTGAGGTCTAGGTATTTAATCCACCGAAGCTCAACCCCAACCTCCAAGGACCAGGGGCCACGCGCGACCCCCGTTCCCCCTTCAAACCCACACTGCGGACACCGGGCGGTGCATCAGTGTGCATGGATCAGAGGTTGGCATTCTGAGGACTTCGACCGACTTATCCCAAACGAACCTCGGGCTGTGGAGAATCCTCAGCGGCCAAGATTGGAGTTGGGTTCGGAGACGAATGAACTCCGTAGGCTAGCGATAACTGCCAAGGGACTTGACACGTGCCATCCCTCATGGGGTTCACGACCAGTGGGCATTTCTCCCTGCGATGGACCTCTGAGAGGAGCGATAGCAGACTAGGTCCCCGGGCGTGTCGGTGTATAGTGTCCCGTGAACCGGGTACTATCATGCCACTTGAGCTCCCCTTCCCTGGAAAATTGCGTGCAGGATTTCTTGCAAATCGTTGGCGGTGATCGTCGCTGATAAAGATTATGACGCATGATTTGACGGCAGCATCAGCAACGTTACAGGGCTCAACGTTTCCTTCCCTTGTCTCCATTGAATCCTGGTAACGTGCTCATTTCGCGTCGCTGAAGGGTTGCTCGGACGAGATGATTGAGTTCTCTTCTCATCTGCAACCTCGTCCTCGAGATGGGGCTTGTCTGCGTGATAAAGAGGGGGATACTGCGGATAGTACCTTGGGCCCTCAGTCATTAGGGTCCCCAGCCAATGAAAATTCAAAAAAAAAAAAAAATCGGCACCGAAACTTTTTGGGTTACAGTACATGCACTTCCGTGCGACTGATGCGCGGACATCATACCTGTTGTGATCTTACGATGGACCTTCCATTGTCCAAACATTCACTTTCCAACAGTCGGTGAGCCAACTCAACTCTAATAGGGGGACGGGCCAACGTCAGACCTGTAGTCCTTGTCTACCAGCGAAAACGGACGCAATGTCAGCCATAAGCCGAAGTTTTAAGGAGTTGTCTGTGCTACTGCCAGAGCCGAGGGGCCGGGCCGTGCTGTAAGCCGCTGTGAACGGCTGATCCAATGGTTTTGACCTGCTTTAACCGGGGTTCCGAAAACTTCGGACTACGAATACCTCAATTGTTCATTACATTGAAGACCCGAGAATACGATCGCTTAGCTATTGTAATAGACAACTAAGCCTGGTTGCCACGAGATGTACTTTATTTCTTTCTTTTTTGAGCAAAGTAAATGTGCCCTAACACATGGCGAAGCGAGAGTAAAGAGATCTACCCCGTACTATTGTCCTGTAGATAGTCTCTTCTCAAAGCACTGCGCGAGTCTTGGAGCCCTTGACCTTTGAGTATATCTCATCTTCGAAGGCCTTGATGTATGGCCGGACTCCTTCCTCTGCCGCAGGGAGCATCTGCGTCGCAAAGAAGCCACAAAGCCCAGCTTGGCGATCGATCCACTGCCAAAAGTCAGAAAAGTGTCTCCGCGAACCAAGTGCGAGGGAGAAGACTTACCCAAAAAACGTTTGACGCGCCACTCCACATCAGAGTCCCGTTCCGGCGGTAAGGGTGACTGTGTCCATCTACAAGCAGACCTCCAAGACCCCAGTCATACTCGCCTGTGACAGGGAAATGCCCGACTGCCCACTCCGGCTTTTCCATTGCCTTCAACAGACTATTCTTAGACCCTGACGATAGCTGGGGCTTGAACATCTCGGCAGTCATTATTGGGCTTAGCAGCTTTCCGTCGTCGATCAACAGTGAGTGCAACACTCGCATGACATCTATAGCCGAGCCGTAGGACCCTTGTCCACCAAGACAGTCGGTGACTCCTTGGTTCAACTCCCTCCCGCGATGAAGAATAATCTTCCCTGTGTCCCTGTCACGGGTGTTCATCCCCCACAGTTTGGATCTCACGGAATCGACGTTGAATGTGAAACTCAATGCACCAACCGGGTCCCAGATATTTTCCCGCATGTACTGCTCAAGCGACGTCCCAGACACATTCTCAATTAGCTTCCCCGTCCAATCTGAGCTGCAACTGTAGGCCCAGTCTTCTCCTGGCTCGTAGTTCAAGGGGTACCCGAAGCGCTCTTCGACGGTGTTCCCGCGCGTTGGTTTGAGACCATGAAAAGACTGCCACTCACGCGTCGCGTCGCTGAGGAAGTCGTAGCTGTTGCCGGCGCTATGCGTGAGAAGGTGACGCAGGGTGATGGGCTTCTTGCGCTGTACTTCGATGGGCTTGCCGGACTCCGTGAAGCCAGTCAGAACGGGCTTCTGTGCTAGTGTCGATACATGTTTCGATACATCCCCGTCGAGGGTTAGGATACCACGCTCTACGAGCTGCAAGGCAGCGATCGTCGTGAAGAGCTTCGTGACTGAAGCAAGGGTGAGGATGTTGTCATCTGACAGCGGTGTTGAGCTTTTCAACTCATCTCCGAAGATGTGCGAATACTGGAAGTTGCCTGTCCAGCTGGATTAGTCCGGCGGAGGAACATGAATCGAAGCCAATGTGTAAGGAACTAGAAGCTAGCTTACTGGACTTATCTTGGGCATGAAGCATGATACCGGGGATATCACGATTCCTCACAGCGGCGTCGATACGATCTTCGAAAGAGCCCATGTTTGAGAACTTGAGCAAATGCTTTGTCTATAGTTCTTACCGTGTAAACAGAAGCCTCGGTGAGAGACAAGAAAGTCTGAAACTTTAAATGTGCTGAAACAATTGGATGGGACTTGGGGACGGGCAAGCAACTTTCATTAGTCATCCGAGGTTAATGCCGATCCCCCGCAGGTGCATGACAACATCCCGAGGTAACGACGATCTCGAGCAAGACCCGCCGCAAGAGGGCAATAATTCTGCGGAGAAAAAGAAAACGTCAAATTTCAGCCCCCAGCCATGATTTCAAATTTCTTAACTATTCCCTGTCAGAATGTATAAAAACTAATTTTGGATTTTCATTGGTGAAAACGCTGCTGTCAATTAACCTCGCGGGTGCGAGCTTTGATGCCAAACTTTGAACATGACATGGGGGGAACAACATTGTCACATGGCGTGTTCGAGTAGCTTAGGCTTCAAAGGATGCTCAGTTGATTCTACACTATGACAAAGTCTTGGAAGTGTAGGTAGCCTTCAAAATTCTCCACAGCATACTCTTTTCCCTCAGCGTTAACTCCGACTTGCTCGACCTCTAGGTTGTCCGCGAGACCGTCAATCGGCTTCAAAAGCTCGCCATCCATGATGCCGTGCACATAGCAATCGCCAATGATCTGGAATTCGTCTCTGACACACGATCCAGTACTATTGGGGAGTTTTCGCAAGACGAACGGTGTTCTGAATCCCTCAAGGAGAACCACATAATCCTCAACCTGGGCATTCCACGGAACAGTGCCGATGTAATGGTGATCTAAAGACTTTGTGTTGTATAACGGCCTGTCGCGTTTCTCTCCCAAGATAGTCGCATCTTGTGCAATGTCTTCTTCCTTCTTGTGACCTCTTGTGCCGATCGTGGCAAATCTGCGACCACGTTGAGCCTCTTGGAAAGGGATGGTGAAAGGAACCATGCGTTTCTGGAGATCTGCCTCGACATCGACATCAAAGTCAAGCAGCCATTTGAATATTGCCGTCTGATGAACGCGAATGCCTGGTGCGTCCTCCTCATTCTCTTCGTTCGGCCCTTGGGCATAGAAGCGCCGGAAGGCGTCCACACCTGCGAAAAATTCTTTCGATATCGTTGTTGGCGCGGGAGACTTGGAATCGTCGCCGTTCTTGTTGGTGGCGAGGAGACTGGAAACTTCGTTTTCTACCTCCTCTCCCTTTTTTCTTGGCCCGATTCTTTCGCCTCGCCATGATCGATCCATCGCCAGGGTTCTTACAAGCGCGTCATCGAGGCCCTCATCGGTATACCGCTCTTTGAAGTCGTCTTGAACCGTCACAGTCGCAAAGGTAAGAATGAAGTTCCGAGAATCTTCATCGTTAAATGCGGGGATCTCGAGATCTGGTGCACTCTCAAAACTGTTGAACGTATCGTCGGTTTTGTTGTGGATGTAATATTTCCACGATGGCCCCACGAAATTGAGTCGATCCAGAATCATCCCTCGGATAGTCATTCTCGGAGCTTCTCCCGAGCTCGAGACTGATATTTTGGACGACGTATTCGGCATACAGTGATAAAGCTGGGTCGACAAAGTCGAACGCGACTGAACCGTCCAATCAGGCACCCAGGAAGGAAGATTTGTGATGCCTTGATCGATGCCCGCGTGGTGCAGGAGGTCGACGACGTGACCAGCTTCAATCATAATTCTGGCAACCTCAGTGAAGACCTTTTCTGGCGTATTGTTAGACGAGTAGTTGGGAATAATGGACTGAGCGACAGGGTCGTCAGTGAGTCCAAGAAGGCCATAGACCTTGTCTCTCGCATCCGTCGCCAAGTTATTTCTCGTCAAACAAAGTAACTCGAGGAGATTTAGAGGAGGACCCCTTTGCGCAGTCTCCTCCTCCACCTTTTCTGCATCGCCAACTGTTTGAGATGTCCCAAACCCTTGTCTGCGCCCCCGTAGCACTTTGAATGAGCTCACGGGGCTCAGGTGGATAATCATACTGAAAACTTCAGCGTACATGCCGATTCGAAGTGGCCTTGGAAGACCATGACGCCTTGCGAGGTCCCAGAAATCTGTGATTGCTTCCAAGCTGATCGCTGCTTCACCGTAAAGCACGACGACCTTTGGTGCCAGAATAACCTCCTGCAAGACCCAAGTGCGGAAGTACCAGTCGGTCACCCAGAAACGAATCAACTTGTTCCATATCTCCCGGCCCTCTTCCGTTTCCGTCTCTGGGAGACCAACCTTGTCCCATTCCCTGTCAGACATCACGGTGTCTCGGCGCTGGTCTTCCCAGATACGAGTCATGAACGTCATGATACTGATGGCACCTTGGACGCCTTCGGAGCCGTAGGCATCATCAACAGGCTCTAGGGTAAAGTCTGACAGCCCATATAGTTTCTTAGACTCTGCCGAATGTTCATCCTGGACCAAGTCTTCCGTGCAGAAACTCATCATATCCTGAACTCCCAGACCTCCCATACGGTCTTCCAACGTGGTTTCCTTCGTGCTGTCTTCGTCTTCATCCTTACGGCGCTCATATTGGTAGTGACCAGGGTGAGCAAGAACCAGCTTTGCTCCTTTATAGATGCTGCCCATGAGTAGAACCTGTTGACTTCGTTCTACGATGTTGTCTTGGTTAATGCAAATACCGTCTGCCCAGAACCATGTGGTGGGGTGTCTGTTGAGGCAAGTTCGCAGCGCATGGTACAGATTCTGCGTTACCGAAACCATCTTCCCGTTGCAATTCACCGCGAGAAGTCGTTCGGGATTTCCCCAAACATACGAGAGACAAAAATATGGGGGAGCATCGGCCAGACAAAAGTTTTCGACCTGCAGGTCGCGTATGACACCTTCCTCGTCAGCAGCACCCAGTCTCAAAAGACGAATTTGTTTGAGCTTTGGGTCCAAGGGTTCATACTCGAAGGGTATCTCTGTGTCGTCGAATGCGACGTCTGGTCTATGCAATTCTGCGTTGGGCTCGTGCATTTGCTCAACTCCTGGCGCCTGGGTATTATCTAGTTTTCCGGCGTATGAAAACGTGACAGCTGGATCGGAGCGAATTTCGAATGGTGATGTACTAAGTGATACCGTGGCAGGATCGAGACCGGTTTTGTGGGCTAGGTAAACCCGCAGTGCCTCCGATGACCCAGCGGCTAGCTGGTCAATAGCAATTTGCAGCTCATAGCCGTCAGGGTCGTCGTACACATTGTCTGTCGGAGATTGAGAATGAGACATGTTGAAAGGAAATCGCTTGGTGTCTGTCGATTGAAGTAGAACAATTGACTACCTTTTGTTGACATGATCCTAAAGGACTTATGTTGAGGAGACACTGGTTTTTCTATCATGTTACTGCAACTAAGTGCTAGGCAACAGCTTAGCTCGGCTGTGGAGGCGGAGTCGCTAGTAGCGAGTGTGTTGTCGACAAATCATCCTCAAGCACGGTTCGCCAGCCCTTACCAGAAGGATCACCTGACATAAGCGCAGGTGTAATAATTGACTTCGGGCTCTTCAATGCAGCTCATATTTTGGAATGAAAGGGCTACGGGGCCACACAAGACGCTACGTGTTTTCGGGATGAAAGACTGTGGCCAAAATGTTCCATGTGCCTTTGCCTGGTATTGTGTGTTAGACGGGACACGAGAAACAAGGTAATACTCGAGTTACTTACGGATACACTGATAGCCAACTCGACAACCAGGGCACTCGGGGATAGCAGCTTATCGGTACAAAAAAAGCATGAGTCTGTAAAATCAGGTACTTGGAGGTGTAATTGTGAACACAAGTGCAAGTGAATTTCCCTCTAGCATCTCTACTTCACTCGATACAGTAGATAGGTGGGTGTATCCGTAGACGTTGACATCAATCGACGAGAGGTTACCCTATTCGCATTGAAGAAAAGCAATAAATTGAGGGGGTTTGCCGGTGCTTCAGGTTCTTGGGCATCAGGATAGTGTTCACTGATAAGGCTCTATTACTTTATCAGTTGGCCTATGAACAAGCCTTCGCCGCATACTTGACAACATGGACCTCTAGGCAAGTTACCCGCCTGTCCGGTTCTCCCGGATACGCCTCCAGACCCCAGCAAAAGTTCGCTGCACAAAGATAGTGTGCGTGTACGCACAGAGCACGCGACTGAACAATGAGCAACGCAAATGAGAAAGAAGAGAACTGCACTCGACAGCCCACCGCGTTGACGACATCACGGGCCAAGACTACAGCTTTTATAGTGCTTGGCTCTTGGCGGGCCCGAACTTCCCCTCACCTCCACCGTCGACCTTCCCGATCCGACCTTCGGTTCGTGCGTCTGCTCCAGCTGATGGCGGCCGATTGGGCGCCGAAGTCTCGGCGGTCCGGGATGGGCATGCAAACTATCGTGTTTTTCGCTCCGCGGCGGCACTCTGGTTGCGCCGCGCCTGACCGCAACACTACCATATGGGAGAATGGCCTGTGGCATTAATGAGTGTTGCGCGATAAAAAGGGGAGCGCCGCCGGTCTGGGCTGGATGTTTCCGTTTCTTACGATTTACATGTAGCCTTCGCTGCATCCAGATCCGACTCACCAGACTGCAGCTATGAAGTTCTCCAAGTCGGCCGCGACTTTACTGTCGCTGGTCTCTAGCACTGTGGCAACGAACACGACATGCCGGCCCAAGATTGACTCGGAGAAGCTCCAGGCTGATCTCACGACCGAGAAGTAAGAGCATGGTGATTTTATACAGTGATTTATGTGCGGTCAATTGGCACAATTGGCTAACGAATGTTGCGACACAGCTTGATGGCCAACCTGGAGGCTCTGAACGAAATCGCCTTCGCCAATGGTGGAAATCGTGCGTTTGGTCTCCCTGGATATGCTGCGTCGGTCGATTATGTATGGGATCGCATCTCTGTAATCCCAGCCACGAAAGCGTGGAAACAAGACTTTCCCGCCACGTTTGGCCAGGTCACGTCGATCGACTTTAACGTTGACGGCGAGTCGATCTACGTCTTTGGCTTGACCTACTCTCCATCCACGAGCGCGGAAGGTATCACGGCAGAAATTGTTCTTGGGCCCGACGGCGCTGCCGCCTGCGATGCTGCTAATTACGAGGGATTGAATGTGCAGGACAAGATCGTGCTCGTGCAGAGATTCAGATGCCCGACTGGCGGCACTCTTGCTGGAAGAGTCCGTCCCGCTGCCGCCGCTGGCGCTGCTGCTGTCATTGTCTATCACGATATCACCACCAACGCGACGGCTGGTTCCCTCAGTGCGCCCGACCCCGAGGGCTTCGTGCCGGCCGGTTTCATCAATCTGGCGGACGGGCTGAAGATCAAGGAGCGTCTTGATGCTGGGGAAACTGTTCAGGCACACTTCCAGCAGACTCAAATCGTTGAGGAGCGTATCACTCAGAACGTCTTCGTTGAGACCGAAGAAGGTGACCCTCATAATGTTGTTATGGTGAGCATGAGGACGATCAACCGCTGATATCTGGAGTTAACATGTCCCTTAGCTCGGTGCTCATCTGGACAGTGTCCAAGCTGGACCAGGCATCAATGATGACGGTAGGCCATGCTCCGCCTATGATCACGATGACACTTGCTCACATCCACATAGGCTCAGGCACCAGCCTGCTTCTCGAGCTCTTCCTTGCCATGACGCAATACCGAACGAAGAACAAGGTCCGCTTCGCCTGGTGGGGTGCTGAGGAAAACGGCCTTCTCGGTTCCAAATTTTACTGCTCCAACTTGCCCGCATCCGATGTCGATGACCTTCTCGTTTATCTCAACTTCGACATGGTGGCAAAGGGCTTCTTCGGTGTGGCTGATACTGACGGAAGCACCCATGGAAGCGCCGGACCCGCCGGGTCGGATGTTGTCGAGCACATCTATGAGGCGTACTACCAGAGCCAGGGCCTCGAGGTAACTCCCGCCGTCCTGACCAACGGAAGTGATTATGCTTCGTTCTGGCAGATTCTCGGCAAGCCGTTTGGGTTCTTGCACACAGGCACCGCGGTCGCTCAGGACCCGTGCTATCACCAGGCCTGCGATACTATTGAGAATCCTGACCCCAACACGATTACTGTCAATGCTAGAGTAAGTTGTGCTGTTCTTGTGTTGTTTCTACTTTATGTTTCTCTGAATGGGTGTAAATTTGGAGTAATGTTGGGGTGCTAATAATACTTCAGGCTGCTGCTCATATGCTTACGGTCTTGTCCTTGAACGGAACATCGCTTATCCCCAAAGCCGCGGTCAACGCAACGATGCTGACCCATCTACAATCGAGAAGCCTTGAGCCCGACTTGATCCAGATTGAAGAGCTGGAGGCTTTGGGAGAGAGGCATCTTGGATGCGGACATGATGTCTGATCAAGACGTTCGTTCGGCCAGGCCCTTATATACATGTACACCCTATAAATCCAAGGATGAAAGAATTGCATTGACAAGACATTTACCCACGCAGCTTCAGCTTGTGAAGTCTGTCCAGGTCAAAGTTTAATATGAGATGACGAAAATGATTGCTCCAAGAAAGCACCTAATTTCGTTGTAATGATAGACTTATCGCACTGCTGAAGTTCAAGTTGCTTACCTGACTGAATTGTGATGTAGGGCCATACCCGAACGATTCCTGCCGGAAGAGATCGGATGCAGTTCGATATGGTTTACAGTTAATGCATTTGCTAAGACAGTCTTGGTATCCCTACGGCTTCATGTATGGAAACATGTTTTCCATAAGAGTATATGGTTTCCATGAGCCGAATTATCCTTCTTAAATAAGGAAACCTCCCAAGATCACATCCGCAAAAGTAAACAGCCTAATAACTCATCAGCTGGGCAATTTTCAGCGACTAATAAGCTGGGCCGCAACATTCAAATGACGTGATTGTCGACCATGCGATCGTCTCATGCATCATGTCTCAATTCACCCGGCTGTCAGTTTTCCGCGCGGTATTACACATACTCAACTCATTAGTCCGCTAGCATCTCCACGAAGGCAACGCCACTCCGTCGTGGCACTTTTGACGCCCGTCCGATGCATTGCGCCGGGCGTAATGAGCCTTGAACTTAGCTGTAATTCAGGTGTCACGCCTAGCCGGTATTTATGCACTCGCGCGCGTTTGGCAGACATCTGATCTAAATATTATCCAAGACTCCGACGCAGCTTTGTAAAATGCTGAGTAAACTCATTGCGTCCAATGATCTACGCAGCTCAAAGAATACGAGCTGCCTCTTATGATTGGCTCGGTCGTTCGTCGCCCAATTGAAACCTTCCTTGGCCCTAGAGTTTACAGGGGAGCCCAGAGACCGCAGTGCAGGGCCAAGAAACGGTCATACTTGATGCCGCCGGGGATTTCCGTCAGCCTTCGACGGGCTGAGCACTTACTATCGTGGAGTTCTTCCTCCTAAGTTCAAGCAAGCACGTACATTGTCCATCTTCACTTTCTGTCAATTTCCAGTCAGCTTGCATGATCAGAAAGCCGAGGCCTCCCCTTTGAGAAGAACGCCACTCGTTAAATGAAAGTTGGCCCTCATGTTCCCAGGGCTCCTCATAAATACAAGGCTCCCGCTGTCAGAAACAACCTTCAAACGACGCATCGAAGGATGAAAGTCAGAGAAGAGCAAGCCTAAGAACTCCATCCAATCATGAATCACCCTTTGTTCACTCAAGCCATGCAACAAGGGCAACAAGATTCAGCTTACATCGGGGAAGTTCGACAAAGCCGCATCCTACCGCTGCTCCCACGCCCTAGCACCGTCCAAACTACCAATCAAGACTTCAAGCTCGCAGTTGAAGATCCCGGCGACGCTTCCCATCCTAAAAGGAAGCGTGCTAGTCGTCCTAAGGTCCGATCTGGCTGCATCACCTGCAAGATCCGGCGGGTCAAGTGCGATGAGCGCAAACCTACGTGTTTCCGATGCGAAAAAGCGGACGTGGAGTGCGATGGGTACACAAAGGAGGACGCCGACTCCAAGAGAAGCGCCGAGCAGCAGAGGTTGATCGTCGCGGCCCAGGAAGCGCAAGCGAGCCGGCAGCTACTTCCGCGGCCGAACGAGTCGGGGCCAGGCACCTCCGGTCTTGAATCTTCGGCTCCTAAATCCATTCCCCCGCCGCTTTACCCTTCGACTTTGCGGGTTCAACAGGGGGATGTTTACTATTACGATCTTTTTCGGCACCGGCTTGTGCGTGACCTTTGGGGGTCGGGCCACTCTGATGCTTGGTCTAGGATCGTGTTGCAGGAGAGCTCGCGAGACCCCTGCGTCCAGGAGTCGCTGTTGGCCATCGGCGCGATCTCTCAAGCCCAGATGCTTGAGGATCTGTCGAAAGATCAGCTGGACGCCATGCCGTCAGCACTCCGCCCTTGGGGCACGAAAATGACTCAACCTGGTGGACTTCTCAACCACCATCACAGGTCGGCTTTAATACATCACGTCAAGGCGGTTTCGATATACAGACAACGGATTCAAGACCCATCATCGACCTCACCACGATCAGTCATCATCATGACGCTGCTGCTCGTAGGATTCGAGTTCATCCAAGGTAACATGAATAACGTCGACACTCTGACCGGTACGGGTATGCGCCTTCTTGAGAACAGGATTTCGCTCACGCAGCGTCCTCCACGTCCTTCAAGCGAGAACAGAAACATCTCGACAGAATCCTCTCAGCCCTTGTCTGCACAGTTACGAAGAGACATGCGTGATGATGAGATGGAGGACATCGAGCACCTCTTACCATGTCTCTCCCTGATGAGCGGGTTCACCCACTTCTTCAACTCGCACCGCACCGCCATGCCAATGATGAACGGTACCCCTATCCTCGAGCTACCTCAACCAGGCGTCACAGTCATCTCCAAACTCGAAGTCTTCTGGGGTCAGTTCTTTACACGCGCAGTCGTACATATCATGCGCTCGCTGCACGACCAGCTCCGATACAAGGAGCGGAACATAACGCAAGCCGCCTTGGAGCAGGCTACGTTTCTGTCATACATACGAATGTGGGACTCAGTCCTGGATGTGTATCTCAAGGACCCTTCTCTCAAAGACAACGCCAGACGAGCCTTGCGAAAGATACAGATCCATCGGCTCTTGATCCACATTGTTATAAGCTGTAGTCTCGACCGAACCGACATGTGCTACGACGCATTCGAGGCGGACTTCAGAGACCTCCTGAACAGGATAGTGACGTATCTTCGCGACCCGGGACCGACCTCAAAAGTCGGCTTCACCTTCACCGAGGGACTCACAACCCCGCTCGCCACCATAGTCGCCAAGTGCCGTAATCACGAGCTGAGAATGCAAGCTGTTCACCTCCTCAACAATATGGCATGGAGAGAGAGCGCTTGGGATGGGAAAGCGCTAGTCATTGGCAAATCGGGCGTGGTGATGCTGGAGGAGAGAGGGATGGATGCTAATGGGTTCATACCTTCTGGGTCCAGATGGGTGTGGATGTCAGGTAAATGGGATCTCGAGAAACGGGAACTCGTCGCCACGTACTTGAGACTGATGCCCAACGAGGACGGTACACCAGTTCATGCGCATCTGGAGCTCGACATGGATAACTTGCTAGATACTTGTAGTATGGTGGGATGTCGTGGGCGGCATGATCCTTTCGAGTGTTATCAAGAGTAATAGAGGAGCTTCCGCTTCGAGGTTGTCTTCATAACTATGTCTTCCCCCTCGATAGAGGATTTGATACGGGTATCTAGCTTGTCAGATCAGATACTGAGGTGAACGATGTAATAGGTACCCTATGGAACTAATAGGCCTCAGACGGGGCGGCCCCATATCCTTTTCCATTAGATGTTGCTTCTCGGCTGACAAAGCATGCCGTCTTGAAGTACTTAAAGAAGGCTGAGAATTCGAGTCTGTTCCCCATTTGATCATGAACTGACAGTCACGCTTGAGAAAAAAATGGATTGAACGTATTGCTAACGCCTTCCTGTAAAGGAATAGTGTCTCACGCGACCGTTGAGCACGCCATGGCCAGCTGCCATATTGTCTTGGCAACTTGGCGAATGCTTAAACATGCAGAGGTGAGAGAGCCAAGCCCAGAGGCTCTCAAGTAACAGCGACTGCAGATGCGCATACTTTCCGTCACATTGATGCACTTCTAAACCCTATGTGCACGCGCAATGAGTTATGCTGATGTTACCATCGTTCAACTGAACCGTTGACTACTTGGACTCCCCAGACTTATTGAGAAACACCTTACGCGAACGACTGTTGCTGCCGTACATATAGACACTACCTGACTGAAGAAACTCGTCCCATAGACAGCAGACGGAGTTAATGCTTCCGCCGTACTGCGTGCTAGCCAAAGAAATAAGCCGACATGTTCATCTTGGGAAGGTGCCGAAGTCTCAGGAGTCAGAGAGCCTGGATTCCACCCCTGTTGCAACCTATCTCACTCTTCCCAATTAGTAACGACAACTGAGGACTTTTGTCAACTCGCAGTAATTACAGGCCGAGAGATAAGTAATCTGTCTCGTTATTCAAGTCCGAAAAACCTCGTTCCCATTCCTTCATGGACACGGTACTAAGACGCCAAGCCTTCTCCACGCCGATCGTCGGCATTGAAATGCAATTACGGATACAGAACTGCGTGATGGGATGATTACTCGTGCCACAGAATGTCCAGTGCACTGTGGCTCCCTCAAGTCCCCATTGTAACCTCAGGGCCCGAACTACCGCAGGGTTTAGTCTAGACCCGGCATATGCCATCGGAATAGGAAGGTCGTCGTGGAGCGCGTCAAGTAAATTGCCAACGACGCTGCTGATTCTGCGTGCCCAGCCGCCTAAAAGTGCCGTGTGCCGTACAAGGGGAAATCACCCATCCTTCGACGAACTTGGGAATAACGATCGACTGCTACGATTGTGCGGGAGAAGAAAAGAAAAGGCTCTGGACGGTTGTCAAAAGTCTCTCAACAGTTTGGATTGCTCGACACGCTCATATAGGAACTTGAGTACTAACGTTCCAATCGGTCTAATGAATCCGCTTCTTTTACCCCGCAGAGAGTGCCATCCTACGGGATATCGATCGACCACATAAGCTTCCCGCCTCCAGCCCTGTCTCAACCCCTGGTGCAATTTCTCTATCAAGGCACATACCCGTGGAGTTTTCTGAGAGGAATACGAACACAGACAGGTAAACATTGGTCGGCTAATTGGACAAGCTGCTTATGCCCCTGCCATACGCGGGTTCTTGCGATTACCATCCCCTTCACAGCCAGAAGGATTGCCACGTATCGATGTCAAAGTCATCTATAACACGTTCACAGAGGTGCGAATAGGCGCCAGGTAGCGTTCCCCACACTCAAAGGAAGCCCACCTCCTTCCTGACCCGGCCAGAGTCTCGCTTCTCTTTGCCTCGAGTCTCAAAGACTAAACGATTCCAGATGCCTATCTCACCTTAGTCTCGAACCGAGACAGGGGTTGCTCACCAGTCGGCGTTCGCCGCCTCCCCGAGGCTCCCGCAAGAGCTGAGCTCGTGTATGATACACTGATATGATTAGATACCGAGACTAGTAAAAGCTAGTTGCCTTTATGGTTGTTTGATTCAAGCTTGATTCCACGTCCCTAGCGCCGTTCTTCACGATATGAGTTGTGGAGTGAGCTCCGGATGCGGCGACATGCCAAGAGCTTTAATGGAACGTCCTTCCCCAGATTGCTTCGCTTCCGGACAGCCCTTCGACCATCTCTCATTAACCACCGTCCCAGCTCAGCAAGGGAACCTGCAGCGAGGTCGATCGAGTTGCCATCTTGGCTATCTTGGCTTTTTTGGCATCCCACATCGTCGTCGCTTCCTGCAAACTGGCCCACGTTCCTTCCTTGCCTTCCTATCCTTGCCAACCTCCGGTAGTCTTGCTGCGTTAGACTCTTCTAACCCCCCCCCCCATTGACAAAAAAGAATGTAGCCACCTGCTCTATCACATTCCCGATCTGTCGCTTCTCCCGTCTTGGCAGACGTCGGCGAGCAGTTGTCAACGATGATGGAGTCTATGAAGCGGAATCCGGAAGGAAAGCTTATCAACAGGCATTGATTGAGAAAAGGGTCAAGCTTGCCTAGCAATTGGATCTGGCTTCACTCGAGTATAAATACTCCTGGTGAGGACCTTGATGGCCGACTTTTTGCTTCTCATCCCTCACCAGCAACGGCAAGACCAACCCAGCAGTACCTTCCTCGCCTTCTTTGTCCAACCTTCGCCATGAAGTTCCTCGCCGGCCTCTCCTGCCTCGCCGCTGTTGCCAGCGCCGTTGTCGTCGATCTCAACAAGCGCGACAGCCCCCTCGATGTCAAGATCGAGTCTACCGGCAACACGGCCATCAAGGCAAGCATCACCAACACTGGCGCCTCTGACCTCAAGGTCCTGAAGGCTGGCTCTATCCTCGACAAGCTCGCTGTCGAGAAGGCTGAGGTCTTTGCTGGCTGTAAGTGCCTTCTTATGAATAACCCCAGAAACCGGTTTCGGCCACTAACGAACCTCGTCAACAGCCGACAAGGTCGAGTTCGACGGTATCCGTCTCCGTCTCGGCACCAACGGCCTTCCCGAGGATGCCTTCCAGGTCATCCCCGCCGGTGAGACCGTTTCCGTTGAGTGGAACTACGGTGAAGTCCACGACCTCAGCGTCGGAGGCAAGATCGATGTTGCCGCCAAGGGCGCCCTCTCCATCGCCGAGGCCGGCAGCAACGACATCACTGGCACCGCCTCCTTCAGCTCAAACATTCTGAGCGTCGAGGTTGACGGCGCCGCCGCCTCCAAGGTCCGCCGCGACTTCCGCGAGAACGTCAAGCGCACCGTCGTCCAGTCTGACTGCACCGGTACCCAGCGCACCGCCACCACCACCGCTCTCTCTAACTGCCGCGCCCTTGCTGCCGCCGCTTCCTCTGCTGCATCCACTGGTGCTGCTGCCAAGATGGTCGAGTACTTCAAGTCCTCTTCCCCTGCCACCCGTACCACCGTTGCTGGTGTCTTTGCCAAGGTCGCCACTGAGTGCGGCAGCACCACCTCTGGTGTCTCCAAGCAGTACTGCACCGACATCTACCCTGCCTGCTCCTCCGGTGTCATCGCCTACACTCTTCCCTCCGCTTCCTACATGGTCAACTGTAAGTAACACTGCCCTGACGACGAGACATTGTTTTCGGTAGCATATCTGACGAAATCTCACGCCACAGGCCCCTACTTTTTCAATAGCCTTACCGCTCTCTCCAGCACCTGCCACGCTCAGGACCGTGCCACCACTGCCGTAAGTGTTGCTCCAGGGCGGGTATCGACAGTCTACCAGTTACTAACTAGCTCTTTACAAGCTTCACGAGGTTACCCACTTGACCCAGATCAAGGGAACCACCGATCAGAGCTCCTGCTACGGATACAGCTGTGTTCAGGGCTTGACTGCTGCCCAGAACCTAAACCACGCCGACACCTATGCCCGTAAGCCTCTATCGCTCAGCTTTGAAGGTGCTTTTCTAACCACTCTCCTCTTGAAGTTTTCGCCAACGCCATCTACGTCGGCTGCTAAGCGATCAGCATCAAGATGGACAAATCAAATGGGTTCGAGATTGAGAACTCGGCCAGGCCGACTCTCAGGACCAGGGGATAGTCATGCTTGGGCATTGTCTGCGGCTTCGTTCCGAGGACGACAAATCACGATTCTGATACATACCTTGGCCGATACCTAGGTACTTAGAATACATGGTTGAGTAAGAAACCCTTGCTTCTTGCGCTGAAAGATGTGACCGAGACGTGACACTGAACTTCCACTAAATTCAATTCAACTGTGACAAAAAAGCAAAAATGAAATCTCAATGAACTGATGGATTCTAACCATTTTAACTCCCCGAGGTGGGCTCGAACCACCAACCTCCAGATTAACAGTCTGACGCGCTAGCCAATTGTGCCATCGGGGATATTGAGATGCTTTTCGATGACACTGGTGGCCTCGCAATTTGATCATGATCCTAGAGTGAAAGTGGTGGATTGCGTGTGGGACATTCGAAGCCCTATAAACAGAAGCGAGTGTCTCACGACCCAATGGCAGCGATAGCACAGGACCGAGTCCCACACTTGGCACCACCTGCAAAACGTCGCACCCCACGTCCGGATCAAAGTTCTTACAATTACAATGCCTCAACCATGATTTGATTTGATATGATATGGGGCTTCGGAACCTGTCAATTGGTAATTGTTGGACTGATGGTGCAGTTAAACAAAGTTCATGTGACTGAGAGTTGGAGTGCCGTAAGCATTCAACAGCGAACCCCAGCGTAAAGTTGACTCAGCACAGAAGGGCCGTCCCGTGCGGCAGCTATTTCCGTACAATTTCCACTGGCTCGGACAATGCTTGTTGTCGAGTTTACTCGGCTCATGACGTTGCTCTAACACGAGATGCCCTTGGAGACATGCTTACAAATGACGATGTCCACGGTGGCTGCTGGTCTTGAATCATTGTTCTGAGCCACGTTATCAATCTCGATAATCACTTAGTGAGCCCCTCGGATTATCCGTCGATTCTTGTAAAACAAAAGCGAGGTAAGACCCATTGATCGTGTAGTTCCAAATCTTGTTAGATGGAAAACTTTTTTGGCCGCAGTTGAAGGAAACTTGGCTACGCCGATAACTCCTTCCTAATTTGTCTTTTGCCCTCCTCAACCTTTCCACAAGGAAACTTGAGTAAAACTGATCTTCACCATGACTGTATCTCACAACATCCTCATCACGGGTGCATCGGGCTATCTCGGGGGCACTTTACTCGCTCGCTGGGCGAGCGCCGGCCTCACGGGCTATGATAGGCTTTTTGCACTCGTTCGAACAGAGGCTCAAAGGGACCAAGTCAAGCAATATGGTGCTGAGCCTCTCACGTTTTCCCCTCGAGATGATCAGGCTGTCCGAGACGCAGTAGTACAGAATCGGATCACCATCGTCTTTTACTTGATAGATGCTTTCGACTTTGTTGGCCAAGAAAACTTCATCAAGGCTCTGGGCCAAGTGAAGTCTCAGACAGGTCTGCACGTTCACTTGCTTCACGTGTGTACACCCCGTCAATGTCATTGTTGATATTTGAGGGAACTCAGCTAACAGAGGTTTTCCTACTTCAGACATCGGGGGCCAAGATATTTTCGGGTCTTGCTGGGGCTCCCACGGATAGTTCGCTCTTAGATACCGACCCTGGTCTGTACGACATCCAGAAAGCTCAAGAGCCCTCAGTCCCTTTCATGAAGAAGGTGAGTGTAGCCCACAATAATCATCAAGCCATGCTAATTGTACGATGTACTCAAGCCTGTTGAGACGAACAAACGAGTTATTGACTTGGCCCAAGCCAACGATGTGAGGTCTTACATTTTTGCTCCCTGCATAGTGTGTAAGTTTCACAAACCGCAGAGTTCGGCTATAGCCTATGGCCTGTTATACACTTTCTTGACTGATTCCATGCCGCAGACGGAAAGGGAGAAGGATTTGGCAATCCTATTTCCATCCAAACTGTTGACATTGTCAAAGCTGCCATTGCTGCTGGACGAGTGCACTCAGTGACACCTGGTCGGCCTGTAAGTCACTACTCTCTTCTAGAACATGCGGACAAAAGCTTACCACAATCATAGACATGGCCCGTATGCCACGTCCTCGACAACACTACCCTTTATCTCCAAATTCTTCGCTCTATCTTGAACGGAGAGACCCCAGGATATGACAAGACCGGCTACTTCCTCGCGGCTTCTGGTAGTGTAGCCTGGGATGATCTGTACGACGCAATGGCCAAGGCACTTAAGGCCCGAAATGCCATTGAAGACGAACGTGTCATTCCCGCAGACGAATCGGCGCTTGGCAAGATGGCTCAAGGGCTGAGCACCGAGAGCTCTCTCGTTCAGATGAGATTGGCTGGAAAGTAAGAGGACCCTGGACTGTGTGACAACGTACATGGCCAAAAACAACCAGTGTGTTAATCTGAGCTAACACTGATCACTGTAACCTAGATGCACCTTCACAGCCAAGCACGGTGCTGAAATTGGATGGAAACCCCAATTTCCTCCAGAACATATTCTCGAGGCTGCTGATGATGAGGTCGAGCGCATTTTGCGGACGCTTCACAGCGACAAAGGTTTTGGCGACAAGCCATGGTACAAGAAAGAGTAGAGTTTCAACCGTTTCATTGAAGGCTGCTCTTATTCTCTGTCGGAATACCAAGTTCATGTTGTGGACTTGGCTCCTCGCCAAGTGTGAAGCAAACCAGCAACCATCAATTTCCTTTCATCGCTCTAGATAGGTCGGTCTACTTATCTGCTGCTCAAAACTCGGACAATGTGATATTATTAACACCAGGTGACTAGGTAGTTCAAGAAATTCTTATCATCTTGTTAAGCATTCTCCGTTAGGTAGCAGTGATGGGTACGGTACGGGTTGAGTTCTCAAAGTGCATCCTACACTCCATTCTTCGGCCTTCGGGCCATCAAACACTGCGATGTGGGACCTTCCAAAGTCCTTCATTCACCATGATGACGGCAGAAACGCTTGTACAAGCCGTCTCTCATAACATTTCTTGTGCTTCGGTACTTTTGATGATGTACACTGATGCAGTGAGCAGCTAGCGCCGGAGCCCCGCCACCCACCGTGGATCCTTTCCGGGCGCCGATTTGTAATGTGACGAATTCAGTCCGATCAATCAGTTCTTGCCAAGCTCCACGTTCCTCTCGACCCCCCTCTCGGCTACCCCTCGCAGTCGAGCTACCCTACATAAACGACTGGACTTACCCCCAGGACAAGTGTTCGTCAAGTCCCGCCATCAATCGCAGAAATTGCAACATCAAAGTCAACATGCCTGGAAAGCTTATCTTGTTCGATATCCCCGATCGGAACGGAGCCTGTTGGTCCCTGAACCCTTGGAAGAGTGGGTAGCTTTACTCAACTGGGTTGAACGCAGGAGCTTCCGGCTGACGTAACTGTTCGTACAGCTCGACTAGCGCTCAACTTCAAGGGCGTCGACTACAAGACGGAATGGCTCGAGTATCCGGACATCGAGCCTAGGCTCAAACCAACCGGCCTTGAAGGCGACCCGAACCAGATCAAACCTTACACATGTCCCGCTGTGCAGTTCCCCGATGGTACATACATCATGAATAGCGCCAAGATTATAAAACGCATCGAGGCCGACTACCCAGAGCCGCCTCTCTACATCGACTCGGAGGTGCTCCAGCCGATGTACGACCTTCTCAGCAAAACCTTTGGAGCATTGGTTGCTGTCCTGCTACCAAATGTCCCCCGAAAAATGTTGGGCGAGTACAGCGCAGAGTACTTCCATCGCACTCGAGCGGAGATTTTTGGGATGTCACTTGATGAGCTTGAGAAGGCCAAGGGAGGGGAGGAAGCCTGGACTAATGCCAAGGAATCATTGGAGGGACTTGCGAGTCTTTTGAATAAGACGGAAGGCCCTTACTTCCTTGGAGATAAAGGTAGGCAACCATCTCCAACTTTTCAAATCCATGGTCACTGAAACAGCTGCTAACACCATGCATTTTAGTCTCTTACACGGACTTCGTTTTTGTTGGCTTTCTGTACTTCGTCAAGCGAGCTGGCGAGGAACACTATCAGCGCCTTGTGCAGAATTCTGAATCCTTTGACAAGATATACAAGGCTTGCGAGAAGTGGCTGGAACGCGATGATCATTGAGCAAGCACCTGTTGTGCGGGGGGTCAGAAGACTGAACAAAATAATGGAGTCAGTTTTTCTTGAGAAAGACTAATGAAATATATCTATTGTAACACTGATCTTGAATACATGCAAGATGTCTTGTCCCCATCTAGCTTGATATGAAATCATGAACCCGACGAGTAGGCTATCCTAGGAACCTCCAAGGATGCCGCTTCAGTGTCTCTCGAGCATGATATTGGCTTCATCAGGCCAAGTGTAGTTTTTGACGCGGCCAACGTCTCGAACCAACCTTCCAGGATGAATCCAGAGATACAAGGCCATAATCGCCACCATGGGAACGGCATCAAAGAGATACAAGAAGATCTCGTGAGTCATGATGTACCCATTCTCGCCCTGGAAATATTCGACGCCCCTAACCAAACTTCTCAAAAACATGAGAGAGGCGACGCCGTACGTCATCAGGTAATACTTCCTCCACGCGATGCCCGCCCTTGTCGCGTTCAGGTCGTTCGCCTCGCGTCGAGCACAGGTATAAGAGTGCCAGCAGGAAAGCACGAAAAGGGTGATGACGCCGAGTTGGGCCGCCAGACCGGACATAATGAGGGTCTTTCCCATCTTGATACCTTCAGGATCTCCCGATGCGGGCATGACGGCACCAAAGACTTGGGTTACGAAACAACCAATGTCGATGATGACGTAAAAGAAGGCCGTGAGACGCGGGCTGACAAAGGCGTGGCGACGGAGATCGAGTGCGATAATGATGCGGCCGAGACTCATGTAAATAGTCGCGGCGAAAAGCGGCGGTGATCCGAGAATCAGGAGGTTCTGTAAGATGTATGGCCCAGCTACAATGGGGTTCTCATGAGCCTTTGCGCGTCCATAATAACCAAATGCTTCGCCTATTTGGTTTGATTTTCTTAGTCACTGAACTATGGTACATGCCTAACGTTCGATGATGTTTGGTGGAGAAGACTTACCAACGCCGCCTAATATGAAGGGTATGAAATGCCATGCTCTTAGCCAGAACATGTAGCCGATGTGAAGGAGTACGCCGAGCCCAAAAATGACGAGAAACGCCCATCCTGCCCCTCCATTCGGTCGGTAGTTGTAGAAAACGATCTGTGTTCCGTTGACTACGGGTCCGAATGGACCAGGCCCGTCTAGCTCGTTCACCATCGTTTCTGAAGCCTGAGTCTGGACGTCGATCTTATCGAAAGCCTTGACTGTTAAAGAGCGTCGAAATGAGGCAAATCGCCACAACGAACAGACAAGAGAAGGAAAAGGAAAAAGACTGGTACAGATTCTATGTCAAAGCTAAAACTATAGGCAAGAAGAGAAAGAGGCTTTAGGAAAGGCACTTGTCTCTTATAATCTTTCTAGACCTTAGCTTGAGAGTAGACGTAGCGATTCAAGGGCGATCCACAGCGGCGGTGCGAAGCGCATAGCAATACGATTTTGGAATGCGATTATTCGTATTCAATACGACAGCTAACCGCCATGTGGGGGTCATCACAAGAACCAAGAACAGCCACCTTACGTGACGGCGCGCCTGAAATTTCTTATTGTTTGTCTATCAATAGAGCTGGAGATCAGAGCTCCTTTCAGCCCATTCCGATTAGCGTTCCCAATATCAGCGAGAGTAGCGATCTGACGGTTCCCATGTTCGACTCTACTACATGTACGCGGCTGCTATCGTCTTCACTATGTGTAAGTCACGATTTGTAAGTGCGCATGTATCTTGCTTCGCGTAACGCGATGGTCAAAGTATAAGCATGGTTTAAAGCTGTAATTCTGATGAATATCGCCGATCCTCTGTACCAGATTAGAGACTCTGTGTCGTTCCCATATTCCCCATTCCATTCGAGGATTTGTTCCGAACTTCCGACCTCTCAGAATCCCACTTGCAAGGGCTTCTGCAGTGGTCCAATCTAACGAATACCATATCCAGACGCTGTAGAAAACTTGCATCGATAGGAGGATCTGTGCTGGAAGAAACCACCTATAGTGCCTGAAGTTATCAAAAACTGGGGCTAACATCGCAATTTGACGACTAAGTTGACCAAATACATTTCCGAAACGCGCAGATCCCATTTCAGACCCCAAGGTTCGCCGAGGAATGTTCGGAAAGGAAAAAACGTACTCCGCACTCACATTCTTGGCTTTGTTGTTGCATTCCCTGGGGTCAAGCGACTCAAGCTTCAGTCGTTGGGGCTGGGGTTCCGTCTGAAACAAACGTCACAGATCTTAATGTTGGCCGTGCACACATCACCGACGTGACGAACCCCTCAAATTGGATCCAACGTATCGATGCGGCACGGGTTCGACATTCAGGCCCGCTCATGTTACCCGATATTGAATCATCGTCAAAGTAGTGCAAGCATTCCTATGATCTAGGCTACCATGGAGTCTCATGCGCCACTAAAGTTCAAAGGGGCGAGGCCCGGCCAAAGGATCAAGCCGGGGACTACTCTCCGAATCCTTGGGATTGGCGACTCCATCACAGTGGGGTTTCTTAGTGACATAGACGGAGGGGATGGTAACGGCTACAGACTGAAGCTCCGTGAAGATTTGTCGAGTAAGTTCAGCGGTCCTATTCCACGAAGACAGGGAAACAACACTAACGAACCGTCAAGATGATAGAGTTGTCTTTGCTGGAACAGAGACCATGCATGGCACAATGCGTGGAGGGTATTATGTACGTTGAGGAACGGTTTCTTACCAAAGACTTTTAGGCACTAACGAGTAACCCGGCATCTAAGGCAGCCTGGAATGCCATGACTATCAAGTTCATGTCAGATAATGTCGGACCTTCTCTGGCCCAAAGACCTAACATCGTCCTTGTCCATGCTGGGACTAACGACATGAATCCGAATCCGGACGTCGCTAGAGAAGGTAGCGATCCTCACGCTGCAGCAGACCGTTTAGGTCACCTGATCGACCAGATCGCACAGACCTGTCCAGATGCTACAGTCCTCGTCGCCAAGATCATTGGCTGTTATGACCCAGCACAAATGAGCAACATCGCTCAGTATAACGCTGTAATCCACGAGGCTGTTCAAGCCCGACAAGCGGCCGGCAAACACGTCCTCACTGTCGACTTCTCGAGCTTCCCGATGAACGCACTGAGAGACGGCATACATCCTACCAATCCGGGCTACCGCTTATTCGGCGACTATTGGTACGATTTCATCACTCAGATTCCTAGTGACTGGATCAAGACGCCTGTTGGGGACGACCCGCGTCGATCTGGAGAGTTGCGCCGCGATGCACCCGTCAAAGGAAGATCAACCAGTCTTTGTGATCGACTTTTCGGCCTGTTTTTCGGCAGAGAACCAGAACTGGTGGTGAAGGCTTGAAGTCCAGCAATAGACATTGAGTAACAGTGGTCCAATTGAAGATTAGCCGGTCTCCGACTCCGGTAGCTTCTCCGGGCTCCTCGTTACCTAGTCGGAGGCTTCTACGGGGCATACTCGTATGCAAGATTCGAAGAATTGGCCGAGAGCTGACCGGGAAACTAAGCGTACTTCCTCAGTTGATCAGACATCAGTGCAAGGTAACGAAACCATAGGGTATTGTCAGGGCAGGATAAGACTCCTTCAACCTTTCAACTTCTGTCACTAGAGTTTACATATCTAAAAACTAGACCATTCCAGCTGAATGTCAATATCAGAAGCTCTCCCGAGTCCGTGAAGGAAGCAATTATTTCAGCCCGTAATAATGTGGCGATTGATGCCAATTTTCCATAGGGTGTAATCTTTCACTAATTCAATGATCCCCGGAGACGGTCAAGCGCGGCGCATATCGGCTTCATCAAGACGCGAGCTGCTGTACCCCAGGAGGTCAAGGACGTACGGGATTCGGCCGGTAAATGGGGCAGAATGGATCGGGTCCATTCAACCTGTAAGGAGAAAGGGTTTGAGCGAACCCTTGTCACCGCAGCGTAAGGTCAATACGTCCATCCAATCCCCACGCGGGGCGGCGCCGGGGATAAGCGCCGGCATCTTCCCCCAGACTGGCAAAAGACGGTTACACCCTCAACGCCTTCAGGCTAAATTGCTATTGCCGGCTTTGATCGTGCTAGGGTCTGTCGTCTGATGGCCATTCCCACGCGGGGTATAGTGCAGGCTGGAGTCTCTAGGCTCGGCGTATTGTCACATTCGACCGAGAGGTGTTTCAAATGACAGGCATGCAAGCTCAATAAGGGTTTGGTTTCCTTCGCCGATAGTTTTCGTATCTGCGTTGGTTTACGCTTCCACCGGTGGTGGCATGGGTCACTTGCGTGGAAACGCGCCATGAAGAAACGAGAAAGATCATCGTACCAGATGCTGCAATGCTTACACCCTGCAGCTGTACCTCCTAGCTCCCTCACAGGATGATAAAAGAGGCGACGTTCCCATCAAAACACAAATCCAGTTCCAACACTTCGTTAAACTGCAACCGAAGACGTTGGCTTCACTCGTCGACAGAGTCCACCAGACAGCATCGACCGTTCGCTGTCCAGATCTCCGTGCCTTGTCACGTGCCATCGCAAAAATTGACCCACGACCATGGGGGGCCACTCGACTGGCAATGCAGCTTACGATGCTGCGTTACAGAGGCGGCAGGCATTGATGGGTGCCAGCGGTGCAAGGGCTCTTGTAAAGAATTGGAAAGTTGCCCGCATTGCCGCCTTTGCCTGCATCGGCGGTGTCTTATACGGGTACAACCAGGTAAGATATGTTTGTTGAGCTGATTTACAAGCACAAAGGTGCAGTAGACACAAGTTACTTACTCACAGATAGGGCATGTTCTCCGGTATTCTCGCGATGCCATCGTTCGAGAAGCGTAAGATTCCCCTGCAATTTCACGTAGCAGTCGATATGACCGCCGTTATTGGGAATTTCAACCAGCTTACATAAGCCCACGACTTTAGACATGGACGGATACACCAAGAACCCAACCCAGAAAGGTTGGCTGACGTCAATTCTCGAGCTCGGTGCCTGGGTCGGTGCTATCTTATCAGGCTTCATCGCTGAAGTTTGCTCCCGTAAATATGGTGTCCTCATCGCGACTGGCGTCTTCATGCTCGGTGTTATCGTACAAATATCATCTATTTCAGGTGGCCATGAGGCTATTCTAGGAGGAAGATTTGTCACGTAAGTTATCTCCTGCTAGATCCATGTCGACTGCCCCGCGACTTGAGCAATGCTGATGTAAAGGCCAGTGGTATTGGTGTTGGAAGCCTTTCAATGATCGTTCCACTTTACAACTCGGAGTGTGCACCGCCGTGAGTGAAACAAGACAACCGTAACGCTTCACCCCTGACAAAATTCTTTGCATAGGGAGGTCCGAGGCGCTCTTGTAGCCCTACAGCAGCTCGCCATCACCTTTGGCATTATGATAAGCTTCTGGATTGTAAGCATTTATCCCTGTCTACTCTCTTGTCCATACTTCTAATATTCCATAGGACTAGTATGTTCTTCACTTACATCCAGACTCCATCTTTGACGTGTTCTGATAAACCTGACCTTTGAATAGCGGGTGTAACTACATCGGCGGCACCACTGAAGACACACAGTCTGATGCAGCTTGGCTTGTCCCGATTTGCTTGCAATTAGGTCCCGCTGTCGTCCTCTTTGTGGGCATGATTTGGATGCCGTTTTCCCCGCGATGGCTTATTCACCACGGTAGAGAGTCGGAAGCCAGGAAGATCCTTGCCAATCTCCGAGACCTCCCTGAGGATCATGAGCTGATCGAGTTGGAGTTTCTCGAAATCAAAGCCCAGTCGCTGTTCGAGAAGCGTAGCACAGCCGAGCACTTTCCTCATCTTAAAGAACAGACTGCTTGGAACGTTTTCAAGTTGCAGTTCGTCGCCATCAAGGCTCTTTTCCAGACCAAGGCCATGTTCAAGCGAGTCATTGTCGCAACTGTAACTATGGTAAGTCTGATCTCGAACAATCACTTCAGGAATACCAGGTTGAATGCAAGGATTGCTGACAGATTCTAGTTCTTCCAACAATGGACTGGTATCAACGCTGTGAGTGCCCCTAACTTGATTCTCCCTGTGGTTATTTTAGCTGACAAAACCTCCAGGTGCTCTATTATGCTCCTCAGATCTTCAGCCAATTGGGACTGAGTCAAACGACCACAAGCTTGCTTGCCACCGGTGTTGTCGGCGTGGTCATGTTTATTGCAACGATTCCTGCAGTTCTCTGGATTGATCGTGTCGGCCGAAAGCCTGTCCTCAGCATTGGTGCTATTGGCATGGGAACCTGCCATCTCATCATTGCTGTCATCCTTGCGAAGAACATTGATAGGTTTGATCAACAACCAGCTGCTGGGTACGGTCTCTGCCATTACTGATGAATGACTGTACTGACTTCTTTACTTCAGCTGGGCTGCAGTGTGTATGGTTTGGCTGTTCGTGGTTCACTTCGGATGTGAGTTGTCATGGCCATCCTGGATAAGAATATTACTGATGATGGACAATACTAGACTCGTGGGGTCCATGTGCATGGATCATCATCGCCGAAGTTTGGCCATTGAGCACCCGCCCATATGGCGTATCTCTCGGAGCTTCCAGCAACTGGATGTTAGTTCGAAGAAATAACACAGACAAACTGGCTCATCGCTGACAATATCCAGGAATAATTTCATTGTTGGACAGGTCACTCCAGATATGTTGACAAGTATCAACTATGGCACATATGTCTTGTTCGGATTGTTGACTTACCTTGGTGCCGCATTCATCTGGTTCGTCGTTCCAGAGACTAAGCGTTTATCTTTGGAAGAGATGGTATGTCTACGTCATGTCCCCTATTGACGCTTGTCCTTTGACATATGTCCCAAACTGCCATACCTAGCTAATCTCGGCTGCAGGACCTTGTATTTGGCTCCGAAGGCACTGCCGCTGCTGATTTTGAGAGAATGGAAGAGATCAACAACGAAATCGGCCTGAGTGCAGTCCTGAACCGCGCTTCCCCGAGCGGCGGATACTCCAAGTCGGATGACTTGGAGAAGAAGGACATCGACGCTGCTTCTGCCGAGCACCATTAAGAGAGCCATGATCTACCGGAAGTATGACCACCACCTACTCGCACGCAGATCCACCAACACATTCATGTGAAAGTCGGTCTGTACTGCTATGGCCTGGTAGCTTCACGCCAGTCTTAGTCTCGTGGAATGGTGGGAGGAGGGGAACTAATAGCGTAGGTAAAGTAAATCATGCCATACGGAACTTGTCCTGCATCCTAGGATTCAAATACAGATTGGATACATTCTAGCAAATCTTTCGAAAAGAACGTGTGCGCCCATACATCTCTAAAGGGGCAAACTTAACTCAGCTCCACACGATTACATACCAAACGGTTACCCTATTGCAGTATTTGTCAATTACCTTTAAAAATTATTTCACAATTTAACCATCTAACTATCAAGGTTATAGATTGATCACTTCTGTGTAAAGGTATAAAGTTATCCTAAGTGGTCTCAAATGAGAGAACTTGATAGCATGATACCTCTATTACACCACTTTGCAAGTCATCCAGACCTTTCGAAAAGGACCCCGCACGATATGTTGTGATTCGGACATACAAGTCAGCCTCAAATCTGCCTTGAGAAGACATGGTTTAGTAGTATGCAGACGAGAACTAGCGCTTATCCATCCGCACCCTTTTTTGGGGTACTACCTTCACCACACGAACGATTGGCTGCCATGCTCGAGTATCTGCATATCCTGCCTAGATGGCGTCTCACAGCCCTACAACTCTAGCAAGTTTAGTGACCAGTTAAATGCACGCTGAAAGGCAGCAGCTAGCTCGAGCTAGAACAAAGATGCACGGTGTGTTGAGGTTCTTGGCCTACTTTATTGTCGTCTTGTACGGCACCTTCAGCGAGTGGACCGTTTCTCTTGTAACTCTCGTCACTAACTGTTCCTCTTCTCTGAATACCGAGACTCAGACCTTCTTTTAGACTCGCCGTAAGGTTTCTTGAATCAGTATGTCTCCCGAATCCACGACCGATGATGCGCTGAAGGGCGACGATGACTTCTCGATCATCGAACGCTTGGCCGATGCCATTCGCATCGAGGAAGACGTTCAGATCAGTCAGAAGGACCGCAAGGAAGTCATCCAGGATCTCTACGAAGGCCCGAAGAAGTGCCAGTGTTGCATCAACTGGATGGACGATTGTCCAAACGGGGTCGATCTGACCGAAGTCGATGAAGACGACGATGAAGACAGCGGCAGCCCCCTGATCATTCGACGCCGAGTAAACGCCAGCCGCACTGGCACGATCATATCTATTCACTCGATCGAAATTCGACATGCGGCGACCCGCAAAGTTCTGATCGATGTTTTCCAACCCTACGATAACATCGTCCACCGAGTCAAGTACCTTACATTCTTGGCCCCCTTCCACCAGTTCTTCTGGCGCTGGGAGCGCTTCGAGAAGGCCGTCGCGGAGGAGAAGGACGACACTGTGAAGAAAATACTGGTTCTTTTGAGGGGCTTGGTCAAACGCGAGCTGGCAGGGGCGTTTGCCGTGAACAAGGAGCTCGTTAGCCACGGGGTCATCACCTTCAGCTACCTCTGGATCTTATTCGCGCCCGGGGAGCTGATCTACTCGGCCGACGACAGTCACGACCGATTCTACGTCCTTCGATCATGCTCCGCGAGAGACATCGCCACAGAACTAAGTCTCTCCTATATTGCTTGGGGTTATCCAGCGATGCGATTCGGCACGGTCCACGAAGACATCTCCATCGAAAATTTCCTAGGGTCTCGCCCAATTGACAGTCTACCTGCCTTCCCCGCCAAGTATCTCCGCGACTTCTCAGGAATGCAAACAAAGCTTGTAGAACGAGGGCGCAAATACGCACACCTGGCTGGTACTCATTACAAAGCATACCATCCCGCAGGACAGGATCCGAAATCTGAGCTTCGGGTGATGATCGATCCTAGTCACAGAAGGGTATATCTCTCAGCATATATCCGTGATAAAAGTGACGAAATGCTTGAGGTACTTTTCAGCCAGTACACCGATCTCATCAACCAATCTCCGGTGGATTCACCTCCCCCGAATGGCATACACGTCCCTTTGGATGAGTACATTGACGAGTGGGACGAGAGACCAAGAGGCGGTCGTCGACCTTTCCGAGGCCCCATGCCTCGACGGTCTTCCCCATATTACGTACCACCTGCCGTGCCCAGACGAAGATCCCCAGTTGTAATCGAGACTGACCGAAGACGTCGGAGCATCTCTCCGGGATTTAGTAAGGCAGAAACCCCTGTGTGCCAAAGAACATCAATTAACACACCTTTCAGGAAGACGTGATGAGGATATCGAGGAGAACTCCAGAAAGAATCTAACGGAATTTCATCTACAGCTCACAGACCCCGAGGTCGATGGATTTGATCTCAAGGAGAAAGTCTGGAGTAAGTATCCGATAGAACAGCGCACCGCTTAAACTTTGAAACCTTTTGTAACCCTTTGGAATAGGAAGCTTTGAAGTAGACCGAATCCACGATATCGAATGGAATACGAAACCCTTCGAGAGTCTCGTGTTGCCGGACGGATACAAGGATTTGATTCTGGCTTTCGTTGAGAGTCAGGTCAAGGAAAAGGTTGCATTTGATGACGTGATCAACGGCAAAGGTCACTTCAGGGGGCAATCGGTGCATGTATGTGTTAAAGGCACAGTGCTAACAATCCGTAGGTGGTGGGCTCGTAGCCTTGCTTGCCGGAGATCCAGGCGTGGGCAAGACTCTCACTGCCGAGTCAGGTACGATTTAATCTGACTCTTTAGTAACTGAACACGAAGCTGACCTCCGTAACAGTTGCCGAGAAAATCCAAGCTCCTCTGTTCAAGATGGAGTTGGGAGATTACCACGAGGACGATCGCGACAACGACGTTAACCTAGTTCGCTATGATGACAGGAATCAATCCTTGAGTCCCCGTCCCCGAGACCCAGAACGTCCAATGAGCTTCACAACTGCATTTGAACTCGCTGCTCGCTGGGGAGCCGTTCTTCTGATTGACGAATGCGATATGTACTTGGAGAAGCGCAGTGAAGCTTCATCCAAACGGAACAGGATGGTCTCTCGTAAGTAGCTCTGCCATAAGCGTTACCCTCTTCACTTGTAGGTTTTACTCACCTGACTGACACTAAACTTCGTGCAGGCTTTCTGAAAGAATTGGAGTACTATCCGTCGCTCCTCTTCCTCACTACGAACCGCGAGCGATCCCTTGACCCTGCCATCTACTCCCGTGTCCATCTCAACATCAACTATCCCGCATTGGACGAACCTTCCCGTATGACAATTTGGCAGACTTTCTTGGAGAAAAACGACTCGACCATATCAAGGAGTGAGTTTGGATCCCTGTCTAGGATCCCTGTGAATGGCCGCCGTATTCGAAACATTGTGAAGACGGCTGGCATCATGGCGAAGAAAGACGGGAGAGCGGTAAACTTTGATGACGTAAAGAAAGTCATGAAGATCACCGAGGGAATCGAGATTGAAGACTTCTAGCGACCTTGATTGATGAGAATACGGGAGTTTGCTGCTTTGTGCCATCTGTCTTTTGAACAAGTTGGACCTTGCTTTCGCGACGCCGTTGAATAATAGATGCACAGTGTACTTCAGGTTTCAAGTTCAAGTATACGTCGTATCCGTCAAACGGAATGCGAATGAATATGGAATGAAGTCTCGAGCTTGTACAGGATGAAGCAAATAAAGAACTATGTACATGTGGATGGAATATTTCTTTGCTCCGGTGAGGTTCTGGTGCCTCTGTGGAAAAGGCCATATCAACGCCGTTAACGGCCCAGTCCTCAGGTGAAGTGCGCATCGATGGTCTTCTTCATATCCTGAGCAATCAGCTTGTGTCCAGCAGTCGTTGGTTGAATAAAGTTCATCCAGAAGTATTCGTTTGCGTGTCCGTCAATCATGCAGTCCGTCCACTGCGCCGTCTCATCTCCATCACAGAAAAGGTTCAGCGGCTTCGGGAAACCATATGCCCTGGGGTTCGCCAAAATCTGAACCATGAAGCTAAACACGTCATAGTAGATGACTTTCTTGCCGAATTGTCCTAGGCTCTTCTGTATAGCCGAGTTTGCTTGCTGGATTACCTGGCCCCAGGTCTTGACGCAGTCGGCATTGGTACTGCAGAGATATTTGGGCGTCACCGGGGCAAGATGCTTCGGGTAGATATTGGCAACCATGACGTACGGTGCCCCCTTGTCGATGAGGGTCTTGACCTGCGCCGTGATCTTGGCTGCCGCGTCGTTTGCGAACTGCGCGTTCTTTGGATCGCCCAGCCAAAAGGCGTCGGTATGCATGCTAAGATCATTCTCGCCGAACCAGAGGAACTGCAGAGAAGAGCGAATACCCGGGGCGCCTCGGCCGGTGTAGTTGGAAACTTGTCCAATCATGTCTGTCGCCCCAGCCTTGGACTTGGTGTACGTGTTGTCGAAGGTCGCCCCGAAATCGCCTCCGCCGCAGCAACCGCCGAATGCATAGTCCGTCAGCGGAACCCGGAGAAGATCGGAGAGGTAGGACACGGCGACCGGGCCGTTTGTCCATGTTCCGAACCCGTAGACGTTGGCTGGGTCACCAGTGATGCCGTGCGCGAAAGAGCCGTTGCCGTTGTCGCTAAGCTCATCGCCGTAAGCTACGAGGTTGTTGAATGGGTAGGTTGCCCGACCTGTCAAAGTCGTGTCCCTAGTCACGCGCGCTGCGATGAGAGGGAGAATTGAAGCAATGAATCCCACGCTGTGAAGCATTTTGAAGTGCAAATGAGTGTGAATTTGACAAGAAAATCAACGGTGATCAATGGAAGATCTTGAAAAATGAAGCTCTGAATAATGCAGGTTTAAGTCAATCGGACGGAATGTGGAAATCTGAAGATATTATACATGAGCTCAGGAACTGAGGCAATGTTTTCGTGTTCAAACAACGGCATGCCTTGCTCATTGAGAACCTCTCAAATTAAAGTCTCATTTCTTTTCCGGGTCTGTGGCGGCGATGGCGTTGTTCGATGTCGCACCAACGTGGCTGGTCGCATTGACTGTTCCTTCAAGGAGTGAGACGGCCCAACCGTCCCTTTGCGCATCCAAATGGCATTGAAATGATCCAGACGAAGGATGAACAATTTCGATGCCTAGAACTTCTCATCCTACTTCCTATGCTGCCTCACGTAGCTATTCGATGATGACCCTGGCGTTATCAACGACCGTAAATGAAACAACTCGAGCCTTGGAAAAGATCATAGGCTTTAGCAAATTGCCAAATACTGCATCCCGATGCGTAACTTCTGCAATCCCTTGGAGGACTAAGAAGTGAAGTCAGACTTAGCCAATCAAACTCGAACGTCGCAATGATGCTCTCATTGGCATACACTCGGCTTCAAAGTTTCAAATGTCCAGTACCAAAGACCCGAGCAGAAAGGGACTTTGGTAGACCGATATTAGTCGTCGAGAAAACCTCTGGCAGAACGAACTACCAATAAATCGTCTTGATGGGATCGATGAGCTAAGCAAGTCGCATCAGGGCTAAACAAACAGGCCACTCACAAAACATTGCATGATGTTCCCCTCACCAACATTTTGAGATCTCCGACTCTCGGAGTTGATGTATGAAGACAATTGGACACACTCTTTTCTCCTGACTTGAGACTTCTCCAGCATAGCTCTCACGTAATGGCATCGACAACAGTGCTCCGAGATGTCTCACCCATACAATTAGACCACTTGATCGAACTCGCGTGCCGCATTTGGGTCGATGATCCGGCTTTCTCGATGCTGTTCACCAAGCGTCACGATGGCAGAATCGAGAACGTTCGTGTGATATGGCGACTCATTCTCAAGTATGAGATGGCGAAGGCCGGTACCGTGATAACTGTTGCTAGAGATATTTCCGAGACTGGAGAGGGCGGATATGTTGGCCTCGGCATTTGGCAACGGCATGGAATTACCGAGAATGCAAAGTCGTGGCAGGTCAATAGCCTAGGAAAACGTCAGTCTCAGCTCAATTATACCAGCATTATTAGATTTACTAATTTGTGCTTGCAGGATTCATGATGCTGCAGGTGGTCTTGGAATACTGGCATCGGCTTCTAGTCGGATCTCTGCCTGCCAGAAAAGTCAGAGAGTTAATGGGACAGCTGAACAAAGCCCAGAGCATGTATCCAACCGAGCGATGGCGTCTTTGTTGGCTTGGCGTATCTCCAAGCACCCGAGGTCGCGGTATTGGGAGGGGATTGATTCAATGGGGCCTGGACCGTAGCGAAGAGGAAGCTGTGCCTACGGTTCTCGAGGCTAGTAACGCCGGAGCTATTCTGTATAGAAAGTACGGCTTCAAGGAAATTGGAAGACAGACTTTTGACGACGGCAAGCACACACAGCCCATCATGCTTAGAGAGGCAGTCGGGATGAGTTCCTCGGCCTAGGCAGTAACTCTGTGCGAATTGATGTTTATCCAAGTCAAAATGGTGGACCTTTTCACTTGGGATGTGTCTACTGCGGAACTCAACGCAAAAATGGGAAAGAGTAATGGAATACGAAGAGTCAGGTATGTTCTGAGGCTCAAGTGGTAGTGGGGCTGTGGGGTGGCGATGCTCAAACCGTGAAGTTGGTGAAACTTAGGTCCATTTAGAGCTTCGAATCAACAACTCCACAGGAGCTTGATCTCAGCATCAGTTCAAACCATGGATATCGGCCGGCTGGCGCAATGGTAGCGCATCAGACTTCTACCAGCTCATGTACGAGTTGTGGTCATCTGGGGGTTGTGGGTTCGAGCCCCACGTTGGTCATTCTTTTGTACTTGGAAGCGAGTGGTCAAGACTTTTTTGTATGTCATGCAGAGTTGCAAACATCGTGATCATCAGACAGAATTTTCTCTAAAGTGGGCCCCGGCGGTCCCGGGTGGGGTGATTCCACAGAGCGAACGAGGGCGGGGCCGTCCTTACGGCCAACCACCCGGTCCCGGCCAGTCATCCAGGTCTTCAAGTCTGCCATTGCGGCTTGCGCTTCTCCGTGAAGGATGCGATGCCTTCTCGGGCATCAGCACTCCTCGCATGAAGCGCCATGATTCGTCCGGCCCAGCTTGCCGCATCCTCATAACCATCACCTCCTCTACCGTCAGTACCGTCACCCTTGATGCCGAGCTGTGTCCAAAAAGCCCATTTACCGAGGGCCATCGGCTGACCCGCTGACCCCGCAAGTCTCTCCACCACCTCCGCAACACGACCCTCGAAGGCGGCGGCAGCCGTGTCCGTGGACTCTGCGTGCTCGGGCGTCGGTACCACATCGACGGCACCCCGCATCTCGTCAGCGGTGATCGCTTCGGCGGTGAGAAGAAGCCGGTAAGCTTGGCCTGGTGATAGGCGCCGGGATACCGCCGTTACAGGACTCGTGCACGGTAACCCTATGCTAGCGCCAGGCAGCTGGAACTCGGTGGTGGATAGGGCGATGGGGTAATCTGTCGACGGCGCGAGTTGCAGCCCGGCGGCCGTCGCGAGGCCATGAATGGGACAGATAATGGGCGCTGGGCTCTGGCGAATGAGAGACATGACTTCGGCGCAGAGGGCAAACGTGCGCTTCACCTCGACACGCGAGAGCGAGGCGAGGTGTTTGAGGTCGTGGCCCGAGGAAAAGACTGGCCCCGGGCTGCTGCGGAGGACAAGGACGTTCGGTAGCCCGGCTCGCTCTCGGTTCCATTCTGCGGCATCGACGAGCCAGCTGTACCCCGAAGAGCACCTGTCTTTCGAGTCAGACGCGGAGCTTGCCTTTTCAAGCTCCCGCAAGATCGAGGGTCTGGAGGGAGGGAGCGTTAGAACTCTGCCGGATGATGGTGACGTAAGGTGCGCGAGGAGCTGCGTGCGGAGATCTTCGAGTATTTCCAGACTCAGGGCGTTACGCCTTGCTGGGTTTCGAAGATGGATGTATGCGGCTTTCGCCGGAAGCTTTGGGAGCTGCATCGGAGATTATAGCCTTTAAAGTCAGCATCAGGCGATAGGGTACATGTAGGTAGAAGAAGTAGAAGACTTGATGGATGCAAGGCAAGTGCCATTGTGACATGTGTTAGTTAGCTTTCCTGTCATACGGGGTCTAACTAATCTAGGTTGGTGGAATACGGCTACAAGTAGGAAACCGTTTACCCCGAGAGAGTTTAGACTCTCGCTCCCTCCACAGGTGGGTGGCATTCTACTTCCACCCGCCTCAAAAACAGTGCATGCCTTTATGAGCAGTTTTTGTAGTTGCCATCTTCTCCGCTGCAACTGAAATCAACTCAATTGTAAGCTTATGTATCCATAGATCGACCGTCGGCCCTTTTACGGCCAAAGAGGTCCAGTTGAACTGGTTGCTTGGCAAGATCGCCTGTGCTCTGGCTGGGCCGAGTCTTGGCTTTTCTGCCTCCCAATCCACGTGTTAATGGCCCGAATACCTCGTAAAGAGGAGAAATTCGAAGCATATAAATGCAACTCATTAATCGTAATCTACTTTGACTTCTTATGACTTTTGGCGTATTTCCAACTTCAACTCCTCTGGAACCGTCTGGCGTATCATGTGGTGTATCACAGTCCCTTTTCTCTTCGGGTCCGGAAACTCATGTCGAAGATCCAGTTCGGGTGATTCGAAAGGGTCTTCGTAAAATACCCCTCCAAGTCTCTGAATGACCCTGCACCTCTCTTCCATATCGTTGGCGTTCTTGATTCGACCGAGTCCAATTTTCAGACCGTCCTCCTCAAAGGTCCGGAGAACCCAGACGCCCCCCGTTGCTGGATACCCGGCAATGACATGATCGCTTCTTCGAGACGTTATCGGGTAGTCGCCAAAGTTTGAATAATCTTCCAGTTCGTAGGGGTGTTCGCTTTCAAACCACACTGCACCAAGCATGCGCATCCTCTGGCAGTGCGCATCTTCCTCCGCCTGGTCCTCTGATCTCAACGCAGGTTCGAAACGGTCGAGGCGAAGGAACTCGAGGTCCACGCCGAGGCAGTCGTTCAGAAAAAAGATTCCGCCATGGCTTGGCCATCCTCGTACCACTGTGCCAGATCTCAGCCCGAACGAGGTTCTGTACTTCTGTTCAGGTGTTGTCTCGTCCTTGTAGCCGCGGCAGTAGGAACAGCGAGAACAACTGCCGCCATCGTCGTCATCATAGCCCTCTGAAGATGGTATGATCGTCATAATTCGGTAGTACTCGAGAGCCCAGGCTACGAACCTGACGGTAACGTAGAAATAAGAGGCAATTGTTAAGGAGTACAGTACACCTGTTTGGATATGTGGCATCTCAACTCCAACTTGCGACGGTTTGAGCAATATTTGTACAGGGGCAGTAAGGATATTCAAGGCCATTTTTTTGTGGATGGCTGGCCGCAGGTCATCTCGGGAAATTGAAACTTTAATCATGAGGGCGATTCGGTCACTCCCCTGGTTTTCTAGCAAAACGCCGACTGATGCCTGTTTCGCCGAGATATGCAGTCAACACCCGCCTGGCTGGCTGCCTGGATGAGTCGCGCTAGGAGATTACCTATGCCTGGTCTAGGACCGTGGTATGGTCTGTTGGCTGCTGCCTTAGTCATTTGAACTACCAGACAACAGTGACAAGAATGTCGCGGTAATAGTTGCTTTGATCAAAATAGAGCTTGGTCATTGTATCGCACAGACATGGAGCTTTCACTACATGTTATCGCTGTGTCTTGTGTCCTTCCCACACGGTTTGTATAGATGTTGGGGGTAGATTGCTCGATATTTGAGATGCTATCGGCCCCTTTATGAGAGAAATACTTCACCAATGTGCCTTTTCACACTTTAGTGGTATATCCAGCAGTGGCTAATCCAGAGGAGATGATCTCTCCAGGTCACGGTCATACCATCGGGGGATATCTGCCAGTCGACAAGCCGGCATGCGTCTCAACCCCAGAACTCAATTTCTCAAAACAGGCAAAAGAACTCAGATTAACACCATGTCAACTTCGCTCATCACAGTTGATACTGCCATGCCGCTGAATTCCGTGTCTTCCATTGACCGTATGCCCCTACATCTAGTGCACGCCTAGTGTCATAACGACGAGCTCTGGAATCTTTTTACTTTCTTTGTAAAACCTCCCGTCACAAGTTTCGATCAGCAGGCACCGTTCCTCCATGCTCCTCGCATTGTGGATTCTTGCAGCTCCGGCGTTGGCTGCCTCTGCCCTGGTAGTCTTCAACAGCCAGAGACCACCCGAGACTGGATAACCAGCAATGACAACAGCATCTTCCCACGTGGCATTTCCAAATGACTGGTTGACTAGATAATGCGTCAAGCTCTTCCACCAGTTTGGTCCAAGCTTCACCATCCTTGCGCAGTGCGCATCCTCCTCCTCCGGATCCCCTGACCTAAACGTAGGCTCAAAGCGGCTCAGGCCCAGGAAGTCGAGTTCCACGCCGTCGCACTTCAGTGTATAACATCCACCAGTGCTTGGGTACCCGTATACTGTGGTCCAGTGACTGACGCCGAATGCCGTGCGGCGGTCGAGGAGAAGCCGCCCTGCGTCGTTGAACGCGGCGACAAGACGTTCTTCGCGCCTCAGTCCTTTGCGTAAATAGTATTCTGCTCGTCTTTCCGCGCATCGACAGCGTCTTTGGCTATGTCCGGCGTCCAATGCTGACGACGCTGCTTCGACCGGCATGGTCTCTGCCGGCCGGCTGGGGGGGTCGGCTCGGGAAGAGAACTGCGCTGAAAGCAAAACCACGATTGTAAAGGATACAATGGCAGCGGTGGCGTAGAGGGTGTGCGACATTGCTTTGAGGGTAACTCGGTCGCTTGTCGGGCAGAATACACGGCCTTTCGCGACCAGTGGTCAAGACCGAGGTGTTCTTGGCGGCAGGGAAGCCTCGGGGCTGTCACAGTGTGCTACATACACTCAGCTCAGATTTGCCGGCGGCATCCTTAAAGTAAGTTTGATATAGTGCAACAGATATACGGCATGAAGGTGCGAAGGCAGCAACCTAGTCTGACCGATGATGCCGAGTTCAAAACTGCTGCCTTCAAAGCATTTTTAGACTTCTTCATCGATGGTATCATGATGGCCTAACTGACGATGCCGGACTCGTCCTCTTGAACTTGACAGTCCAGGCAACCAAACGGAATTGAAATCTGCTTCAACGTTTGCTTCGTACAATTCTTTTTTTAAAGCGGGTAGTTGGCTAGAGAATTCCGCGTCACCCGTTGAACGACGCGTAAGCTGTTGCTGCCTAGATCGCAGTCCCGAGACTGAATTCTTGCAGCCTGGTAAGAAGAGCAGCGCTCTTATGCCATGACTAGTACTATTGTCATGCAGACACGAGCAGAGGCAAGGTTTTTCTTTTTTCTTTTTATGGTTAATGTTCTTCTCGTGAGCACGCTGGATAAATACGTGTAGTGAAAGGCAACCAAATACTTTATGCAATGCTTTTGCCACTCAATACGCTCAACCATGGGGGGAATCAAATGTTCGATACAAGGCCGTTTCCATAAAGAGGTCCGGTGGCTACATATAGGTGCGTTCTCCTCAGGAACGGTGCCCAACCATACCATGACCAGAACGAGAATAAGACTATGGCTCGTGATCATGATCGTCGTAAGACTTTCGTCGTTGATCAAATACTTCAGTAAAAGTAACAGCTTCCTTTTCGCCGAGCTCCATTGATGGTGGCGGCGGGATTGGGGTGGGAACAACCTCAACATTAGACTTCGGTGCAGCTTTGCCACTGGAGTTGATCCAATGGATGACAAACGCAGTGAAGAGAACTAAGAAAAAGTTAGAGTCTGACAAGAAAGAATGTAGTAAGACCCCAGAGAGCAGGAAGTAAGGTACCAAGGGTAAGATTGAGAGTAAACTTACTGTCTGTGTTGCAACAGGTGAGGCACAGCCAAACTATTTCGCCTTCCAAAGCCACCAATACTGACAAGTTGCTATTAGAAATTATTGTTAGTCAAATCAACAATTTTGCACTATCATTTAGATGTTCTTACGCAATGCTGATAGCCAAGGTGCCAAGGACACCAGCGAAAGTTCGTAACGCGAGTCTCCGTAGCCTCACGTTAGGCGGAACTCGGGAGAAGTGAAGCGTATTCTCATGCATCGTCCACGGCTTCATCATCGATATTTGAATCGAGTGTAGTCCTAGTGATCGAGTATTAGAGCCTGTTCATTGAAGTTGAGGAAATAACATGACTTACTTAAGAGCGGAACCAGGAATAGAGATGTCAGATACACGTTGATAACAGCGTCAAAGAAGATGACGGGCAACAGGATGGTGCGCTCTAGCCCGATGATGCATAAATCATTGTCCTTGTCGTACCGGGAGCCTCGGCTAGTAGCGCAGCAGTTGTCAGTGTAAGTTCCGGGTACAGAGCATGAGGACACTCACGAGACAAAGTTGAACGTTGCTATAATGCCGTATACAGCTAATAGTGGTCGGTCAAGGACAGTTTGGTAACTGGGCTTGGAACATGGACATACCCAGCATGACAAACGAATTGAATACATACAATTTGGACTTGAGACGAGACTTGGTAGTGCCTCGGATAACATGCTGGTCAAAGTGTTAGCCGGGATTGAGATCGGGGGGTTACTGGGGTAGAGTTTTACCGCTTTATCAACCATGAAGAGGTAGACGAGCTGATTGGAGAGTCAGATCGGCCAAAATTCGACCATTGGAGATGGAGGACCATTGAACTTACAGCCTTTTATGAAATTAGCGTTGCCACCAACGACGAAATTGAATTGCAACTTACTTTGATTACGACGTAAGCAGTCAGGCACAGTATGCCCGCAGCTGAACATGGTGTGGAATCCATTCGAAGCTCAGCCAGAAACAAAAGCTGGAAGACCCATGACCCGAAAACGAATAGGCATGAGAAGAGGTAGATGAACAACACAACTGCGGCAATTTCTGTCAGCCCAAAATGTCCCAGACTCTTCTCGAAGTGCCGCTCCTTACGCCATCTTGTCCATGGCAACGGACGCCAATCTTTGATCGCGGACCACTGGTGACCTTGAAAGCCATTAGACCTTGTCGATAACCTAGCAACAACGATTCCCTCACGAAGTAGATATGCCAAGAGGCAAGACGATATCGGTGCGATAATAAGGCTGATGATCTGCTCGGGGCGGATCTCGTGTCTTGGGCTACTCGACGTCTCGCTAGCTGTCGATCCGATGTCGTCCATCTTGAAGGAGGATTTCGCCAAAGGAGTTTCACGGTGGAGGAGGACCTCTGACCTCGTTTCGATGCCGGTATCCTTCAATACCAACGCTTGGCGACATGTGCTGAATGGTGAGATCCTGAGACCAATGGGCCATGAAATGTATCAGCTGGCGTGCCTTAGTATAAGTAGAATTCAGACTGATGAAGGCAAGGTGCGGTCGAGTGCACGTGTAGGGAGGCTTAAGGTTTGAGGCGTTGCCGCTGGGCTCTTGTGCAATAGGGTTGGACTGCCATTCGTAGATAAGGTTCTGAAGGAAGCCTTACGACGGTGGTATGACTCGGTTTTTGGTTTGGACTACTTCGGTCGAATATTCAGTCTGGCCTGTTGATGTTTTCAGATGAGCTTACCGCTTTGCTGGCACCGTCATCCTCGTAGCCTTTTCCAAACAAGTGACCATCACACTGGGCGTGCTCGATGTAAAGAGCTTGCGGCTGCCAAGGCCAAGAATTGCCAATGTGAGCTTCTCTACTCTGCTGCCATAGCGCAAGTCCGGCGCGCATGGTGCCCGGCATCGCCCTCAATCTCGACTAATTAACATCCTTGATGGTCGCAGTCCACAGTGTTTGTTGATATTCGGACATTGCTCGAAGCCGACGCTTAAATTATTCGCCGCAGCCAGCAACTGCAGCATACTTGAGACGATTGTCACCCCAAGGGGCTATAACCTTCGCAGGATACCACGGTAGCAAGCTGCAGAAGGACCGCCTAAAGCCTTTGCAGAAGCTAGTCATAGTGAACGCCTACTATTGTTTCGTCTCCTGCCCTCACCAAAGAGATTTTCGCGAGGGATTCAGCGATGCCTGCCGGGCAGAATGCGTGGCACCCTCATCCCACACTTGTGAGGTTTCCATTTCCCCTAGCAGCCCGTTTCTGTACACCGGGGGAAACTTTAAGCTCCAAACGGGGTCATTCAAAGAGACGATACCGGGCCTAAGCTCTGCAGTGGATATGTTGCGAGCCGATCGAGTGTTTGGACTGCTCGTGAGGAGGAGTGTCATAGCTCCTGTTAGCGGCGATTGATACATCAACCCGATGTGGTACTGGATCTAAATCTATGGCATGCAGCTCGGACGTGAGTTCCTCGGTCGCCCATCTCTGAGGGTATCAACATCCCACACAAGCCTTGGAATAATCGTATTCCAGCCCCTTTGTGTGCAACGGTAGCATCTCGTGGGAGATACCAGGAACGTCCCTGATTCCCCTGCGGGGTGACATACGCTACGCCAACCGTAAGCTCCGGTTGATCCGCTCAGTATTACATACTGAATAGTTTAGGCTTCACTTGCAATCTAGTCCTTCTGATCAAACTCGAGCCCTTATTCATCTTCAAAGAGACGACGGTCCAAAATCGCGTGGTTTATTGATTTGATTCACACATGCTGTTTGATGACCTGAGTGCATTGGCGCCAGTTCGTCAACATGTTAGTCGGCACCGTGCCGCCGGGGTTCTGGCCGCATGGCTTGTGTGGCTGATTTGGCTTCAACGGTTCTGCTGACCGGGCAGACAATGTCGTGATGCATGAGGCGGTACTGGTTGTCCTGCCCGTTAATATGCGTCATAGACACGTTTCTGGGTGTAGGTGCAGACTGGATGTAGCACACCTTACAAAGATGGAAACTTTTCCCGCGAAGGCTCATCCACCCACATGCATCGTTTTACCATTCTATAACCTCTCGAACGTGAAGGAGTTACTACATGGAAGACGGAAAATGACTGCCCGCAGCACATTTCCATTTACCATTGAGTGCTGATATACCTGGGATTTAGATGATGGCAAGCAGTGTAGAAATCCAAAGCCCAACACGAAGCTTTCCATGAAAGCAACGCCAACAAGACTGAACAACGCAATGAAACGTTCTAGGAATCGTCACACGGCCTCTGGGAGGTGATCCAGCAACGCGTCAACTTGTATGGCATTTTCTTCAGGTGACAGCGGCAGCAATCTTGGCCTCGGCCTGAGTCTTGGATTGAGTCCTGGGTTCTCCCGACCTTCTCGAACTCTAGTTCGGATTCTTCCGACGGGTCGGAGTCACTTACCACTCCCGTGGGATGGGCACTGAGGGTTGAGGGGGAGGGGAGGGGACAAAGAACTGTTGTCTTGGCGTCCGGGGCACCCCCACACATCGGTACCCAACCTTGGTGATTCGGGCTGCCGGGCAGTTGATTTGGTTTCGCACCTACTGAGCGCCGTATGCACCAGTGTCTGTTTAGACTCTTGCGGGGCTTCCCTAGGGCTGAGGATCACTTTAGGCCGGCAAAAGGCCAGTCCGTGGTCTGGACTAGACTTTCCACAGACCCTTTGGACAGTTTACTTGCCCTTTTGAGAATTCTTATGCGCTGGCTGATTGGTGGGAGCATGTTACCGTAAACATCCTGTTTTGTAGTGGCAGCGGTAGAGTCGACTTGGTGTCCGGGACGTGCTGTAATTCCTGAGATTCTGTGGACAGGCTTATCAGCGGGCTGTATCTATCAACGGCCGTCAGAGATCCGACTAGCCGTTGTGTGACGATGTTCCAACCCGCATCTGCCTTTGCACACTCCAGTTACAGTTATCGGCAGTTGATTATCGGGATAGACTGCGGTTTCTTGCCGTTGCGTGAGGATCCCCCTCTCCCGTGGCCGGAGTCTAGACTTCAGCTGACTCGCTCTGGTATGACAGCGAGACATACCTTTCACTCGAGCACGAGGCCTTTAGCACGAGGCCTTTGCCATTTTGGGATGTCACAAATCCCATCATCCCGGCAGGCAATATTGCTAATCATTTGAGCCGAGTAGGCGGTGTCGTGAAGCGTGACAAAAGTGCTGTCCAGTTTTAATAGAGTCCTCTTCGTTCAAGGTAGTCAATGATACTAGTCTTTTTTTCTTTTTCTTTTTTGGTAATTTATCTCTCTAAAATATCCGGCTGAAGTGTGTTCACTTCCTGTTCAGCAAGGCACATTACTTTTGGAAAGGCATTCGCAAGTACCTCATGGTCGCTTCGAAGCCGACGACCAGTTGAGTCCTTCTTTCATTTTGATCCAAAGATCCGGACCTGGAGTAGCTTGAGAGGCCTTGATCAAAGGCATGGTACTCGCAATCCAATCACAGAGGCTGGGTTCATGGTGGCAGAAACTGCGAATTTCTCCCGTGGCCGTGACACACAAGAGCCACCCCAATCTTAGAACCCGTAGAGCTCCTTGCCAAATACTCTGTCTACATTGACACTCACTGCCGGTGAGCCTCGCCTTTTTCTTGTAGGCCGACTAGGACTGTCCCCGATTTCGACAACAACGTTCCGCGGATATAGACTTTGGTAGTTCAAGTGGCACTTTTGTATTGAAGAGTCCATCTAGGCGCGTCGGCATTGTCACAGGACATGCGGCAAAGCCTTTATTGCTCTCGGCGCTTGGTGAGGTGCAGACATCAGCGTCACTGCCCCAGAGAGCAATTCACTACTTAGGTTACGCTGGGGGCGTATAAGTTCGTACATCTAATCTGATGATGTCTGAGAGCTGTCAAAGTTTCACCGACGCGCAGTCGGGACATTGAAAGTCGTCGCGCCGTCCAAGCGGCACTGCCGTAAGATTAGGCCGACGGTCCGTTTACCAATAACAGGTGGCCGAAGAGAACGGCCTCAAAGTGGCTCACGATGCGTAGAGGTCAAATTGATCTCAAGACAAAGGATACTCAAGTCACTCCTATCGACCGACTCATGCAGCGATTATCTCTACGCACTTATCTCTCTTTTGAGTGGATTATTTGCGGTTGACCGGTGCGAAAGCCGATTATGATTTCTAAGTACTTTAGGTACCTCCCAAGTGCTATATATGACAATAGTACGGAGTTCAGTTCTTCATGGCTGTTAGTACGGGACGTAGGCAACAAGCTTAACGGTAAAGCCCGGTTCAATGCGATTTGCGATCAAGACCTCCGAGGCTCCGACCAAGCCCATTAAACCTTCCGTTAGAGGCAGTACTCACGAAGTTTTCTGATGTGATTCACCGCTTGCTAAAGACAATTGGCATCCAGAGGTTTCGCTGGGATTATCTTCGAATTTGATGGATACGTGGCTCCTTGAGTTGGATACAAATTTCTTGAAGTCACATGGACTATTTCTGTCAGAATATTCTTTCAACTTGATTATTGCGATCTTGCGAGGAGCCCATAAATCCTGAGTTTTGAACTGCTGAGCATCGTATTTATGATTGAAACAAAGCGATTAGCGCACTTACACCGGTGATTCACGTCTTCAGTTACGAAGGCGCAATCTACAAGTAGGTGTCCTTGCAATACATTTCGATGATGATATTACTGGTATGCAGAAGGGAAGTATGGAATGCATGCAAGTGGCTATCACAATACCGTCAAGTACCAACGGATTGGACTTTCACTTGACCCGGTGAGCAAATACTTGCGGCTTCCATTTCACGGTGCACACAAGAGAGCTTACAGTCGACTCTGTCAATATCAGGTGTACATGTATACGAGATTTGGTGAATCTTAAAACAGGCTCCAAGTATTCACAAGTCAACGTACAGGTACTAGCATAATGTTGAAACGAGTGAAACGACTCTATCTTTTCATAAATGATATCCAAAGATGCCAGATCCTAGTCCAATCGCCAATTAGTAGACCAGTGCTTAAGAAGTGTCTTAGAAATCTTACTCAGATAGAAGGAACGGCAACCTTGGTGACCTAAAGAAAGAATTTGGATTATATTCGGTTGATCAAACTAAACGCTTCTAAAGAACGATATGTCTTCAAACTTACTCTGTAATTCTTTCTTAGATGTAGAAAACGCACAGGATCCTCCTTCTTTGGATTCACTGTCACGACTCATGGAATAGAGCCCCTCCTGTAAAGAAAAGCTGACATTCATGCAAGCCGTCAATAATATGCTACTTCTCTACTCACACGAACAAGTACAAGACCATAGTCCTCCCATGTAGGAGACTGTCCCAACAAGTAACGTACGTGCATGGATGACATCACACAAATGGTGACGGTTCTACATCTTAACACAGCGAATCGAGATCCATTTGACGGCGGTTGCTATGGCAGACTATACGCCACTCATGTTGTGTGGCTCATACTGGGCCTTTTGCAATATCACCGTGCTTGATGCTGTGCAAATATGACACCTGACGGGCATTTGTCATGCTTAAATGCAGAAAAGGCGCCGATGTCTTTGACCATGCGACATGAACACACCCAATTTCTCGCATGAGTGACAAATAGTTGCAGCACATACTTCTTGCATTCCGGTGGGATATTCTCCTTTACTTCACCTGCCTGGGCAGCTAAATTCGCCTCAGGTTGCCGAGGTTAGCGTCACGGGATAAGACGAGGAATAGGCATAGCCAGCTTAGTGGGTTTGCCTTAGCTACGCGAAAGTTTCTAGATAAACTTAGAAAATGCCTTGTATCAGATTCATCGTCAAGTCTTGTCACGAACGATGCAGCGTTCCGCGGATTCGAGAGATTGGGTTAGCCACACCGATATCAATCTATCAACGATTGAACCCTAAGTAGATGAATTATCAATAGCCTGTGCTAACTTCTCACTTGCTGCGAAGCAGTGTCTCACTTGAAGAGAGAGGTATTTCCCTCACAATGCACACGTGGACAATACTTGTGAATGACCTTTCTTGAGTCTACATTACGGACTTCCACCAAAATCAAATACTGCTATCTACGGCAATGAAGGGTTAGACCCTAGACAGGTGACTAACAATTGAATGCGATTTTGAACAAGCTATTTCTCACTTCGTGTGCACGTGTACGTCTCAAATTCCAGTTCCCAGGATGAATGCCGAAATGAGGGAATGATGCCCGGCAAACTTACTATGTCATGTCTAACGACTCTAGTCAGTCTTCAAGCATATGTTTTGCCATTTCGATCGTCAAGTATCACTGCGCTACCCGCGACGAATTAGGCATTTTCACTCCAAAGATCTAACTTCAAATCAAGCCACGTACGCCACGTACGTACATCTTCATAAGTTGAGGCTGCCCACACACCGCTGACCCAACGCTCGGACCTAATGGTCGGATAGGAGAAACGCACAAGCTTGCAGATGACAAGTGCTTGAATAGCTTGCGTGTTTCCTTCCCTGTTGAGTTAAAAGCAGTGTCATTCTCCGGGACGCCTTATACGCGGCTTAAACGATTTTTCATCCGAGCTATTAGCTTTGAGGGCCGTGATCGGTTTGCGACTTGATACATCAGTCAGTCACTCACGAGCGTGAAGCGGCTAAGCAACGCGCCACTCATGTCCAGAGCTGGATCGCGATTTTGCAGTCACTTTCTTGCGTTACAAGCATTATCCTGCAATCATATGACTAGAGTAAATCTCTGCGTTTACACTTCATAGCCTAGCTTTCTAAATTCTGCCCTGCTGCTGCTTGGGGAGACTGTTTGAGGAAACCAATGCGATCCGGGTCAAGTGATCGGATATGTCCCCTGCAGTGCGGCTGGACGCTAAAAGTCTTGAAGCTAACGTAACTTGGCTTGAGCTTTATTACGAGGGCCTAAGCTCTGCCCCTTTGCCCTGCACATCTCCTCCCAGGGTAGCTTAGCCCAGGGTTCGAGGGTGCCCAGCTCATAATGATCACGAATTCCAGGCCCTGGCTGGTCTTATTCTCCATGGTGTTAGAACTTTCATTGATACCCCCTGTTCCAGAGTTCCGGGTCGACAGAGTCATGAACGATTGCACGGCGGATGGAATATGGAAACATGATCCGACCCGAATTTCGAAGTCTAGGGTGCTTGCTTTCTCCTCTCTTTCGGTCGTACAGGGCGGTCTTCAGCTGGCAAACAGCAAGCCGCTACTCCACTTGTACAACTCGCGATGGCGGTAAGTCCGGCGGCAATCCGACGGACACGGAGTCGACAACTGGCGATTTACGTTCCCAAATCCAGTGAATTGTTACGCAATAATTTGTCTCAAATATAGCTTCATTCTGGGTCTCATTGCGAAAAGAGTCAATGGACATGTTCTTTGTGTGATGACGGAGAAGATGATATGCCCTTTGGGCAGAAAGATCCTGAACGGTTCATTTTTCTTTTACTTTGACAGTCTCAATGCGAGATCGGTCAAATCTGACAGCTCGGAAGACAGCGAGATCACCGTTCCAGTGGCGCACGCCAACTGCCCTGCAAGGTGTTGGGTGGCATCATTTGAATGCCGAAGCCATCGTTGAGTATATCGGATTTGGTCCCTGGACACCACGTTGACGGCCTGCAAATCAGGTATCGAACGCATCTCTTGCCTCATTAGTTCCAACGGTCATCGACCGAGATTATCGCCTCTCTCGCGACTAGTCCAAGTGACAGAACATTTCGAAACAATCTAGACGACAGTCCGCTTGTGAGCCAAGAGCAGTTTGACGCCGCCATCGTGTTAGCGCGGTCGAGTCTCGTCAAAGGTCGCCGTCTTCAGCCTAGCGTCAGAATCCACAGCTTGAGCGGTGGGGAACAGTGCTGAAGAACCGCGACGGAGCTTCTATGGAGATGATGGAACTCGTGGGGACAGGCCGAAAAGCATCGCAAACAACGCAAGAGACAAAAAAGGAACGAGCAACTCCACAACAGAGATTCTAGCTCACAAACATCGTGCCACTGCAGAAGCCTAACTTCTCACCTATCAACGCAGGGACACCCGGATGGAAGCTAGCACTTCGTGCAACCCATCTCGGTGATCATGCCGGTGGCTCCCCAAAGGATCCAACCCCTGAGTACGGTCGGAAAAGCACCAATCAAAGGGGACCACAGGCTTCAGCTAAGGTTCGGTCTAGCGATTTAGCACCAGTTCGTCGAGCTCTAGCTCAGCCAGACCTCGTGGCAGCCCTCTCCTCGTCTCGCCCATGAAGCCCCTGTCTTAGCTTTCTTCCTGACAGGCTCGTCCTTAGTGAAATGAAGCAGTCAAAGAGTCTGGGCAACTGCGGCCACGTCGGTGCAACGAGACACACATCTTTGCTCGATTCGTTGAACTTTCGATGGAAGCGTGGTGCCCTTTATCTAGAGTTATTGGTGACTACGCCTCTTGGTACGGATGTCGTGGAAAGTCTAGAGTAATTGGCTGTCGATCGTAACATACCGCTGGTTGTAAATCGTCCACAACTCTTCTTTCCCCGGATCCAGATGAGTGGGCGTGCAAACCATCCTTCGCTCGCTCACCTCGAGTCTCCAGATTGTCGAGCTACGATGAAAGAAGGACCCAGAATCCCGGCCATATTTCCATTTAGGGGAGGTGGAACTCCGGCCATCACTCGAATTCCCATCTTTTTCGATTTGTCCGTTCGTACGGAGGTGGTCTTTACCGACATGATCCCCATCCCCTAGTCAGTAAAATGGTGAATAACCACCCCTCACGAGTTGTGCCGTGTTGATTCCATTCAAGCTAAGAATTATGCCAGGGACAGGGCCTCCATGATCGTCCTTGGCTCCGGAGTCTGGTCTGGCCTAGCTCAAGAGACCAAGGCCATTTATGATCTGGCATGCAGCCACTTTTGCAACGCCTTTCGAAAGAAACCGTCGACCTCTGCGTCAGCCGGCATACTCGCCAACAAAAGATTGTCATAGGAGAGGGCGTTACGCCAAAAGCTTGGATGACAGCTCGGTAAAGACAAGTCGTCCAACGGCGACTCGAACCCTCCATTCCGTTCCATCCCGAAACGCCACCCGGTGCTCCGTCGCTGTTGACCGCCCGCCATGGAGCTGGACCCGAACAGTCAAACGCTGACGCCACTTCCCGAAGTCCTGCAACGGGGCCTGACTGCCGTTTCTTTCTTCGGCTTCCTTTCGTTCATCACAACAACAGCACTCTTCTTAGTCTTGACCTATCGGCTGATAATATGGTATCTTGCACCGGGCCCGGACCGGCCGCAGCGCATGGCGGATGAGCCGAACGCGGATGCCGTCCTCGCCGAAGAGATGGGTCTTCCGGAGACGATGTACCCGGGCAGCAAGAAGAACAAAGTCAAGAGAGACGCACCTAACCAGTTCCTCATGCTCATCTACAACCTGCTGCTCGCCGATATCCAGCAAGCTCTCGCTTTCTTACTCAATGCGGCATGGCTCAATAAGGGTGGAATCATCGTGGAGAGCACAACATGCTGGGCACAGGGCTGGTTCATTTCGACGGGCGATTTAGCTTCCAGTGCTTTCATCACCACGATTGCCGTTCACACCTATTTGTCGGTCGTCAGAGATTATAAGCTTCCGACTTGGGCATTCTGGTGCATGATCGGATCTGTTTGGTTCTTTATCTACGCCTTGGCCATAGTCGGCATCATCATCACCAACAACGGGGCCGATGACGGCGGCCTCTATGTCCGCGCTGCTGCATGGGTAAGTCTCTTTCACTCAGCCGTCATCTATGCTCGAGCTAACACATTCCCAGTGCTGGGTGAATGTCCGTTATGAGGCGATGCGTCTGTACCTTCACTACCTGTGGATGTTTGTTTCCTTTTTCATCACTGCAGTCCTCTACGTCCTCATCTTCAACCACATCCGGCGTACCGACCCATCTCTCCAACTCCCTTCCTCCTCTAACAACACTACTTCCTCCGCCTCACAGAGCAACCGCGGTCGTAAGCTCAGCCATGCACACACAATGTCCCAGTCCGGGCCACCAAAGAGCTCCCACGGCGAAGCATCGGCGTCTAACCCGAGCAACGCTGGACATCACCCTGCTTTCCTCATATATCCCATCATTTACATCCTTTGCACGGCACCACTAGCGTTGGGCCGTGTCATCACAATGGCCGGAAAGTCTGTCTCGCTGGAATACTTCTGCCTCGCTGGTGCAATGATTGCATCCAATGGCTGGCTAGATGTTCTCTTGTTCTCCACCACTCGTCATGTCATTATCTTCAATGCCTCTCCAGACTACGAAGAGACGGGCATTGAGACCTTCGCCTTCATGCGCACACCCGCTAACCGCCGCTACGGCAACATGGTGTGGGTACAGGGTGCCGGCAGTGCACCTAACAATCTATCTGCGGACGAGGGTACAGGTGGTTGGCTCTGGAAGCTGTTCCGCCGAGACCGTGGTGCGGGTGACTCGAAGAGAGATAGACGTCGCAGTGGAGCCCATCGGAGCATCAGCCAGGAGTCTCTAAGGAGACGAGCTGGACAGATGGAAGGCATTCAGATGGAGACGGTGACAACTGTCGTTGTAGAGATGGAAGGTCACTCGGGAGGGAAAAAGGTTGATGGAAGGCCGCTTTCCATTGATACGATTGAAAAGGAGAGGGCACAGAGCGTGGGCAGCATGTGAAAGACACATTGCAGCGACACTGAAGAGCCAGTTATCAGCGGCCTGTTTCGAGGAACATTGACGAAAATCGGTCAATCTACTGACCAGGCTTATGAATACCTCGGGTTCTTCATTTCAGTATCAGATCTCACACATTTAATGGGGAGGCTAATTCCTAATGTGTTCAGTTAACGATAGCGATTTGAGCTTTGGGCGGTCATCTGTATTAGTTATACCCATAATGTCAATGTAGACTTCATACATATATCACTACTGCTTCATACTCTAGACTCCAAGACCAATGTCTACCTGCACAAGATTCGTATTCGAGTGCACGCGTATTTGTCGCATTCTCCTTCTTTTGCGAAAGGACCAATACTGGAAGCTATGGAGAAACACCCAAATTACTTCATTACATGTGGTAAGAAGTCATGCCTACTCGCATCCGTACAATATGTCATTATAACTGATTGTAAGCCAAGGTTGTGCATGTCTGATGGAAGGAGAGTTTGGCCCAGTCTCCATGTATTCCCTCGAATGGGTTGATAGAGAACATATGCCTTGGTGCTTGTTCGTGGAAAGTTGAACCCTTAGAGATATTTCACAATATCAAAGTCGATTTCTAAACCATTCCTCGAGATCCTGATGAAGTCTTGGTATGTCACATGCGTCTTGATGTATTAAGACGAGGTACAGTCTAGAGTCCTCATTGTTTCGTTCAAAACTCTGATCGAGCTTTGTCGTTTCCAGATCACCTACCGAGGAACCAGTGCGAATCGTCAATCACTTCTGGTATATGATTCTACGCATTGTTTAGATGAATGGGTATGTCCGAAGCACCTTTTGCGTTCCTCTCTAGAGGCATACATAAGGCGAGATCAGACACCCTTCGCAATGAGGATCAGATTACAGTATAGGCAACGACCACACCGTTCGCCCATATCACGCCGTCAAGTTCAATCGCATCATGGTGTCACACAATAACCTCACCCCCGCTTTAGACTCAGAGCCAATTGCTCATGAAGAGACTGCCACCTTGAAACCGTTGACAGCACAAGGCGAGCTCGCAAAACGCGATGACGAAGGAGCTCTGCAAATCAGGACAGTGCCGGAAAGTCTGTACTTGAGTACTTAAACTTCTTTAGTGGTACAACAATCAAAGCCTTGCTTCAAACATCGGGAATAACCTCAGACGGATTTTAGTTGTTACAGGATGTCGCTGATTCTCTTCCGACTCCAACACTCATCAGCACACATGAGCTCGGCGAAGACAAGAAAGACCTCGATCAAACCCAGAAATCTCTAGCCTACTTTCTGCAGACCACCAGTGGGACCAGCAACAAGGTCTTCTACCACGTGGGCGCGTTTGGTTGTGATATCGACGACAGCGAGCTTCCTGAAGTGCAAACCATCAACTTCAAGCTAGCAAAGAACAAGGATCTCTGTAAGAAAGATCTTGAGTTTATGAAGATCTTGCAAGACTTCATGAACGGCCACGATTTGCTAGCTTATGTCGAACCCTTAGCTCTGAAGCACGTTACCGTCCCTATTATTCACGATGTTCAGATTGAATGTCAAGGCTTGCAAACGATATCAAGACGTCTCGCTCCACACGGCGTGGCCAGCCAGGCTTTCAGCGAGGATTCACTTGAAGTACTCAGTTGGTTAGCAAATGCTCAAAAAAAAAAAAGAGCCGCACGGAAGTGGCGAACAAGAGAAAGCTAGGCCCCTCAAATGCGTTCCGGAAACAACTGATCAACTCATAGAAGAGGTCATTCCACAGGCAGTCCACTTGGTCACTGATGATCTGCGCCCAGAACTCTATGAGACATGGCAAGCATCACGTCGCTTGTGGAACAATGAAGGCAGCAAACAGGTTGAAGACGATATTCGTGGGTTCTTGAAATTGACAGGTAGCCGTCGAGAATTTTTCGATCTCGAGACGAAAAAGCTGAGCCGGTATTTTTACTCCATTCTAAAGATGATTGCCGAGCCCTTGCTCAATCTCGACATCATCTCCGGGTTCTTGCCAAAATATCGCTGTAAGCATATTTGGATGAAAATCAATATCAAGCTTCATCCCCTTGCAGCCCCGAAGTCCCTACCATACAGGAACCTATGTTGAGACTGAAGCACGGTTCAAGGCAGGTTCTTGACTACTACTTATTCCGGAAGCGACCGGAAGACGAGGCTCAAGCAACAACTTCATGTATAGGTAAGTACATTGGGATCTCCAAACCTTGCTGTCCTCTTTCCAGTATCGTGAAACGGTCCATTCCGAGTCTGTTCACTGTTGAGAATAATCACTAGATCCTTTCGCACTGGTAAATGCTACCTGACTCCATGTGTCTAGATTAATTCGAGCCGCATTTGAACGGGTTCACCAAGGTTCTCAAGGTTTAGCAAGAGTTGTCGGAGACGGAATTTGAGTGCCAGGAGATCAAGGGGGCGACTGGTCGTTCAAAACCTGGGAAATCCCTTGCACGATAGATACTACTTCTGGGAGATCAGGTGAAAGGCTACGTAACACGATGAGAATCATTTGCTTTCCTACATTTCAAGTGTGTAAGGGAGATATTGATGCGTCTCTTACAAGTTGCACGAAAAGTGCTTTGTAGAAGAGCCAAGCAAACGCGGCAAGGGGCTTGCTTTAACAATGGTCTTGTTGAACATGGACAGTGCCTACAGCGATTGCCATACCTGCTTAGGTACCTATGTTAAACAAGGAACCATGTTTAAGGGACGAGACAAAACCAGCTTCGTATGGAGTCAGAAGACTCAGCAGCTTCGCCGTGTGACGTTCTAGAAGCAGTGAACAAGCTGAAATCTTAGCATGTCGGCAATTGACTTACTAACTCACAACCGTTTCTTTCGTATCATTTGAAGAGCTCGCACGGCAGTCCTTATAAAGAACCTTCCCCCAGAATTACGGGTCGACCTAGACGCCTTCTCCTGTGAACTCATGATAGACATGATTCCTTCCATTCCGACCTTCCACTAAAACCTGTCATCATGCTAGCCAATTTGCTTCTTCAGTCGTTTATACTTTATGCCATCGCGAGCCATGCTGCCATCATTCACGAATTCAAGGGCTCAAATCCACCGACCAGCCTATCACACAACTCCAACTCTACACTAGCTCCTTCAACCAGACCCCCATCAACTCCCAAGTATCCCAAAATATTACCTTCGATCCTTTCACTTCTAGCAGGCGCGCCTTTCACCCCACCAGAGAACCCAGGCGATCTAAGGCCACAAACACAACTCCCCGACTCTAGACACCGGTTCTCCGCACCAGTCAAGCCCAGAGCAGATGAGACGCCCCTCAAGCTCTTCCCAATCGAATGCAACAATCCTTCTCACAAAGAGTACAATCGCCACCGAGATGTCCATCACGATGGCGTGAACAAGGGCATTGAACGATTCTGTGACTCGGACCTCGCGCGCGATACTCTCACTATCGTCGACGATGTGCAAGACCACCCTCTTCATGCCTGGCGATGGCGCTACAAGGATAAATACGGGGTTTACTTGGACTTTAAGGTCCACTGGAAGGTCGGATGCCGCACCTCGCAAGATTTCCAAGATATTCAGCGACCACTTGGTCCTGATGGGACGTCTTGTGATGATATCATATTAGCCAACTGGAAGCACTGTGGGTATTTGTCTTTAGTCCACACACTCGGTCGCATGTAGACACGAACTGACGTTCTTGACCCGCCGGTATCAATGGGGGGATTGGCGGAGTTACGCAGGTTGGATGCCTCGTATTTACTCTGAATGCCGGGCGAAGTGATCGATATTACTGAAATCACGGCATTGTCATTGATGAAGGGCCTTTTAAATCTCACAGTACGATGAAAGCGTATTGTTTTATTTACTGTGGCTTTACTTCGTAAACTTTCGTTGACTGGCTACTCTGAACCTAGATGTATGTATATGTAGTCTCAATAGATTGCAATGCGATATAAAAGCCCGCTTCAGATCGCCGAAGACCATAATGGTCTAAAAGTAGTTTGATAGTATCATGGTACTATCTTACGCGAGATACACCTGCACTGCCACAGTGCTAGCTCTGATGGCGATTGAAGATGTTATCTTCAAGGAAGACGGTCCTGGGAAGGCCGATCATCTGGCTTCGTTTCACGAAGAACTTTCATCTTGGAACATCTTGTCTCATAACAAGTAATTGGGGTAGCCTACTCCGTATCAACAAAGCTTTTGCATTCATGTCAAACTCGACTGACATTCGCACCTATACAGCGATATGTAGTACACTACAACTCTACCCCATCAATGGCGTGGTATCATGTACTCGTCTTAACTCCATCCCATTCTCTAACGACCTATCGTCCTAGCAATGTCCAGATTAGGGATTATCCAAAATATTACACGAAGATTATATCCCTTGCTCTATGGCGGGATTGTGTGGCCAGAATATACGACGATCAAATCATTACAGCCCAAGCAAGTGCACCGGCGATGGCACCACCGATGGAGAAGACCGCACGGCCAGCGGCGTTGACCTCGACGACGGTGTTGGTGCTGGTAGGTCTGACAGCGGCAGTGGTTCCAGTAGGCGTCACTGGAATGCCAATGTGGGCACCGCCGTCGACCGTCCTGGATGCAGTAGAAGGCTTGACGCCGGTGCCCGTAGCAGTAGACGTGGCAGTCTCGCTTTCAGGCTCGTCAGTCTCGGAAGCGTTCTTGACGGTGACGGAGGGCTTAGCGGTCTCGGACTCCGACTTCGTTGTGGAAGTCTTAGTCTCCGCAACTGACGTCGTGCTAGAACTAGAAGTTGATGTCGTTGTGGGGACGATGACCTCCTTGCTGCTGGTCGTGGTGGGCTTGGGTTCCTCCTTTACTCCACTCCACGGCTCGCCGGTCTTGGGGTCGCGGTACCAGTTCGAGGCCGGGTCGCCAAGGCAATCGCCGATGGTTGTGAACTCGAATCCCTTCTCCTTGGCCGTATCGATCATGAACTGAACGAAGCCGTTGACAGTAAAGGTGTGGATGTCATGGGCCAAGCTAATGAAGGAGGAGCTGGCGGGGCTGGCGGAATTGATAGCACCTGAGAAGGTAGCCTTTGAGTTGACGCCGTTGTCTACCCAGTCCTTCGTGTCAAGGTTGTAATCCGTCTACGCATAACTGTCAGTCTGGACCATCAAGTGAATACCGCCGCATGTGTGACTTACAACATGATACGCAAGGTCGTTGAGCGTAGATATACACTGGCCATCGCAGTGAGTGTAGGGCGGGCGGAAGTAGGTGGGAATGAGGCCCAGGGTCTTGGCAAAGACTTCTTCGTTCTGGAGAACCTCTTGAATCTGTTGGTCCTTGGAGATTGTGTTGAAGTCCTTGTGGCTCCATGAGTGACTACCGAGTTGGTGGCCAGCGCTTAACATCCGCTTCAGGACGGAGGTGTAGGTCCCGCTGGCGATGCCATTGTTGCCATTGGTGCCAACAAGGAAGAATGTAGCCTTGATATTGCCGTTCCTCTCCAAGGTGTCGAGAACCTGACTGGTGTATTCCCCGGGGCCATCGTCGAAGCTGAGAGCGAGCTTGCCATTTACCGTGCAATGAGTGATGTCGACGCCGTATGGGACGCTTCCGAAGCGCGGGCGGGGCAGGTCTCGGGTGTTGAGAGCAGACGATAATTCGAGGGGGACAGCCGTCGCTAGGTCGCTAGAAGCCACAATGGCTGCGAGGAGGGAAAGAGAGTGTACTCTAACAAGCATCTTTGCGGTTCGTTGGTATCGTGGAAAGCGAATGACTATGAGACGGACGACCAGATAGACTATCACGAGCTCGACTTCGAAGTGCATGGAAGGGTTACATTTATATTTTAAACTCTCATGTACAAGCAGTATCGGGGATTAAAGGAAATGAGAGTGCTAGGCTAGCCCGTCAAGCGTCCCGTGGAGAAGGCTGGGCGAGAGGTGATCCCAAGCGGCGGCGTCCTGTCCGTGTGCCGCGCCCCAACGGCCACGGCCGGGTTCTCGGGCGAGATGGAGGAGGCAGGACATGGTGAACGCTAGGCTCGCACCCCGGCAGACGACGAAGAAGCAAGGGGAACAGCCGTACGAGCGGCGGTCTGTCTTACGACTGGCAAAGTCGGTTGCCTGTTCGTGAGGTAGAAGGAGGCTACGGGATGCGGCTTGATGTCGCAAGAGAGGCGGCGTGTACCAAAACCGGCCAAAGTGTCGATGCGCGGCGCCAGGACCACGTCTACACGGGTCAGGTAGGGGCCATTTTGCGGGGATGCTGTTGGCAAACAAAGTGAAAGACCTCTGGCTATAAGTTGTCGGTGTGATCGTCACAAAGGACTCAGACGAAGAAGAAATTAGAGCCAAGAAGATCGTGTTCGCACTCTTAGTCAGGGCTTTTGGACCTTGAGGCTTGACCTTGGTCTTCAAACACATATCCGAGGTGGCCCCTGACTCGAAGTGGGCACGAAATGGTAGAAGAGTGACAATACGAGCATTGGCAAATCCCAACTGGCTGGATGTCAAGATTGCAGTCCCCCGCGTGTACGCCCGAGGCACTTGGCAGCAGATCCTCTGGTTCCTTTTTTTAACCCACGAGCTTGTACTTTTTGGGATAGCCGTAGGCAGATAGTTTGGGGGCTCGGAGAGGGGAGGGACTTTGGAGGCGGACGGCAACAAATGATTTCTCCCAGTTCTCTCCCGTGCGATGGGGGGCAGCGGGTGAGGCGCGGGCCCCCAATCCAAAGGGCATTAACTCGTTGAACATGATGCGTTCTACTCCGTACGCAGCGCTCAATTGGGGTTTGGGGGAGAAGCCTGGTGATGCCATCCGGCAATTTTCTTCTCGAGAGGGTGTGATGGGCCGCGGATCTTGGCGCATTAGGGTCGAATGAAAGGGGGTTGACGCAAGGGACGCGATCTGTGTGATTGGCCGTCAACATCAGCCATCGTCGCTGTCGCTCATCGTTGCATTGGTATCTAACTTCTCATGCTCTGCCGCCATTGGGACGTGGTATTGAGGCACCAGCATACGTACAGAGTAGCTTTCTGTTCCCCGAGAACACCGCAGTGCGATGTGCTATGTATGGTATGGTGTCATATGGATGAGCACCAAAGGGGGCAAGGGGGACTGCGTGACTGCCAAAGTGACATTGAATCTGGATCAAGAAAAGCTCAGAGGAGCTTGGGGCGACGACGGCGTGGCTGGTCTCAGTCTCGTTCGTTGCCCTTGGCTGCGCCGTTCGTACTAGCTCCGGTTGGATTTGAGACGAGCGATGGATTAGTGGCTTCTTCCATTGCTTCTTTTTTTGCGCAATGTTTTTGTCATACTCGGTCAAAGGCCTCTCGCCCTTCTCTGCGACCGTCTCTGCCTCTCGTCTCTTCCTCATTTCCGCGGTGCCTCTTCCTCCTACTGTGCCGTAAGCCGTGAGGGTCTCCGGAGTTGGCCCCCGCGCTCTGCCATTGGCGCCGGCCCACCCCGGTTGCTTCGAGTTTGTCGCTGTCTTCGGTGTGGGGAGTACGAGTGGTTATTGAATGAACTTCAACTGACAAGATTCTCTTCCAAGTCTTGTCCCACGTCAGATTGATTAGGGACACGCACGAATGGATGGACTTGTACTCCGTACTCGTATGTGTCCCTCATTGACATAAGTAGCGAGTAGAAAATTAGTCCCGGGCCTTCGAGACAGGTGATCAGGATGTGTGCACTGAGGACTTAGGTCCGGCAAGGGAAAACGGAAAAGTCCCATTCATAGCTAGGCGTTTCCGACACCGTCAAGAACCAGCCCCGGTGCTTGTGTGCCTCTTAAGCAAGGGCAGCACATTAGGCACTCAGCCCGGGCCAAGCAGCGTAGCATCGCCATGGATATGATTAATTTTATCAGCCTTACCATCGAGGAGGGGGCCTGTGATGACAGTTCAGTCTCTCTCTGTCTTCTAATCCTCAGCGCAGTTGGCATGGGCCACAATACCTGGCTTCTTCCAGCCACCAGCCATCAGCGCACGTGCGTTCTAAAGAACAACTTGGGGCAGGGCCGACAACACGCGGACTCCGCACTGTCGCTCCGGCAAAAAATCTGCCGTAGAAAAACAGCTCGAATCGACAATGCGCCGCACTACCTCGTGTTTACAGCTTCACTTCGAGTCGCTCTGGTCTATTGTCAAGAGGTCAAGGGGGGACGGCCCATCAGCACTTGGCAAAGACAGGGGATCAAGCTGACTGCATACACAAAACTTGTTGTGCCTTGCAGCTGAGACCAGACCTCTCTTATTCTCGAGCAAATTGTGAGGCCATTTCTCAGGAACATGGAACATTTCCAGCGCTACTGCCCTTGCTTATTCCGCTCTGTTAGGGTTCCCGGTTCCCTACGAGAACAGGCTCCGTGCACGCCATCTCCGTGCTGCCATCGGTTGTTTGACAAAAGCATCAGTTTATTGAGAACGGCCTTCTTGTTTAGACCGTCAGAGTCCAGCCCTGAATTTGCCAAACACCAGCGAAGCACCTGCTAATGTTCGATGCGTTGGACGCGCCTAGAACGCGGATTCATTGACAAGCCAGTTTGCCATTAAAGCACAGGCATCTTACTGTTTGTTTCACATCGCCAATGGACGCGCGCTTATACATACCCACTAGTCACAACCTCTGTGTTCATTAGGGCGATCTCTCGTCACGGGCTCGCTCATCACGCCACCCATCTTTCAGTTCTCGACCCTGCATCTCACTGCTGATCACAGCCCAGTGCTTCTCAGTCTCGCTCTCACAAAGTCCAACTATAAATGAGACCATTTCTTACTATCAAAATGTCTACTCCTTCGGCATCGACTCTCACTTGTCACCGTGCCGCAGTGAGACAAAGAAGGGCAGAGTTCTGACTCCTCAGGTGATCCATACCCTCATCAGCTTGCATGTCAAACGCAGTCAGACAACTTCCCGGACAAACAACGCTTACAACTGTAAAGTGAATGATCACCATGCAGGTCTCTGATACCCTGCCGGATTTTTCTCATAGCATCCTAGGCGGCGGGCTCCAAAAAGCCATACCTAGTAGATGTGCCAGTGAATGTCCGTTCAATGATATGCCCGCAGTGAGACGGAAAGTAATGTGAGTCAGACTGGAGATTACGCTGCGCATCTTCTCACTTCTGCCGCATCAGCGGCGCAGTATACCTCGTGCCCTCCAGCAGTCTCTCTGTCAGGGGCGGACTTTCAGGCTTATATGATGTGCGCTTAGAGAGGGCGAGTGAAGTTGCTGAGAAAAGGCGATGAGGTATCGTCCTGCCCCTCAACAAGACCTGTTCTAAAGAGCCTGTCAAGCTCTGTAAGCTTTCAGCTTTCCTGCAGTGAGCTGTGTGCCAGCCAATTAATCCTTCGTCGAGGTCAGACGGATGCCTGCTGTACTTTGAATCCTTTTGCACTATTTCCGGACAACACCTGCTGACGGGTTGCATTGGCCAGGCACCCGCGAAAGGCACATCAGTCGGTGACTTGGCGCTTCGCGCACTGACTGAAAAAGCCGTTCGAACTTGCAACAATTCTTTTTTGTCGAGATGGAAGATGTAGCTTGAAACCGCCATTGAATTTCTTCTCTTGCAAGTCGAGTGGCCCGTACGGGTTGATCTCAGATTGCGGTTGATGCTTAACAAGTTGATGTCACTGGACAAGCCACATCATTGGACTTATTCATCGGGTCATCAATCAAGCAGTCATATAAGCATTAGTGTTACCAATGCCTTATTGATGTATACATCTCTCAAGAAGGCGAGAAAATGAAAGACACTCGTGTTGTATACAATTATGCATTTGTTGGTGTACGCACTCGGATATCATAGAGTACCGCGAATCAAAAGAGTGAGCCTACCTTTACGCCTACCTTTACTTGAAGTTGAGCGTCGGTCAACTGGTATTGAGCTAGGCTCCGTGCTTGCTAGGAGAGAGTAGCTAGATTCATCTGAACTTCTTCGTAAGTCGGTTCCAAAGAAGCATAACCTGAAAGAGTAGCCGCAGATCCGAGGCCTTTGGAGACTTCATTGGGAAACCAGCGTGGCATCTCCCTCTTCACGGCCTGGTTGCTTGGTATTGAATCATTACACTGTGAAGTATTGAATATATCGGATAGGAACTGTTCAATGCGTTGAATAATTTATTTCCCAATGCCTCAGCGGTGTTGGCCTTGTATGAGCATAATATGATGGCCACAGGCTGACTACTGTCATTGGAGTCATCCGAGGTAATTAGAATGAGCCTTTTACTAGAATGGAACATTGAGCACATTGAGCGAATCCCGACGGAATCCAATTCAAAACAAAGCTTTAGCTATGACTACCCAGTCCCGTAGCTCGACTAAAGCGGGAGAGTCAAGGTAGTAATGTCTAGACCTGGCTTGATCAAAACTTGACGTTTCAAGGATTAACTAATCAAGGAGTTTGCTTCTCAAATTGGTTAGATTAGTAAGAAAGTCACAACCTCTTATGAATGAGTTTTGATGCCAACATCTTCTCATTTTGTCGTCTGTCAGCCATTAAAAGCATGGACACATTGAAAGCCATGCAGAGTGTCGACAACTGGCCCTGGGAACCGATTCTACCACCCCGGATCCTTGATCTACCAGATTGAGGAGTATTTGCTAGTAGTTCATGGATTGATGGAGTACAATATGTGATTACTCTAAGGGCTCTCATTGATGTGAAGTCTTGCATGCCCGAGAAACGTACCGCAGTCGCAGACCTGCCGACTTCTCGAGGTTACATACGGATCAGAAATGAGCGTTGGCCCTTTGAGGATCCGGTCAAGACTCGACTCCTCGGTGGTGGGAGCCTCAGACCTTGTGAGTGGCATTTCTTACTTACTCGGGGACAACACCTGGAACAGGTGTAAAATATGTGACTAAGGAAACCTCCCATTTTCCTCTATTTTTCCCTACCTTATAAATATGATCCTCAACACAAAATATGATCAAAACATATATATTAATTCCCAGCTAGTTTCTCATATTTAGCGCTATACTCCGAAATTTTATTATTCTTAAATTATTTAATCTTCATTATCGTTATGTACTTGTATTTATTGATTCGGTAGGAATCTTGTTAGTTATAGATTTCATACCTGTCACAGTTTTCTTTTCCCCAGTAAGCAGGAACGCACTTACGAGGTGGTCCCACCACCGAGGAGTAGTCCGAGCCAGCAAGTGGATGTAAGCCTTGCCTCCCAAGTCCCTGGCACGCACAATCAAAATAATTGGCCTACTTCAACGAATCGCACCTAAGTCACATGCAGTCAGCACAAACAACTCTAAGGTCCAGCAACCGAAAGGCTCCACACAAAGAGGGGGCGGAAGTATCCTCGGCCATACGAAGTCACAGTTGTGAAAGTTACCTTGTCTCTTGGCTCTCGTCTCCCATGGGTCTAATTTGATGACAAGGTTGAACAGTTGTCAGCTCAGTGGAGGTCTGCAAAGATGCCCGTCAGCGGTTGCAACGCTGCTGCTCAAATAGGCAGGTGCCGTCCGTACTTTCATTTCTACGTGATCCTTCCGAAGCCTTAAATCAAAGTTACAGTGTTGACTTCTATCAATGGTGGAATTGCCCCGTGCGAACCCCATGCTTTTGAGATGCACTGTCGTGTAATCGAACTGCAACCAATCGGAGTTGCAAATCCAATCGTTGTCAGATTCGCACCACCTTAAAATCCGAAGAGGATTCGATAGAAGGTTTGCAATAAAGTCCTCGTAACTTGGTGTCTTGTCTCGGCTTGCATTACTAGAAGGAAGCATGTATTCGTTGGGACCAAGTCACATTGATCTCTACAATGAACTCACGAAAAAGAAGGAAGCATGGGGCTGCTACGAAACCTACATCTTCTGCGGTTTTTAAATCAACATATCCAGCCTTGGACCAATCTTTCAATATTTTAGTTTCTTTCGAAGAGAGATCATTCAAGACGAGGTAATTTATCTGCATACTATGCTGTCGTAAATCCATCCTATTAAGATAGGTTATAATACCTGTTAACCCCACTGCAGCTGTTACTCTACTTCATGGACCCTGGAGAGAAGGAACGTCAATACATTTGGCGGATAATCCTGAGGGATCATCATCCTGAACTGGGGAAGCATTTGAAGTCTTAATATTGATCAAAAGTTCCATTTTTGACTGCCTGATCAGACGTTGGGTTGCCCTTAGCAAGCTTGGCATAAGACTCGCCAGAACCAATCGTCCGGAATCGTCCCTTCCATTAACTTTCGAAAGATATAGCCTCATCTAGGGTTACATCTAGTCCCGGTTGTAGCGTCGAGACTGCTCGAGAGCGGCACAGTAGACTCAAAATCTCGCAACGGGCTGCCGATTGCCTCTTGGCTATAGCCTTCGACTATTCCGAGTTCGATACCTACCTTTTTCTTGTACCAGAAATGCGCAACCAATGGTGTTCTGTAAGCTCGTTGCTATAATTCAAGTCCTAGAGGTCGTTGGAACTCTATAAAAGAGCAGGCTCACGTCATGTCTCGACAATCATCAATGCACTGACAGTTTCGTTTTTCCAAAATGAACAGTTTGCTCCTTGCGATTCAGATCGTTTGAACATGGTTTACTTCACAAAGTCTGCGGCTGTAGCCGTCCTAGCTTTCTCCTCTGCTGTTCAAGCTATCCCAGCAGCCCCCCTAGATACCAGGCAAACCGAGCAAGTAGAAATCACTCACCCCATCGGTTTCGACGCTACTGCTGCTCGTCGTGTTCCAGCCGATGCCCCAGTTCCCAAAATTGCTGTCGTAAACGCCGCGGAGCTCATCAGCAACGTCACCGAGGCCTCCCCTTTTACTCCTTCCGACGCCGCTATCGAGGAAGTTGCCAAGCGTTTCATCGTCGGCGTAGACAACCGTCACCTTTGGACCGACCCCAACTACCCTTTTCACTCCGTCGGAAAACTCCAGTGGTCTAACGGCGTCTTCTGTTCGGCTGCCTTGATCGGCCCTCGCCACATTCTCTCTGCTAAGCACTGCAATCCCGACCCCCCTATCCCGGGATCCTTTTACCCCGGCTTCGACAATGGTGCTCGCTTCGGCTCTGCCCAGATTACCAACGGTCTCTTCACCTACGGTCAAGAGCCCTTCTCCCCTTGCGAAACCAAGGGTGACTGGGTAGTCTATGCCCTCGACCAGCGTCTCGGTGACCAACTCGGGTATTTCGGCGCGAAGGTCCCTGACCGCAGCATGTTCGACAAGCCTCAGTTTTTCCACATGGGCTACCCCGGTGACAAGGACGGTGGCAACCGCCCATATCGTCAGACCGACATCACGGTTCACTCCAAGAGAACTTTTGACTGCGACTCCACCGGTCCCTTTTACACCGACACCGATACCATGGGGGGGCAGTCCGGTGGCCCTCACTGGGAGCTTGACGGCAATGGAAACCGATGGATCTGGGGTGCTCTCTCCATCAGTGTCACGAGCTCCGCTGAAACTTATGCTGGCTGGGCTTCTGGAAGTTCTATGATAGACGGCATTCTCAAGATGCGGGCTGACTTCCCTTAGAAGAGCAAAGGTTAGTGATTGGAAAGAAGTGTGATGAGCTATCATCTTCAATATCTTTCTCATCTTCGGTAGCGAGCTTGGTGTAAATTTTTCACGGGACTCACACTGGGATTCACTAGATCACAGATCACATGAAACTATAAGCTCCACGAAATCAGATTAAGATACTTCATTACTTTAAGGTGTGATATTTACCAGTGAAATCGGGACTAGTTGTCCAGACCCTTCCGGACACGGGTTACTAGGGCCTAGGAAGAGGGTCTCAAGCAAACAATGGAGCAGCTCGTATATACATCACGCAGGGAGCATACGTGTAGCGAGGGGGGAAGATTTCACTAATTCATCCTTTTGACCCTAACAGTAATTGGCCTCTGAGAGCTTCCACCCTGCGTCACACACCTTTTTGTGACTAGTCCTGTGTTACAGATCTAATTAGATCCTTATGTAGGTCAGCGTCATGAATCATCAGGTCAGACGCTACATATCTTCGAGTGAATTTATCGACTTCAGTTGCTGTCCGAAATGTACTCTTTTGTTGCTTAGTGATCAATTCAACATGATACCATATCTACATGGTCGAAACGCATCGTAAATTTCAGATCACTCGTCAGACATCAAGGGGGGGGGACTGTGGGATTCGTGAAATGAAGAGCAGTTCTACGGACAGGTGTCCGGTCTAGCCATTCCATCCGATGTGTTTCACTAACAAGCTTCTACGCGGCAATATTTATCATTCACGAGTCACGGCAGACCTTCAGTTTAGTAGATGGAAGGATCGTCTCTTGAATTGAGTTCGAGTTGAGTTTACCTGGAAAACGCCACTTTCTCTCACGACGGCAGCCAGGAAATTTACAGTATTACTCGACTTATTGGGGACAACAGATTTCCAACGATGTGCAGATAAACGTCCGAATGATGTGCACCTGCCAAGAGGGCGGATAAAATACCCGAAGGCTGCAGGTTGTGCATAAAAAGCCTCCTGATATTTGGCTTTCAGAGTGGATACTCCCCAAGCATTTACTAAAAATGCCAAGTTGATCGACCTTAGATCCATGTGTATTGGGCCAGTTGCGTCGTGCCATTATAGGGCTGACCTCATGCTTGGCGAAGTTGAGTCTGGGCCGGCATATCTAATGAATCAAGAGATAGAGGTCCTCTGCAAGAGGAGGCGATAAAGTGCATGAAGCTTCTCAAGAAGAGTCCCCACTAATAGATTGTTTATTATAGCTGTATGGGATGATGGTACTGCGACTAGGTTATTTTATGAGACAAGTCATAAAACTATTCCGGATGAACGAATGTTTCCGCTGTCCCGCATCGTTGATAGGCTCATCTTACATTGCCCTGATCCTACAAACCACCTCATCGTCGACCCCTCCTTCCCTCTCTGAAGTTGTTTGGCATTTCTGATAATTAATAAACCCTCGTTCTCGCAACTATCGTGACCCTCCCTTAATGCAGCGACTCGGAGTCATCAATCTCCTTCCGCCCCTTCTGCTGCGCTGGCGGATGCTTTGGGTCCGATCCAGCATCCGTTCCCCATCCACCATAGCCATCCGCCGTCGCCATCCCGCCAAAGCCGGAAGCGGGTCCCGCCGTGAGCGTCCCTGCAGCTCGATTCCCTGCGACGCCAGGCCGGTCTTTAGCCCAGTCGTTGATCTCATCTTTGGTCTTGCCGGTATACTTCTGGAGATCCTCGTCTGAAATCTGTGTGTTGCGGCCGCTCTTCTTGTCTTGGTAGCGTTGGTAGAGAGACTTTTTGGGCTCATCGGGGCCGGCGTCATCTGTTGATGTGGATTTTCCAAACAGTCCCATGTCGGCTAGAGTTGTAATACGATCCGAAAATTTAGGATGATTGAGTTTGCTGATGATGTTTGATTTACCTAGACGAGAATCGAAGGCTCGTTCCAGGTCGTTAAGATCAATGCAGCTAGCTGACCTTTTCTTTTGAAGACAGACGACACTATTTAAACTCTGATCGCGGGGAATTTCTGGGGAAGTTATCCGAATATTGGATTGATCTTGAGGGAATTTCTGTGAGTGTTGGTTGGCGTGGCGCAGCGAAGGCGAGAGCACAGCCATGCAGTGTTGGTCACGCCTCTGACGATTTAGCGGTGATCCCCTGCTCGCAATAGTCGTGGTGGGTAGTCAGCCCAGTCAACCCACTACCTTAGTTAACTCTTCTTAGGCAGGTCCAATCGGAGCTGTCTCATCTTCAGCCACCACGACCGACAACATTCCCAGAAGGCTCAGCTGACGTCAAGCTCTCGCCCGGTCCGTACGTGACGTGGGACGGCAAAGACTCTCCTAAGGACACCATGTGACAAGCTTTGCAGGTAACGCTAGCCTAACGTGGCTTCCACGATGTCTTCGTTTACACTCTCGATTCGTTGGCAAGTGGACATGAAGAGGGACATGTTCGCGATTGTGGTTGGCCAGCTCTGGTCGATGACCATCGCTTGGCACCTGTCCATCAATCTTCAATTCAGCTATGATTATTGTCTGAGAACATGTTAGTTCTGCGACATGCTTCCGCCCCGTGCCGGTCCACGCGCAGCAGCGAGGCTGGGCCGCTGCGGACTACAAGTCAATTCTAGGTTCTTGACACCGAATTCTCTACATCATATTCCTCGATCTCAAATACGGCCCGTTTGTCGTCGTTGATTCGTTCAGTCGGTGTGGGTAGACGCTAGCCTTTGCTTCAGGGGAAAATCTTAAAAGTTGGGTAGTATTGACCGCTACAGCGTGGGTGCACGGTTCAGCATTGCGACCTGCATGCAGCAGTTTCTAATTTTGTAGATCTTTTGTCTCGTGCTATTGCCGTAAACCGGGTGCATCTCTGTTGAATGACCTAGGACACTTCAGGACCACTGCGATGGCAAGTCTAGTTCATCTGGTCATGTCATTATGTTCAGATCTTAAGATCATTAGAGCCATGGTCTTAGTGAAGCCTTGTTCGTCTTTATTGATTCCAAGCGTTGGTCTGTGACAGACCTTCCTATGACATTAACTTGAACTATTAATCAGAGTCGTACGTCAGCCAGAATATGTTTGCATATTTGTAGCTGCAAGTTTCCGAACTACCGGATTCTCTTCTCTGTTCTACCTGCCATTCTCTCCATACCTTACCTATGCCTACTCGGACTTCCACCGTCACTTCTGTGCTCATTATGTGGGACCCACTTACAATAACTTCTGACCTGTTTCATCGAGCCGAGCATCGTTTCTGCGGCAAGGACAGATGCGCCAAGTCTTCCCAGAAAGCGTAACAAATCACCAGTCTTTCGCCTTCGAGTAATCACTTCTGCTTCAGCACGGCGATCATTGTTTTGCCGCGTCGATGAGGCTCCATGAAGGTGCCGACGGGAGGAGCTGAATGTATGCGTTGATTTGCCAGTCGAGGTTAAAGCTTCAAAGCCCTTGGTTCATATCCCGACGAATAGTCTGGGCCCTTCCGGCTGGAGTGTCACCCCTTAGTCCTGCATCTCTTGGGGCCGACGGGTTTAAGGATAAGCTATGGCCAAGCTGCGTCAAGTATGCACGATCATCGGCGCTTGAGGCCGAAGAGCTAGCGCTGGTGGAGGAGTCTATTTACTTACGTAGTAGTCTCCGGGTAACTGACCGTTTCCACGATGCATGACGGCTCCAGGGAAGGCATCTGGTCACGGATGCCTTGCTATCCCTCCAGCTCTCGTGTAGCTGGTATGAGACATGTCCAAAAAAAAAAAAAAAAAAGGAGCAGATAGAGGGTTGGGAAGATTCTGCAGGACGCAAGTCAAGCACGGCCGTTGTTTGGCAACTTCTGTGTCATTGAGAGTGAGTAATAGCTGATTCATCTGATGAGAGTGCAGCTGCACATGAATGGCTGCCAAGCGACGCACGAGAAACGTTTGTCCTTCCTCGCTTAATGCCGTTGACAAGGTGACAAGCTCTGTTGCGATTAACATTGTGTCGGTCGCGATCGCGCTTTGTCGGTCAAGCTGAATGGAACTGTGAATGCTTCGCCGCCACCGCCCTAAGTCTAGCCATTCCTCCCAACGAGCCAGTCCAACGAAAGGGTCTGGACGTGACCTACTGACAGAGAAGGCAGAGGGAAGGATAAAGTCCTTTGGGCGGACGTTGCTCTTGGGACGATCCCATCACCGGCACAACCACTTCCCGATTTGTCGCAGTTGGAGGGGCGCAGGGAAATTGAGTGGATGGACATAGGAACGGGCAGGAAAGTATGAGGTTTCACGGGTAAAAGAGCAAGATCTGCTTCTTCGTCCCAAGAAACCTTTTGCATGGCGAGTCGTTTCGTTGGAAATGACTTGCATGCGACTTTGGGCCCATCCGCCATGCCGTCGCCGCATGTAAGTGGGGATATTACGAGAAAGCTGAATCGTGAGAAGCTGAGTCGTGTTGACAGCTGTGAATGCTTCCGCGGCAAGCTGAGGAGGTAGTTCGTCATACTGACCTGTCTTATATGGTCTAATTGTCCCCCGCTCACCTGCGCCGTAGATCTTACAATGACCGAGTAAGGGAAATCACAAGGGCATGCCTCCAAGACGCCAAGATCTCCCCGCAACGGGAAGAACCGTTAAGCTACAGGTAACGGGGGGAATAGTACCTAAACAAGCGAAACAACTACCAGTTCCCCATCGCTAGTGCTGTTTCCGCGAAACCTCACCATTGCCGCGAGATGACAAACTGTTGGCCGCAAAGATGGGAGAAAGAATCACTGCAGCGGAACTGCGGCATTCCGAATAAGGATAAGAGACGAATGCCAAAAGAAAAAGTGGGAATGAGAAAAGCCGCCAGTTTTTGGGTGAAAAAGGCGAAGCGCGCCTCACAGATCCTGTCAGGACCGTAATTCTGGGGGAGTTGAGTCAAAGCCGGGGTACCCTGATCGGACGCAGCACACATCTGATTGAAAGTCAAGCTTTTGCAAAGACAAGGCCGGATCGGCCATATTGGCCGTGCGCCACTGGGATTTCTTGTTCAGTCGCGACATGGCTGTGACAGTGGTGATAACTCAAAAAGCCCGTTCGCTGAGCCAGTGGGCGGCCCGAGGTGGGCAAGAGATGAGAAAGAGAAGACTTGCGTCTCCACATCGCCGTGCCCACGAGTATGCCGGCGGAGGGAGAAAAGTCAAGACGGAAGAGAGGTCAAAGAGCCTCTCTCGTCTTGGCACAAGGAAGTGGTCGTAGGGAGCGCCGAGGGGAGGTGCCGTCCTATGAGAGCGAAGCTTTTTCCGGTCGTCTTCTATTCATCTTTCCAAACCGTCGGCGCACGGAGCCTGAATATCTCGAAGTAAGAGATGTTGGCCCGGGCTTCGCCCCTTTGTTCAGTAGCATCAGCAAGCGGACTGTGGATCTTGATCGGACGCGCGTGTCCGCTCGATGCTGCGATGCGAAGCTTTTGATTCTAGGGCTTGATCAGTCATGGTCATCCTGGCAGAAGCTTGTCAGTTCTGCTCGCGGTCCACCGGTCTCCACGTGGAGCTCATATACATAATGAAACGGCGCCACTCACCTGTTTTTTGGAGGATGTGAGTGCTGGTGTTGTCTTCGTGTACATCGCTTCATATTCAGTCGATCTTATAAATCCCAACGTTCCGTTCAGTCAGATACATCGGACATGTGCTGACTATCCTTGCCATGAAGGTGTCGCTGCCGCTCTTGCAACCGACATCCACATCGGAACATCGAATATGGCCGTAGTGCCTCCGCCAGGATGTGAGCACTGTTCGAGAAGCCAGATCAAAGAGCTGGGCTCTGTGGCTAGGGCTGTCAACCAGACGTACTTGACAAAGTCAGAGTTGGATACAACGCTGTTGGTCCTCAATATCCGTGCCGACGATACCGCCCAGGCCGAGAATATTCAAACAGTCCTATGGACACTAGTCGTTCTCTCAGCAGTGTTTCTTGGGTTGAGGATATACTGCAAAATATCCTACACGTACACAAAGATCCGGATCGAGGACATTCTCCTGGTTGCCTCCTGGGTAAGATTTCTCACATCAGAGACGATCTCGTCACTGTCCTAGTGTTAACAAGTCCCACGTAGCTGGTCCTAGCATCAGATGCCGCACTTAATGAGTTCATCATCAAATCCCGATTCGGTCGGCCCGACTTCCCCATTACGGTTGATAACATCACGGTATTAGCCATTGTTGGCCTTTCTTCCATTACCTGCTCCTTTGTCGGCCAAGTCTGGAGCAAGACTGCCTTCGCCATATCATTGTTACGGATGTGCGATGGATGGAAGAAAGCTTTTGTGTGGTTTTCAATCATTTCTATGAACGTACTCTTTGCGTTCTCCTCCTTGTCATTTTGGATTGGGTGTGTCCCATTGGAAAAGAGATGGAAGCCTTTCGCCGATGGAACTTGCTACGATCTCAAGTGGGTTGTTTCGTTCGGGATTTTCGTCAGTGGTAAGACAGCGTCCAACCTACTCACCCCAGGCTTCCTGAGCTATGCTAAGCTCTTACTAGTCTACTCCGGCCTTCTCGATATCGCCTTGTCTATCATCCCATGGCTCATTCTTATGCGGCCCAGGCCGGCCGAGGAGTCATCGGGTCTTACTCTGAGCAAGAAGGAGAAGATCGGTGTGTCTGTGGCGTTGAGTATGGGAGTGTTGTAAGTTACTCTCGCACTGCTGACGATCTATGATCAGAGTCTAAACGCATTTGTGACAGGGCCGGAATGGCAGCGTTTGTTAAAGCATCGTACATGCGTTCAGTAAATGATACCACTGGTGATTTTTCTCGTAAGTTTAGGCTCATAGCTGATCGTTGGTATTCACCTAACCCTATTTATAGACGGAGGAGCAGAGTTGGCCGTCTGGGCTGGGGCTGAGACAGCCATTACGATCATGGCGTCGACTATTCCCGTACTGCGGGTTTTGCTGCGTGATACAGCAATCAAGACCAAGTATCTTCCCGAGGCTATTAAAATGAGGGTTCGAAGCACGGTTAGAAGATCGGAGAGAGCGTCCGGAAGACCTGTGGCGCAGCCTGAGGAAGACAAGATTCCTATTGTCTCATCAGGTGCTTCAATGTCAACTGCCGGAGCCTCGTCCACTTCATCGGGCTCAACTGTGGACTCTCAGAAGACACTGATATCCAAGAATCCGGATATCCGGAAGAAATGAGACTTCAGATGGTCAGATGGACGGGTGTTAGCTTAGCTATTTGCTGAGATTTATGACTTGATGAGACAGTATCCACGAACACGAGATTCAGATGATATCAAGATAATTTTAATGAACAAGGAACATCTGATTCCAAATGGACCTTACGATTATTGATCTTAACGTTTTGATGTTGGAAACTTTCAAGGTACTATCTCTACTCGTGCCCAATCGGCTTACCCTGAGACTGCCACGCCATCGGGGCGGAAGCAGCTACCAATGGTGCCGTTGCGCCACCCTCTCTGGGATCTTCGAGAATGAAATTCATCGGGAAACCAATGTCGAACTCCTTGAAGCTCTCAATCTTCTTGATCTGATCCCCAGTGAGGTGAATGCTCAAGGCCTTGATATTGTCTTCCAAGTGCTCCACCTTGCGACCACCAACAATGGGGAAAACGTAGCGTGCCTTTTGCATGACATAGGCCAGGGCAATCTGTTGAATGCTCTCAATGCCATGCTCCTTGGCAACTTCCTCAAGAACCTCACTGGCCTTGCGTTGATCATCGGATTGGTCCCCTCCAAGCATGGCACGCAAGCCCTCGCCAGCCTTTTTGCGCTCCTCGAGCTGCTTCCTGGTCTGCAGCTTGCCGCCGCCAAGGACATCCCAGGGACAGAGAGCCATGCCAAAGTGGCGAGCCATGGGGATGATGTCCCGCTCCATGTCGCGGATGAGAACGTTCCAGCGACCCTGGTAAACGGAGAACTGGGTCTTGCCATGCGCCTTGGCGTAGGTGTTCGCAGCGGAAACGACCCAAGCGGGTGTATCAGAAACGCCGAGGTACAGGACCTTTCCCTGCTCGACCAGAATGTGGAGCGAGTCCATCAGCTCCTCGACAGAGGTCGTCCAATCCCACCAGTGGATGTAGAGCAGGTCAATATAGTCCGTCTGCAGCTTTCTGAGGGAATCCCGGACCGAGAGGTGCAGCGACTTCTTATGATTGCCAGAATAATTGACACATTTACCGGGTCCAAGCGCCTGTTTGCGGTACTGCGTCGTGAACTTGGTCGCAATGAACATGGTGTCCCGGTTCTTCCTTGCAGCCATCCATTCTCCCAAAATCTCCTCGGATTCCTCGTTCTGGTAGTTGTTGGCGGTGTCGATGAAGTTGCCGCCGGCATCGACAAAGGCATCGAGAAGCTTGAACGAGTCCTCCTTTTCCATGGAACCCATGAAGGACGACCACGCAGAGCCGATGGACATGGCACCTAGGCAGAGGGGGGAGACCCTGACACCCGCGGTGGTGGACAGGACGCGGTATCGACCGAGCTCGGTCTTGGGCTCGGGAGCCGGCGCGAAGAGGGTTTGAAGGCCGGACATCGTGAGATGAGTTCAAACTGTGGGGTACTTGATGGGGATGTTCTGGTTGAGCTAATAATGGTACGATGGACTAGTGTCGCTCTTGTTTTGGATGAATTAGTACAATGAAGGAAACTGAGCTGCGTTGAGCATGCTCGTCTTTATATCAACCTTTGCCATGTGAAGCCGCCCGTGGAGCAGCTCCAAGCGGTGAGTAGAAACTCTGCAAGCCGGGCATAGGAACAAAGTCCGAGAACGCATGCAGGGTTTCACTGCCAAGCGGCAAGAATCATACTGTCCACCTCGGAGCCACCTGTGCCCCGTGCTTCCACCATGACGTTGGGACATTTCTGAAGTTCGACGTTGGAATCCTGGAATTGGGTAGATGCGGATCGATATTCGTCCGCATGTTCAGCGGGTCTCTAGGTGCAACGCGGCACTGCGCGGGACCCAGCTACAGAGCTCCTGACGTGGATCGCGATCCCACCCGAGTCCACTTCGAACCCGGAAGCGAGCGAGTTAACAGATCTTAGTGAGTTGATCAAGCTTGGGCTAGGCGCTTTAGACACGTTAGACCTGCCATCAGGGTGACGATTGAGCGATGGTTCGATGCGCGTAGTCCAGATAAGCATAGTGTCGTGGCTACATGTACTTTCAGTACGCTCAGGTACGCACTCGGCCCTACAAGTCTTCCAGCTTAGTTCATTATACCCAAGGAGTCTTGGAAATCTCCGACGGCAATTGAGATGGAGGATAAACCAAACCCCATCATGAATCAAGGCATTGGGCAACATGGTCCATCCCAGCGGGGTCTCGGAGTCCGACAACGTTGATGGGGAGAGTGTTGCTCGTGCCGCTTATCGGACTTAACGGTTGTAAGATCTGGCAGTCCGTGGCGATGGATCTACTCAATGAAGCCGGTGCTGCGAGTCGCCAATTTATGTTTCTTTGGGCTTCAAATTTCAGACGCAGACGGACCAAGAGCTTGAGCCAAGATCGGGCAGGTTCTTGCAAGACAATTCGAGATCAGTGGATCACGTACAATCCATGGCCCATAGGTCCCGGCAATTAACGCAACGCCGTAAGCAAGACATGACTATGAAGGTCCCTTCATTGTTACTAGTAATTCAACAACATCCAAGAATGCGGTGATAATGACCTCTTTCATTGATACTAAGCTATGTTAGCTCCATGCATGTTGCTTATTCTCCCGATTTGTAGGTCTCGATTCGTTTGCATCCCTGCAGACTAATAGCTCGCTGACGTTTGCGGAGGAGACGTCGGACTTAAGCCGTCCGTTCATCGGGCGATCAAAGTCTCTAGGAAATCCACTAACTGTCTCGCAGGTTTGAAGAAGCTCCCATTGCCACATGGAGTGCATTTAGAACTAACATTTTGATTTCTGTGAGGACCATACTGCCTGATACATATTTTTCATATTGCGAGTTAGTTATTACATGACAAGGCAGTAAGAAGGCCGTTCTAAGACATCGTCAGTAAGATCAAGAACGACCCGCTTAACGCTGCTCAGCTGTAGAATCTCGCAGGATTCTTAACCATCAAATCCTTCCAAACCTCCTCATTCTTAACCCATCTTCTCAAATTGTAGACATTCAGGGTGTCATCAATCTCTCTGAAATTCTCCACCGCGTCCACGCCTCGATTAAGGCGATCTTTACCCTCCCCAGTATGAGGCCAGTCGCTGCCCCAAACCAAGCGCTGCGGTACCGCCTCAACGAGAGCCTTGACAATCGGCTCCATGTCCTCGCAACCAGATTTCACCATGTCGGAGAGTCGGTAGAATCCCGACAATTTGATAATGACCTTTGAGGCTCTTGCAAGTCTGACCAGAGCCTCGAAGCCGGGTTGTTTCGTGGGATCGTCTAGGCCGCCTGCTTCAGCGTTGAGCTGCAATTTGGATAGAGCTCGCATGCCGCCCACGTGATCTGCAATTACTTGGACTGGAAGGGAGAGTATCGTTTCGTACAAGTCTGTGTTTCTCTTTAGTACTTGCTTCCCTCAAAATTTGGCTCGAAGTCAACGATGAACCTTACCTTCCCACATCGCAGGAGCGCAAAAGAGTTGAATCTTCCAGCCCGGAAGGTATTGAATCCGCGAAGCAGTCTTCACAATAGTTTGTTGAAGAATCTCGAGATCCGTCGACTTCCCATCTGCCTGCTTGTTTATCCTCAACCCGCGGACACCAAGATCGTGCAGTTTCCTGAGGTCTGCATCGGAAATACTCTCGATATCCACCACAGCGATGCCTCGGACGATGCGACAGCCACCCTCGCGCAAAGTTTGCATTGAACGCAACAGGACTTTGTTATCAGTAGCGTACGGAGAAGGCTGAACAAGTACGATGTTGAGAGGTTGTGCTTGGTTCAAGCTCGAACTAAACTCCAAGAGTTGCTTTGCCGTAGCTTGTGCGGGCGTGTATGATCTTCAAGGCGCAAAGGGCCCTATTGACGCATCGAAGACATGGACATGGGTATCCCAACTGTTTGGCGGGAGAGTCGACCTGTTGGTCCCGGATGTTCAGTTTCAAGCTTCAACATCACCAGCTACCTAGCCTCGGAACACTTACTGAGCAGAATTGACTTCGGCCATTTTTCCTATTCTTTTGTGAAGCGGTGCGTGTGCAGGTTGAAGTAAAGTGAAAATTTCGCGCGAGATGCTTGTTCGTGATCTGCTTGTAGCCCCTCGAGACACGGGTTCCCCGCATCGGTCTCTTTCGGAGCAGCGAGGTGCCTAGTTGCACTAAACACACGGCGAAACCCCGAGGTCATTTTCGGGGTTATTCCGAAGCACGCCCCACATGTCTTGGGGCTGCTCCGGTCAAGCTCCGGTTTTCCGCGCGCCGGTGGCTGTCATTTCTTAACTCGGTAGGATACAGGCAGCTCTTCCATATTCATGTCTCGGAACACATATCCGTTTGATGGACTCCAAAGACGTAGCACAAGCTACACGAAACGATCCAGCAGAAAGAGACCCAAGATTTCACCAACAGTCCCTCTGTTAAAAAACTCGCCCACCTTTTTTCAATCTCAAGGCCAGCGGAGGATTCCAAAGATGCAGGAAACACAATCAAGACAGGCCTCGACACTCTTCAAATCGAATCAGACTCTAGGACCAATTGATCGATGCCGTTGGTGTCTGCCGGGCACTCGATTCCAAGGAACATCCACTCATAGCCTTTCGTTCGTCCGGCATCTTCGCCTCCCTTGACTTGTCCGAAATTTCCTAAGCCTACGGTACGGCCTTTGACGGGTCTTTGAGCTGAAGATTATCAACGGCGACTCAAACAAAGTGGCCGTTTTCGCGACCAAAACCTCTTGGAGTGAATGGATGGCTTCTCGAAACATTCCGCTGTCAAGCGGGTGCGGGGAAGCTTTGCTCAAAGATGGTGGACGTCAAGAAGTTCTGAAACCCGCTCACGCCGCTTCAATTCAACGGCCTACTAGACACGACAACAGCTTAGTCTAGCTCGAAATCGCAGCGTGGGAGACGTTTACTTTTCATGCGCCGCCCACTAAGACTGTTAGCGGCTATGCGGCAACATCGGGATTCAGCCACATGTGTTAATCAGATCACTCAATGTCCAAAATCTGGTCTGGTGGTCTCTCACTCACTGACATCTTCCTACCTCATCCTTTGCCCTGTTCGTCCCTCAAATCAGGGATATCCCCTGGCTCAGCCCAGCAAGAACCCAGCTGAGTCAGCGTTCTGGACTCCTGACAGAGTCTAAGAGATCGCCGCACAGTTGCATCCCGCAAGACCTGATGTCATTTCGATCGCAGTGCGGGGCTCGCCGCTGTGGCCCCCGAGCCCGCCTCTGTCCCCCAATTGGCAATGTGGATTTGCTGCATGGGAAGAAGAGAGCTCCCACTCCCAGCTCTCCCCCGCGAACGACGTGCTGCCCACTGATGAAACCCTGTTTCTCCCATCCACCACCGCGCCGTGCGGCCACGACGGCTGACGTCACATTCAGTGCATCAAAGCAGAAAAATTCCAAGATTCGGCCGGGGCAAACGCAGAGAAGGAGAAGCGCTGGGGAAAACTCTGGGACATGGACGTCAACGTCTTGTCGTTCTACGCAAGGACCGCGTGACTGAAGCACACAGAACGACGTATGATGCAAAGTGCCCCCTTTCCCATCGCCTTTAGTAGCCTGCATCCCCATCCTAGTGCTGCCTTTCGTAGCTTCCACACCCACTTACACATACACACGCACACAACCTTTTCCCGATATTCTATAGCGAGCAAACACGACTTGACGAATTCACGATTTCTCGGAGCATTACACAGCGGTATCCAGCGATACAATATCCATCCAGAAGCGTATCTCAAGCAGAACAAGAACCAACCCCCCAAACCAAAGCCACCCAAAATGCCGTCCGTCCTAGGTCTCACAACAGACCCTTCCCCCCATGGCCCGGGCGCCGAACAGAAGCAGAAGAAGAAGAAGCCACAATTCTCAGGCGTCGCCGACGACTCCAACCTTGAAGGCAAACAATTAGCCCGCCGCGAGAAGAAGGCCGACGGTGCCTCGCCCGATGGCGTCGAAAACGGCGTCGAAAAGAAGAAGAAGAAGAAGTCCAGCAAATCCAAAAAGGAAAAGAAGGAAAAGCAAGGGCCCCAGCAAATGCGCCACTACTCCTCCGACGAAGAAGACGACTCGGACGAAGAAGGACCCCTCAACACCATCAAACTCCGCAACCACGCCAAGGCAATCGAGATGGAGACGCTCCTCTGGGGCGCCCTCTGCCACAAGCCCAAGAGCGCTCTCAAGTACATCGGCAAGGGCGGCATCATGTGCAACCCGATCCTGTTCGGCGACGCGGAGGTCTACTCGGAGCGCTCCGAGCCCACCCTCAAGGAGATGCTCAAGGAGCACGCCGACCCGCCCATGAGCTTCAAGATGCACAAGCCCCACGTCTGCGAGGTCGGCCTCATGGCCATGTCCATCTGCTGCGACGTCACCATCTTCCGCATGAATGACAATGACGAGCTCGAGGCCGAGGAGTGTCAGATCTCGTCTAGCTGGCGGCAGGTCGCGAGCGGAGACTGGGAGATGGCGAGCTCCATGGCCGGATGGCAGGAGTAGATTCTGGTTCGTCTGACGTTTTAGAGCCAAGCGAAAGGCAGTTGATGGCGTCACTGGGGTGTTGTACTATTTCATATTTCTCTTTTTCCATTTCATATTTGTACGGCGTCGATGTGTAACGATTCTATCTGCAATGTAATTTACTACGGCCTGCATGAATTGACTATCCGCATTGCTCGAGTACCATGCTATCCCCTCTTTGATACTTCATGTCTCGACCCAACATCGCGAAAATTGTTATTCAGTTGTCCCATACTCAGATGGGATCAAATTCAAAGACTTTTGATGGCCCCCTTCCTCCCAGTACAACCAATACTATCATTTCGATTCCAATTTCAGGCCTTGCCCGCATTACGACTCTTGAAGTCATTTTTCGGAACCCTCACCATCCAGTACAACGCCGCTGCCGCTGCGACATTGAACACGCAAAACGCCCAAATCAGACCGAAATCGCGCCATCTGTTGTCGAAGCTCATGTTCATGCTCGACAGAAACGCATTCGTATCGGCCATGCCGCAGTACTGGCAAGTACTCGAACCAGCATCTACCAGGTATCCGCCCTTCTCTCGGATGTACTCTGCCATGTACTCGCCACAGGTGCCGTTGGCGGGCGCAGCAAACTCGAGCAGCTCGGCCGCGCTGCACACCACCGGCGCATTGGCGAGACCGACGCTGAGGAAACCCTCGACGACATAGGTGAACGGATTGACGCGATACATGAAGATCCAGAAACGCGGTAGATCTTCCGGGCCGGCTAGTACACTTTTTGACATTGTCAGCTCGTTTCGATCCAAAGTCACTGGTTCACCACAGTTGGGACGAGAAACCGGGGCTGCACTTACCCACAAAAAGCAAACATGAGGATAAAGAGTAGGTTCATGATCCCACCCGCGACCTCGGCGCTGCCGAGCCCAGCAATCATGAGATGCGCAAATGTGCTTGAAAATAAAAAGAAGACCCAGCAGATTAGGAATAGCGTGATGCCACGCGAGTGAACAGCATCTGTCCATTCAGCATTGCGATCGAGCCTCATTGGATAGAACCAAAACAGGAACGAGAAGATGGCCATGATCTAGTCGCCAAAGCGTTAGTCAAGAATTTCTGCGTGCTTCGTCATTCCCAAGGTAGTCACTTACAGAATTCCAAAACATCTCAACAATGACATTAGCACCGATAAACGCCATCCATGAGTATGACTTTGCCGGTCGTTCGCGTGCTTCATACATGGTGCGCTGGGAGACGAAGACCGGCATGATCTGCTGTACCATTTGGCTGAAGATGAAGAGGAAGATGTAGACGCCAAACATCTGATTCCGGAGACCGCGCTCGGTGTTGTTGCCGCCGAGAAGTGTAAGTCCAATGAACAAAGCCTATTGGTGCCCCAGGCTCGGTCAGCTTCCTTGATTTCCGTGATCGGATGCAATGCACCATAGCACTTACCGATCCAAACGTCAAGATGGACTTGGAAAAGATGTATGAAGGACTACGCCAGTATTGCTGGAAGACCCGTCTTGTCACCTCACGTAACTGCACACCAAAACCTGCAGCAAACTCTGCGTACGTAGACGCATCATGATCCGTCGTTGTCGCCGTGGCCCCTTTTTCATCTGCATGTGATGATAATCTCGCGAGCTCAGTCTGAACGGCCTGGTATTCCTTGCTGTCTCTCCACACGGTAGGCCAGTCTACATCGGTATGCGCCTTTGGTGTCGCTCCAATCACCTCCAACATGTACTCGGCAGGGTTGGACCCAGATTGGTAGGCTGAGGCTCCGTGCCGGCTGAGATAGTCGATGAGAACGTGAGAGTTCTTGCCAATGTCGCCAAAGTACACCGTCCGCCCACCTCTTGCAAGCAGTAGCAACCGATCGAACCTCTGAAATAGTGATGCTGACGGTTGATGAATAGTGCAAAGAATGGCTTGCCCGTTTCTCGTCAGCTTCTCCATCAAATCGCAGATTGACCATGACGTCTGGCTATCGAGGCCCGACGTTGGTTCGTCCAGGAAGAGCAGCAGCTGCGGCCGGGCAGCTAGCTCAACGCCGATTGTCAGACGTTTGCGTTGTTCAACATTCAACCCCTCACCCAAATCCCCAATCACGGCTTCGGCGTACTCTTGCATGCCAAGGAGATCAATCACCGTATCCACGTAGGCCAACCTCTCCTCCCGGCTGTACCGCTCAGGCTGCCGTAGTAGAGCGCTGAAACTCAATGCCTCTCTCACCGTCGCCGTATGAAGATGGAGGTCCTGCTGCGTAACATAGCCCGTCTTGCGCTGGAACGAAGAATCCCGAAGCTGGCCGTCGACGAGCATCTCCCCACTAACAACACCCATAGTGACGCGACTGGCCAACACGTCCAGAAGACTCGTCTTACCAGCCCCGGAAACTCCCTGCAATTCACACATTAGTCATGTCTCGTGAAGCATTCACAACAGGGCAGGAACCCACCATCAGTGCCGTCAGTGTCCCAGGCTTCACCCAACCGTCACAGTGATCAAGAATCCTGCGGGTCTCGCTTTTGACCTGCACATCGTAACAAACATCATTCCAATGGAACACGGATGTTTGTTGCGCAAGGTCCGAATGGTCGCTGTCGTCGTCTACCTGTATCGCTGGTTGCGACTGATTTTCTCCCAAAGTCTCGACATCATCATGGCCCTTCTTGACACTTTTCAGAGCCCGGCGCTTGAAAAGAAGGACTTCGCCCTTAGATCTCTCAGAAGACACCAGCTCGACGGCGACGAGATAGAGGAACATGAAGAAGAGGGTGATGGCAACCAAGATGCCAAAGTTTCTCCAGCGATGGCTGGCCAGAAACCCGTAAACGACACGGAGGTGCTCCTCGCCATTGACAGAGCCAGAGCCTGGCATTGCCCCTCCAATATCACAGGCACGCTCGTCCAAGGTAGAACTCATGTAGCCGAGTCCCGTAGGAATGAATTGCGAGCAGGTGAAGTTCCGTCCAATGAATTCATTGAGTGCGAGACTTTCCTGTGCGTAGAAGACGGGATTGATCCAGCGAATCCATCCAATCCAGTCACTGAGGTATGACTGAGGCATGGCAAAGCCGCTGAACAGCATCAGCGCTAGCAGGATAATGGCTGAGGGTGCCAGAGCCTGTGAGGTCGTCTTGGTGACAGAGCCGAGGAATCGAAAGATCATGGACATGGAGACGGTGATGGTAAAGGAGAATAAGAGGAAGAAGAAAAAGGGCCCAGCTGATTCGCGTCGTAGATTCGTCATGAAATAGATTGGCACGTTGATGAACAACGCGTTGATCATCTTGTACGGCAGGTCGACGAGCATGGTGGCGACTGCCTCGGCACTTGGATGATACAGTGCATATCTCGCATGCTTCTCGATGATGTTTCTCTTGCCATAAAGCGTGAGAATCTCCATGATGCTACCCATAGCATTGATGAGAATGGTGTAGAATATCAGGAGATTTCGGTTGTAGAGACTAGACGAGTTTGGTGTCAAGCTGTAGAAAATGCTAGAGATGATGAGAGATTCGAAGAAATTTGTCGTTAACATTGTAATCGTCATCCACGGCTCGCTGATCAGCAGCTTGAAACTGCGCCAAAGGTTGAGGTTGACTTGCTGCACATAGGACAAAGTGTATGGTGACGATGATCGCTGTGCTCTGGACTGGTGTGCTCTTCGGGTGGCAGAGAACTGCTTGTGCGTGTCACCGCCGAAAGGGTACTGCTTCTCGAAAGATTCGATCTCCTCCAATAGGTTCCGACGATGCTGACTGTCTTTCCAGGCTTGGGCGAACTCGTCAGGGCTTCGCGGCGGTGTTTGACCTTTCCACTCCGGGTGCACAACTCTCTCGGAAGAGCTCGTCATTGAGGTCAGGAAGTCGGCAGTGGTCTTCTGCTCCGGACACAGGAAACCAAGTCCTTCGAAATAGGCTTTCGCATCAGTGGACCTCCCGAAGAAGATCTGACGGCCTTCGTAAAGGACAGTGACCTTATCGAAAAGCTGTCCATATGGTGAGCAACGAAACGTCACAGAGGCGAACATTGGTAATGGCGTTGGAACAGAAGAACGGCGAGGTAGACGAATAAATGCGTATAACTTACCTCATATGCTTCTTGAGGTGCTTGGTAAATAGCCACAGAGGAGCTACATCCGAAGATGTCTGCCTGCATGCGAAGAGTTCGACAGAATCCGATTGCATTGGCAGAATCAAGACCTCGGGTGCTATTATCCCAGCATTGAAGGGGAGAGTAGCTCAGGACCGCCTCCGCGATACTGACTCTCTTCCGCTCTCCTCCACTGACCCCTTTTCTTTGAATTAGTTGAGGTTGCTTCAAGGTTGTCGAAGACTTGAGCTACTCACCGCGGACGAAGTCATCTCCTACCCGGGTGTCCTTCGTGTGCGAGATACCCAAAAGTGCCATGACAACGTCGCGAAGATGTTCGGCGTATTGGTGCTCAGAGATTCCTTGGGGAAGATTCATATTCTGAGGGCACCGTGCCCGGGCCGCAAAATAGAGGGTCTCGCCGACGGTCAGGTAAGGGAAATGGTGGTCGAATTCTGCAGTGTAGATTGCTTCTCCTTTGAATGTCGTCTTCATCTCTTTTGGGGAGATCCCTTGGTAGTTGATAGTTGCTCCTTCGGCGATATAGAAACCGTGGGTTTCCCCAGCAATAGTCTTCAGCAACGTCGTACAACCAGAGCCAGGCGGACCAAGCACAGCAAGCATCTCTCCACTCTGGAGAACACCTTCCAAGTCGTGCAGAATGTCGATGCGCTGCTTCTTGCCTGAAGGCGAAACCCAGGAAGCCAACGCGGCTGCCTCCAGAAAGAAGTTGCCAACAGTCTTCTGATAGTCCGTAGTCGTTCCCAGACCGTAGACTTGCAAGTCCTTAAAGGCGAGACCCACCGTATTAGGTGCATTTCCGAGAAGAGCATTGGTCTGAAGCCTGTAGAAGGCTGCTGCCCATTTCCGGGCGTCGAATACATCGCTCTTGGGGTCGAGGCAGGCGTCGGATGGCTCAGGAAACAGTGAATGGCCCCCTCCATGGGATAGTGAAGTTAGGCGCCTAGCCAAATCGTGGATTGCCTCTTCGGCTTCCTCCTCGGCGTCTGATGGGACGGAAACGCTCTCTGTACCGTCGAATGTGGATGCATGGGGTTCATTCGGGTGAGGACCGGGGTCCAAGATCGCAGGTGCCGGCATGTTGCAACTCTTCCCCGATGGAATGTAGACTCTGAGAGCACTCGGGCAAATTCATATACCCCAGGACTGTCGGCTGGAAGAGATTATCCGGACTATACTGTCGTCGGAGTAAGTAGATGTGTAGAAAAGATGGCAAAGTAGATGGTGTAATTAACCTTTAGCAATGACCCTTTCACGTTAGATCGTCAAGGAGATGCCCGGGTCTTTGTACCGTCGACATTGAACGGATTCTTTGTCTCGTAGAGAGAGAAATTGGGAGACTTGCCATGACTGTGTTCGAATTGGAATTGAGTTCCATCCACATTTGTGTTGGTGGAGAAGTTGCAAGACGTTTTCTCGGAAAGTGCGAAATGCCTTTGGGCGTTGTCGATCCGGAAGGTGTTCCGGCGTACCGACCACGGCCGGGAAGAGGCCATCTGGGGACGGCGCCGCACTTTCGGAGAATGCGAAAGACCGGTTGAGTGGGTCACGACGGCTAATCCTCCAGTCAGAATTGAAGACCGCGGCACGTCAGAGCTGCCAAGGATGGGAAGAGCGCCGCTGGCGGTCCTAATGAGGAAAAGACCCATTAGACGAAGCCAAGCTCGTGGCAGTCAGTGGTCACTGTGTCATTTCTTCCGAGAAACATCTCCAGCCATTCGCCAATTCCATGCCATTCATGACTCCGAAGTGAGATCTTGTGTGGAGAACCCTACCTAGGCCACGGTGACTTTCAGTTTTGAGGCCCGTAAGGCGCTTGTCATCCGGTTTCCGCATCTTCGACAACAAAAGCTGATCGGTCTGTCCGTATGCACTGAGACCCTTGGATGCTCCGAGCCAGTTGCGGCTCTGTCATCTGTATCCGCCATCTAATACCTTACCCATCTGGACTTCAGTCTCGGCATCCCGCGTGTTGGAGATTCGGGACCCCGGTGCCCATGGACCGGCAAGAAGTTGTTGTTGTGAACGGCCTTTCGGTAAGCCCGCATTTTCCATCAAACCCAATCCGAGAATCCTAAGCCCTGTCCACCTCAGAACTCTCACAATGCTATCCATTGAAGCATGCCCCTACAATTTCGGGAGCTCTTATCAGCTTGAAGGCATTGAACTTACATTTAATTGGTAGTGTACGAATTGTCGGAGCAAAAAGGTACGTCCTGTTGTCGATCCACTTGCAACCTGAGTGTGTCATGCTCATGATTACTCTCCCAGTTGAGATGCAGTCGTGACACACCCATTTGTGAGCGATGTAGTACACTAGACCTTTCATGCCAGTACCCTCAGAGGAGGCCTAGGAAACGTACCAAGAAAGAGGCCGATCACCCGAGGTGAGCTCAACTTCAAACTCTCATCAAACGTAGGCTATTTGATCACGCTGACACTCAACCCCCAAGTGGCACCGCCGACAATGCCACTCTTTCACTCATACTTGATCGTTTAGAGCGTATTGAGAACAACCGTCCATTGTCGAGTGCCAATCCTCCTACGTCAAGATCATCTCATCGACAGGCTTCTGATGAGTGTGGCTCCCCAGAGCCCTACTCACTAACAGGCCGGGATACAACGAGCCACTCAGCTTCACCTCTGAGTCCACCGTCTAGGGTTGACTCCAGGAACACACCCTATCATGAGCGAGACATCTTGCCATCTCTCAGACCACATGGATCTGAGACTTCGCGCAATCCCGCTGTCCTTGATGTTGCTGCAACCCTTGGTGACACTTTCGACCGTGTGCGAGATCAAAGGCTTCGACGTACCATGGGCCACAACACCATTGCAACCGAGGGTATTGATATCTCTCTTGAGAAGGCACGGACATGGATTCACAGTAAGATTTTCACGGCTCGTTACACTCACGACGCTGACTCGCAGCTTAGATTACTTCACCTACAGTCCCACTGAGACGTTTCTCAGTCTCGTAGATAGGAAAACCATCGAATTAATACCAGACATGCTGATGATGAGGCATGTTACCCTCGACCCCTGCATCCTCATCATTTACTATGTCATTTTGTGGCGGGGATGCTACATCCTGAACACACGGTCTTTTCACAGCCCAGACGGCAGATACGCGCGGCAGCTCTACCTATGTTGTCTTAGGACTATGCCATGCTGGCAGAAGGAAGCCACCGGTTCCATCACAGACTTTATCGCTGCTATCTTCATGGTATATCACCCTCCCCCTTCTATGTGCTGCTTTTTGCATGCGCCATGGTCGCCGTTGCTAATTCTACTCGCAGACCGGCATCGCAACAGAGTCTTACGACTTCGAAATGAGCTTGGAAATGCACCAATTATCTTGCGAGTACGCCAAAGGTCTCCAAATGCACAGTCTCGACAGCAATGCCTACTTTGTAGCCACCGGTTGCCCCAGCACCGACGAGGACCGCAAGGGAATGTGGGAGCTCATTCAAACGGATCTCTTCTACCACTTGATTTACAACAAGCCGGCGACACTGTATCCGAGCCTCGACAAGTGGCAGGTGAATCTACCATGGCTGTCACTCGACTTGCCTCCGGAAAAGGGTGCTCAAGTGTCGACGATATCATTCCTCATTCGCAGCCGACTTGCGTTCATCTTGATCCGCTTCTTCCAGACCCTCGAAGGACTCGAGAACGAGTCCGAAGCAGTCGAGGCTATCGAGCCTCTGTGCCACGAGATCGAAATCTTGTTTGATGAATGGGGAATTGTAAGTCGACCTCGCAACCTCCGTCCTGGTCACTTCACTGGAGCTCGGATTTGCTAATACCGCAACAGGAAGACTGGATCGCGCGATCAGGTGACGATCACATGGATCTATGGACTTTGTCAAGCCTGGTTCTTACAGGCTATACCTCCATCATCTTTATGCTGCGAAAAGCGACGCTGCTGAAATCAAACTCTCCCGTACCGGTCTGCACCGACAACAACGTGCCCAGAACAGACTTCTCAACTCGGGCCTCGCGTCGCATCCTCGACCTGACGTACAACATGCTGCACGTCTGGAAGTTCCCTGCGGCAGAGACAATATCGTACATTCTCGGCGCCTTCCGAGCGCACACCGCATACGCTCACCTCGCCAGCAACGCCATGAACGCACCCAGGCCTGGTGAAATGATTGAGGATCTGCATTTGCTGGATCGCGTCGCTCAGGGGATCGAGACTGCGACGCAGCAGGAAAACGATTTTCTTCCGCTGGCAAGAGAGATGAAGAGGATTAATGCTCAAGTGAAGGAAAAGATTCATGGCACTGCAACTGCCCGCAATGGCTGATTTCATGCCATTAGTAATTGTCACAACACCTTTTCACCTGAAGATATACACGTTTAGCTCGTGTACTGTTACAATGTTGAGTGATGTGTCCGCCGTATCATTGGATCAAATGTCAGCTAGGCCTCTTTGGGTCAACACTCAGCCTGTTGAAGCACTTACTAGTGCAGATGTCTATAGCTTCAATGAGCCGTGGCAGTTCTATGCACCTTATGTTTCGCGTATTGTTGTCACACTGATAGTATACATTCTTGATTGGCTGTCATTGTACCGAAATGGCTGTTTAGCTGAGGATAGCTTCCTTCAGTTCATGACAACAACTAGCACGAGCAGCAGGCTGCATGGACTGGAAAAACCTTGCAGTGTTGGAGGGAGTGAGAACTTCTCAACAGAGTTGAAAGACGTTGAACTCCGCTTCGACATAAAGCGGATGACTGGTAATGAGGAATCAGGTAACGGGGACTTGCGGATAGCTGTTCTTGGGACTGAGTCCGAGATTGGGTCATTTGAGACCTGAAGTATTACTACTACGGAAGTTCTCTAACAACGTGATGATATTAAAGGTTCAAGCCGATTGCACGGGTGAGATAGAATTTCGGCTAGAGGTTAACTCAGGTAGGCCTCCAAAGTTAAGACAGCGAGAACCTTATTCATCGGATGATCCCGTCGCGATTCACGACAGAGGAGCTTATCAACATATAAACGCCTTCCCGACTTGTTGCGGGATGGCAAACCTGTGATAGTGGGATATCAGAGGCAGCTCCATGATGCAGTGCATCGCATTCCCGAATCTCTAATCTTTTACTTTTTGAATCCATTTCTTAAGCCTTGCAGAGGCTATTTTCAGTTTGTTGAGGCATCTTTGATTATGCCCCATTATCAAGCAAATCTCAAATTTGAGTCTCATCATTCCGGCAACCGCAAGTCGGCATCGTGGACTTGCTTCAGAGGCCATTTATTACAACGAGCTCCATCAATACATGCCTTGCATGTATATATCTTGTATGACAGTTGTTGTTAATGGCTGAAAGCCATTTCGCGTCTTGGTCTAAGTAGGTAGAGGTCCTCGTTCCAGATTATTCATGTTTGGCGAGCGATCGGGGACCTGCTTCCTCCTAACACAAAATCAGACACGCAAACATGTGACGAACAACGAGACGCAGACTTTTACCGATCAGCTTGAATCTCTCGTCTTACATCTGCCAGCAAGTATCACATGCAAAACCGTAGTTGGGAATTGCGTCATCTAGGTACAAGTAACTTCATGCCTTGGAGCAAATCCGAAATCCAATTTAGCTCCATCAGTTCCAGGAACTCATCGGCTACTGCTGATTAAACGTGTTTGCCGCCATTTTCAGCAAGATAATTGTAATAGCTAAGATGGGTGCGGTTGATTTTACCTTGTAATTGCATAATCAGGCCTGCTCCCGAAACTAAACTCTCTTCCCAGTCTAGACAAATCCATGGATTCATCATCGGTTCCCGTCATTTGTTGATTGAGGCCTACAATGCTGCTCGCAATTGAACGCATGTGACATTCTTATCAGAAAGCAACCATACGTGATGAGGGCAATATGAATACTTAATCCACCAAATTCCAGGCGTTTCTCTCTTTTTGAAAGCCATGTCCACGTCAATCGATTTGATTTTGCTCACCCAGTTGAATCACAAACTTACATCTTCTCTTCACTATTAAAACTCCCGTTGGAACAACGACAATGGCCGTATCCAGTTTGATTAAATCCGGAGCTCCATCACTGGGGCTGCGATCTCAGAGATCCACCCATTGCCTCAATCAGATCGAAAAACTTCGCGCCAATGGTATTGGCGATCTAGTTGACTTGCCTCAACTCGCCGTCTGTGGTGACCAGTCCGCAGGCAAAAGCTCCGTGTTGGAGGGCATCACAGGCATACCTTTTCCTCGTCAAGAGGGTCTCTGCACCCGATTTCCCACAGAGATTGTTCTTCGGCACTCCAATGAGCCATTCAAGGCGAAGGCCACTATTCGGCCTCACTTCTCTCGCCCGCCCGGTGTTGCACAAGCCCTCAGCAACTATGAGCGTGAGATGAAGGAAGATCTCTCCGACCTTCCTCTCGCCATTGAGGAGGTCTCTAAGCTCATGGGGATACGTGGTTTTACCGATTCTCCTGATGATGCCGCATTTGCATCTGATGCTCTACGCATTGAGATTTCGGGTCCCACAGGACTGCAACTGAGCATTGTTGACCTACCTGGTCTTATCTCGGTCTCAAATGAGGAACAGTCCCAAGCCGACGTGGAGGCTGTCCATGCTATGGTGCGGAGCTACCTCAAGAGCACCCGTACTATTATTCTTGCTGTCGTCCAGGCCAGTAACGACTTTGCCAACCAAGGCATTATTAAAATCGCCCGTGAGTATGACCCAGACGGACAGCGGACTGTCGGTATCATCACCAAACCCGATCTCATCAATGCCGGAGCCGAGGCCAAGCTCTCCAACATTGCTAAGAACAAGGACGCAATTAAGCTTAAACTCGGCTTCTTCCTTCTCAAGAACCCCAGTCCATCTGAGATGAAGGCCGACAGTCGCAATAACAATCGGGCAGAGCGTGAGACGAACTTCTTCTCTTCGCCAGCCTGGAAGGCCAACTTCCCTCTCGCCTAATTTTTCTTGGCATCTGCTGTTAGTGAATGAGTGAGCCTACCACCAAATTACTAACAGCCGAAAACTCTTCACCTCCCCTTGCCGGAGCCCGCATCCGCGATGGCCTCACAGCCGCCGTCGGGCACCGGACTGATGTCGGCCGACCAAGCCGACCCCGAACCAGGCTCCGGGACACCTCCGGAGCCGAACCCCACCTCAAGAGCTAAGCGACGCCGCGACGTCGAGGCACAGCCGACCCGGCCCAGCCTAACGGGAAGCCAGCTTGATGCCACCACCGACGCCCCTACCTCGGCCGAGGGGCCCGCAGCCTCTACCGCATCTGCTCCGAGCGGATCTGCCACAGGGTCCGTCTTGACAGCCCTTGCAGAAGAAGCTAGACAGTACGAGGCACGGAAAGACGTCTTTCTGACCATTGCACGGTCCGTCGACAGCGTTGTCGCCAGCTTTGACGGTTCTAGAAAGCAGATCGCGAAAGAAGCCACTGCCTATGTCATTCAAACCCTCAAGAGACTGATCAATCACGAGACAAGCCCAATAGCGGCCCGGAGTTGGGCGGCTGTCGTCGCACCGATGGCGGGCAACACCACTGCGGCGACCCGGAGCGGCCAGAGCTGCCAGAGCTCTGCCCGCCCGAAGGCCACACTCCCCGCCGAGGATCAGCCGCAGGCGCAGCCGAAGGAGGACCTCCGCATCTTTGCCCGCGTCCCGGAAGAAAGCTTAGCGGCCGCTCGGAAGATCGCACCGTTCGCCGTACGACAGATCGTCTGTAAGGCCGTTGGCCTGGGGCTAGCGGACCTTCCCCACGTCTACCATATCAGCACAGGTTACTCTCTGAAGCCGCGAAACAAGCAAATACAGGAAAGACTACTTGCAAGTAAGGCAAAGCTGGCGGAATGCCTCGGCGCCCACCAGGTCGAGACGCCTATCAAGTGGTACACTTACGTTGTGCCGCGATGCCCAACAAAACTACACAGCATTGGCGGGGACGTCCTGGACCCAGCCACACTCGTTGAAGATGAGGTCTTCGCACAGACAGGACAGAAGCCTGTCCTTGCTCGACCGTCCCGCCTTGGGCCCAACCCAGTCACGAACGAAATATCTTGGCTCATATCATTCACATCAGAGGTCACGCCCTTCAGGCTCTTCAACCAAAGCGGCAGATCTCTGCCCGTCAAGAAACGAAGGACGCTCATCCGACACGACCCCGGCTGCCAGGGCTACCACTCCAACCGGTTCTGCGGACGACGACCGATCTGCAGCAACTGCGGAAGACCTTCCGATTCACACGAAACGGGACCCTGCATGGCCAGGCCCCAATGTGCCAACTGCTGCGGCCCCTTCCAAGCCAGCCACACAGACTGCCCAGCGAGGCCCTCGGCCGTAAACGGCGTCGTCTCCCTTCCCGGTCGAAAGGAGCGGGCTCGGATCCGGAAGGCCGGCCAGAAAGCATCGGACACTCTGTACAAGGCTACTCGATCCGACAGTAGCCAGGAGGCGGCAGGCGTCCCTACCTCCACCAGCCAGAACCAGCAACCCGGCGCCAAGCGCGCGCGCACGAGAACGCCCTCCGCAAGCTCGATCGTTTGCCTCGGTGACGGAAGCACTGACAGCAGCAGCATGGATGAAGACGAGGCGGACGAAGGCGAAGGCGAAGACTCCCCCGACAACACCTCCATCGACCGTCCCGTGCTACCCATGCCAAGCAGGAGCCAACGGGCAGCACAGAAGCCAAACTACAACGTCGCGAATGCCTACACCCACCTCGAACTCGACTCGGAGACGTAAGCCGAGAGCGGCGACCCCACGGATGCTACGCGTTGCGCAGGGCAACGTCGGAAAGATCTCCCCGGCGCACACGGCTTTCCTGCAGCTCTGCTGGGAGGCTCAGATAGATGTGGTCCTCGTCCAGGAACCCTGGACGGGCTGGAAGGACGGAAACGTGCAACTGAACACGCACCCGGGTTTCGACTCTTTCGTCCCGGTCGACTTCTGGGACAGCGAAGGAACCAGACCAAGAGTATTGACCTACACACGCAAAGGGATAGGGATGACGGTGGAGCAGCAGAGGCCTGTCCACACGAGAGACGTACTGTGGCTGGTGGTCGACAAAACGACGACTATCGTCAACGTGTACAGACAACCCCGCGACCCCCACAGCCGCACAACAGGGATACTGCTAGAACTCAAACCCCCGGAGCGAGCTTTGATCGCGGGTGACTTCAACGCGCATCACTACTCTTGGGAGCCCGGGACGAGGAACGGGAACCGGGGAGATGACATCGCAGGCTGGGCAGACGGCCACAATCTCTCTCTTATCAGCGAAGTTGGGGTGGCAACCCAGGATTGCGGACATGTCCTGGACCTGGCTTTCTCTAATATCCCTTTTGCGCACGCGCAGGTCAGCCCACAGCTACACCCGGGAGCTGACCACGAGGCCATCGTGGCCGTCATACCACTACTCAAACGCCCAGTGTCACAGGGAGAGGGCCACCCGCAGCCACGGCCACTGTCAGTGCCCGACTCGGCGCTGCCTCGGCTGAGAGACCTGATCGAAGGGGGGCTAGCTGCGATGCCCAATCTGGGGGATCAACCTACTCCGGAAGACCTGGACGGGCAGGCAAGTCACATCGTCGAGCTCTTCTCCCGAGCCATTGAGGCGGTCGGCAAGAAGAGAGGAAAACATGGTAAAGGCGCGGCTTGGTGGACGGAGGAATGCGCAGAGGCCCACAGAGCATACCGTGCTGCCCGCAACCAACAAGCCTGGGAGACGGAGCAAGATGCGCACCTTTATCTAATGGAGAAACGAAAGGCGTTCCTGAGCACGGTGAGGAAGGCTAAGCGAGCATACTGGGCCGGAAAGATCGATGGAGTCGCTTCAGACCGGGACCTGTACCAGATCATGGGTTGGCGGAAGGCGAGCCTACTGACCAGAGCACCCCCATTGGTTGTGGACAACCAGACGATCGAGGATACTAACGAAAAGGCTCAAGCGCTTCGGGGAGCCCTTCTCGACAGGTTTAGTGCGGAAGATGACGCACCGGGTGACCCGTTTGACGTACCCGTCGTCCCGAGGCGAGCGATTACTTGGCAGGACAATGTTAGCGGAGAAGAAGTGAAGACGGCCACCTTAACAAAGACAACGACCCCTGGTGTGGACGGCATCACAACACGCCTCCTCCAGGCATGCTGGGATGTCATCTCGGAACCGGTCAGGCAGCTATTCCAGTCCTGTATGCGGGCCGGCCACTTTCCTCTGCCCTTCCGCAGAGCTGAGGTGGTCATGATCCAGAAGGCCGGCAGGGATGCCTCCAAGCCCGGGTCCTGGCGGCCGATCGCGCTCCTCTCGTGCCTGGGCAAGGGACTAGAGCGACTGATAGCCAGAAGGATGGCGTCCCTGGCGATTGTCGAGCGCATCATCAGTCCGCAACAGATCGGGGCTCTACAAGGCAGGTCAGCCGTCGATCTGACGACCTGCCTCACCCACGACATCGAGATGGCCCTCCTAAAAGGACTCACGGCGACACTTCTGACTATGGACGTAAAAGGGGCGTTCGACTCCGTCCTTCGGAACCGGCTCGTCATTAGACTGCGTCAGCAGGGATGGCCACATGGCCTGACCAGACTGATCTTTAGCTTCTGCTGCAACCGCACCGCTAGAGTCCGACTGGAAGAAAGCACAACGGAGTACTTCCCGCTGTCATGCGGGCTGCCTCAGGGGTCACCACTATCTCCCATTGCCTTTCTGCTCTACATCGCAGAGATACTTGAAGACGACCCGAACGCGCGATTCGGGTACGCGGACGACATCGCCACTCTGGCCATCAGCCCCTCCCTGGAGAGCAACGTCGCAATACTCAACCGAAGCGCAGCCGGCATTCTCAGATGGGCTTGGAGAACAAGGTCTCCTTTGACCCGAGCAAGTGCGAGGTCATCCACTTTACTAGGAAGCACGGCCAGCCAGCGGAGCTGCCAGAGGTCCGGGCGGGGGATTTGGTGGTCAAGGCCTCGACGAAACCTGTACGCTGGCTGGGTGTCTGGTTCGACAAGAGACTGTCCTTCCGGCACCATGTCGACGCAAAAGTAGCTGCAGCAAAGAGGGCAGCTCAACATCTGAGACAGCTTACGAACACAAAGAGGGGACTCCCAGCGGCCGCCGTGCGAAAAGCCGTCGTCTCCTGCGTACTGCCGATCGCGCTCTTCGGCGCCGAAACATGGTACGCAGGTATCACGAAGCCGGCTTCGAGACGCCAAGCGGAGACAGACACGAATCCGCCTCTCCAAGGAAGACCCGTCAACACAGGCCAAAAGGGGCTCGTGCAGAAGATCGACAGCGTCATTACAGCGGCAGCAAGGGCCGTTCTGCCTGTCTGGAGGACAACGCCAACCAGTAGCCTCCTCCGAGACGCCGGCTTACCGTCAGCCAAAGTCGCCTTAGAGGGCGTCCGCTTACGGGCCGCAGTCCGACTACAGAGGATTGATCGCCGACACCCGCTAGTCGCGCGGCTCTCCCAGCAGGGACAGCAACAGACGAGACTACAACGGACGGCTGAACTTCTGCCAAGATGCGGAAGACCAGCGTTCCTTCAATCACAGTACCTGCCAAGCTCACAGGATCAGATAGTAGTTCAATGCAAAGAAGAGGCTGCGAAAGCTTTCGAGCGCTGGCTAAAGACAGTACCGGAAAGCCATATGATCGTCTTCTCGGACGGCTCCAGGGCGACGAACGGAGCCGTGGGGTACGGCTTCGTCATCTACCGAGACTCCAAACGCATAGCACAAGGGTGCGGCCGACTCGGACTAGCAGAAGTGTTCGACGCCGAGGTCGAAGGGGCGCGAACCGGCCTCAGAAGGGCTCTGCTCACCAATCGCGGTCATCCAATCCACATATGTATCGACAACACCAGCGTTATACAAGGCATCCGCGGCAAGGCGCCGGACTCGTCACAAGACGCGTTCCTCGAAATCCAAGAAGCGGCCAGGATATTTGATATACGGACGCACTGGTCCCCGGGACACCAGGGCATCGAAGGAAACGAGGCCGCGGACCGGCTGGCCAAAGAAGGAACGACACTGCCGGCGCGGATGGGTCAAATGGCAACACTAGCGGGCATCAAGCGGCTTGCAAGGGAAAAATTACAAAGCCAGCACAGGAGATGGTGGTATAAAGAGCGAAGGCCGCGGTACGCGGACTTGGGGCTTGAGGCAGCTCTGTCCAGCCCTCCTGAACTGGCCTTGCCGCGGGCTACGTTACATCACCTGCTGGCGGCACGATCGGGTCACGGGGACTTCGAGCAATATCACCGACGTTTCAACCACGACGACGCTCTAATGATGTGCTCTTGTGGAGAGGCGAAAGACGTGGACCACCTGGTCTACTGTCGACTAACGCTGGCGAGGAGGCAACGGTGGCCGACCCTCCACTCTCGCAGTATGCCCGAGCCCATAGGCCCTATGGGATCTCTCGAGGCCTACTTCAAGAGATTAATCACCGACCCACGAGGCTTCGAGGCCTTTCTCCGCGTGACGGACTTCTTCCAGAAGATCTGTCTGCGGTAGCAGCATCCACACCTACGTAGATGTGAGTGCGGACTACAAAGAACCTCCCGATTCCAAGGGACGATTTGGGAAAGAATGAAACTGGGGCACCAGCGGGAACCGGGGACAGACAGAACGCGTAGTGGCCACAAGGCATGATTTGGAGGACGATGTAAAGAGACGACGTACTGTAGAGTAGGTAGCCTTGGCTCACGGCCCTCCACGCCATATACCCTTCGGGAGGTCTGCGGTAAGGGCTCTAGCCCGGCCGCCACGGCGTTAAATACAACAACAACAACAACAACAACAGCCTGGAAGGCCCAGAATCTTGACATGAGTCGGGTTGGCATTGAGAATTTGAAAGTATTCCTACAAGAGCTTCTGGACGAGCACCTCGAGGGGGAGCTGCCCAAATTGAAGGACGAAATCAGACGCAAACTTGATTCCTTTGAAGCTGATCTTGAAGATATGGGTCCTGAACGACGGTCCCTTGGCGATATTCGATCGTTCATGACCAACCTCAGCATGCGCTACTATCAGCTAGCTCAGGCAGCTTTAGACGGGAACTATCACTGCTCGGAAGCTGCCTTCTTCGAGAAAAAGAAGGGAAGCAGACTCCGCTCCTTAGTTCATCGGCGGAATGGTACTTTTGCGGCGAAAGTCCATGAGCAAGGCCGTAAACGCAATATCACCAACAGCCCACCTACGCCTCGGTCAGAGGATGGCTCTAGTGGTGATAGCGGCCAGCTGCTTGTCACACGAAGCGGGATGATATCTTGGATCCGACAGGTAAGCTTCTGACCTCCTACAATTCGTCTGTATCAAAGCCAAAATGACCGATCGAGATCAGACCTATATCAGAACCCGAGGACGTGAGCTTCCTGGCAATTACAACCACATCTTACTCGCTGAGCTTTTCCACGAACACTCCAGTCCGTGGCGTCATCTGGCGCGAGAGCACGTTTCCACTATTCTAGAGTGTGTTTCAATATGGATCCGTGAAGCGGTCTCTACGCTGTTCCACGAGGATCGCCTACGAAGAGACATCAACAGTTACTGTCAAGAGCAACTGGATCTCTACAGGAAGAGTGCAATAAGGGAGCTTGAGCAAATATTCCAAGATGAGGACCGACATCCGATTACGTACAATCATTACTACGCCGACAACATCCAGAAGGCGCGCCACACATCGCAGAAAGAACTGCTGGAGAACTCGCTTGCTTCTATCAGCGGGCGCAACATGCATTTAGGCGATAGCAACCAAAGACAGCTGCTCGTTAACGATTTGCAATCCAAGCTCTGCGTCGATATGGATCAGCAAGCGTGTGAAGAGGCTCTCGCGGGTCTCAATGCCTACTACAAGGTACTTTACACGCCTATCACCCCCTTATCTTCTTTCTGCTCGGGACGCTGATGACATCCCGCAGGTTGCAATGAAAACTTTCGTGGACAACGTGTGTAGACAAGTCATTGAACGTCACATATTGGCTCCGCTGCCAGAGATCTTCTGTCCCACCACAGTCTTGCAGTTCTCTGAAGATGAGCTACTGCGCATTGGGTCGGAGCCGGAGAAAGAAATCGCTCGACGGCAGAGGCTCGAGGCGTCTGCTCAAGGCTTGCGGAGCAGCCTTCTTGAATTGCAGCGCTTATCAGGTTAGCTCATGTTTAGAACGGCGGCTGCGCTGGAATTTTTCCTTAGACTCTTGTTCGGGTTTCTTCCTCTTCAGGCTACTTAAAGATGAATCTGATACAACATTTACAGACAGCTTGATATACACTTCAAAGCTAAAGTTATCTACCTGTTCACAAACTAAGTTTCGAATAACCGCGCCGGGCCTTTGTGTTGTCTTGCTGGGGCTCTCTTCTCCAATGCATGTTGACTTGGTGGCATGGATATTATTCTGTCTCCCACAGCCTTCTCGTGCCATTCTCTCAACGGAACACAGAGGCGTAGCAGCAATCTGCAAATCGTACTTTTCTCAGTCCATTATTGTGTGATCGAAAGGATTCGATGAGACTCAACCTGACAATTTGACAAAGCAGCCGGATTTTCAGGAACGCGTGACTAGTCGCCGTGTCTAGATAGAGCATGACGAGGTTACTATGCCGTCCACTTTCCATTACCTCCCGTAGGGTTGTTACTTTCTATCACAGCCTGAGCGGGTGTCTTTGATCTATACGTCGAAAGACTCTAAACCACCGAGGGAATCTCGCTGAGTCCCTTACTTATTTGTCGTGGGCCCCTCTGGCCTCCAGTACGCTGGCATGAATTACACCACTTCGAGCCCTGTATCCACATCTGTCAGAAACCCATCATTGACCTCACCTCCTTTTGTGGGATATTCTTGATCCTGGTGATGTTATTGAACCGCCTTCGTGTAAGGACAGTGTGGCAGTGGAAGATGGGGCCACGAAGAGCTGCCCAGCAGCAGTGAACGACCCCGGCTCTTCATCGCCCGCTCCCCCAGACCCAGACCCGGGTGCTCGACCTGCATACGCCAGAACCCGGCCCGTGTGAGTTCATCGCCTCCCGGATGCTCTTCAGTAGATAGACAAGACTTTCTTAAAGGACAAGAAACCGGCAATCGATACCCCAACTTCCAAGAGCGACCAATATCTGTCAAATTCTAGATATTAAAGCGACAAACTGAATACCTCGAATGTTAGTGGTCAGACATTGCAGTCCCCGGCCGCACCCAAGACTCCAAACTGGCTTCCTAGTCTTTCCGACGGCCTTCAAGACTCGGCTACCCACATTGGTACCCTGCACTCCGTTACACTGTACGTAATAAACACCTTAACCTGGGTGTCTGTCTCCGGACCGGCGTGGAGCGGCCAAGCATCACTTCACGCCCTATAGTAGCAAAAGGGAGCACGCGACGGTGACCTGCCGACCGCCGTTGAAAGTTGACGCTTTTCCACGGCTATGCGTGGCTTTCGGTGGAACTCCTGAGCGGGAGTGGGTGGAATGTCAAAAGCGAAAGACCTCCGGCGCCACGGCCAAGACTTTTTTTCTTGTTGGTTTTTCAGTCGATAATCCCTCTCCTCTCCACCCCCAAATCAAATTTCTCGGAGCCCCATGCCCGACCCTCGTCTTCGCGCTCCCCCGCCGAGCCTCTCGGCAATGCTCGGCGCGGCACGGCATTCGCCGTGGCGGACCAATGGGCGGAGGCCGCAGTCGTACCAACGTCGCTCGAGAGTCATGTCTGACGGATGCCAACCGGGGCGCAATCACCCTGGGCATCTTGGTAACGAGCCTTGGTCTTCTTGGACGCGCCGAATCCTTTTGCTCTCCGCGGATCTTCTTGCTCCCTGACAACGCGATTGCAAGCTGGAGACCGAGTTTGGGCCTCTGGCAGAACAGTCATTGTCAAATGTCAAGATGGGGAGACGATGAGACCCACGGTTTGTGGGGTGAACCTGGAGGGGAAGCTTCAGGGAAAGGCACATTCTCGATCAACCGACCTGTCTTCGACAACGCAATCAGTGGTCAGCTAAAATTGCAACGTTGCGAACCAGATGTGAGGCTCTTTGCACCTGACTACCAAAGGCATCTGATACCAACGTAAAGGACCTGCTTACCGTTTGATGAACAACACCATCGACGCCCCGTTGTCACCGCCAAGTTGTAATATCAGCTAAGGCCAATACCCAGACAACCATCCCGACGTGACAAACTGACTCGGCCAGTCAAGCTTCATCATCCTGTCTCTTGTCGTCCGGTATCCTCCCTTTGGCAAATCCAGAAATGTTCTCCTGTCCAGCCCACTCTTATTGTCAACCTTGCCTCTGCCAATGCCGCGTCGAAGTGTTCCACCCTATCGCATCCCGGTCACACACGCGCCTGCGCTTTCTAACGTCCTTCTGGTTCCTCAACGCCCTACGCCGGCGGCCGGTGACCCTTCCAGTCCCTTGCTCATTCGTGTGTATGGAGTACGAGACTTGCAGTCTCAATCCAGACTCGTGGATCGACCAAGACACCATTCACCCCCCTAAGTCGCCCGCCCTCCCTCGACCACGACTTGTGGGTAACGCGGGGATGGAATGGAATCTCTTACACCTTCCTTTCGCGTGAAAGATGCCAACCGCCGTGCCCTCTCCAAGCTTCGATATCCTTCTTGGCGAGTGAGAGATAGGCGTGCCCTATCTCGTTTCTCGGTGAAATCCTATCCTGCCAATCCTTTGCAAACGTCCCACGCGAGCACCGTCTCACTTGCCCCCATCCCATAGACGTATCGGAGGGTTTGGTATCGCAGGCTAACCTGGCCCCTGCTCGCCACACCGATAGACAAGACTCTCGGTGCAACCCATAATCAGCTTGACCCACGAGCCGGGTGTTCTTCACGTATATATCCCTCGCTCGAGTCGCCGATCAGGGTCGAGGGAACTCTTTCTCCGTCTTCTTCCTTCCGTCTCAGCGTTGCAGCAATCCTGGCTCGGCTCGTTCTTCTGTAGCTTGTGACACTGTCTCCAGGTACCTCCGTTGTTTCGTCAACATCTAGACAACCTCACCCCCGTCCAGAAGCCAAAGATGGAGAAGTCAGAATATGGCACTGCCGACAAGGCCGTGCGAGAGAACTCGAACTCGTCCATGGACCAGGTCCAGCGCCAGACCTCCGTCACATCGGAGGTCTCGGTCCACGAGAAGAAGCCGTGGTGGCACCCGGTCATCGAGCCTGGTTCCGCCGTCCAGATCATCATCGCCGCTGCCATCGCGGTCGGTATCGGTTTGGGCGTCAAGACTGCCCACCCAGATATTCCCGAAGCCGCGACGACCATCCTCATCATCCCCGGTAACCTTTGGTTGCGGTCTCTGAAAGCCGTCGGTACGTAGAACCTCGTTCCTTGAGCATCGGCCCATCCCGAGCTAACAATGTCTCCCAGTCCTGCCCCTCATCGTGACAGCAATGGTCCTCGCTGTCCAAAAGCTCAAGGAAATCTCCCACGGCGGCGCCAAGCTCGCCAAGTGGACGATCGGCTACTACGTCATCACAACCATCGTAGCCATCGTCCACTCCATCATCATGACCTCCCAGGTCTGGGCCCGCCTCATGACAGTCGCCTCCGCAGAGTCCATTGCCACAGGCAGCATGTCCGAGAAGGACCAAGAGTCCTACGAAGAAAGGAAAGACCAAGATATTCCCGCCACCGTCACCGAGCTCTTCAACTCCCTCATTCCGGCCAACGTTGTCGATGCCCTCGCCTCGGACCACCTCCTGGCCGTGCTCGTCAGCGCCGTCGTGATCGGCTACCTCATCGACAACCGAGACGGCCAATCTTCCCTCATCAAAGCGGCGCGTGAAGTCGAGGCCCTCATCATGATCATCATCACCTTCCTCATCAAGCTCGCCCCCATTGGTGTCTTCTTTTTGATTCTTCCAAACATGTTCAAGCTCGACATCAACGATATCGGCGTGAACCTTGGCATCTTGATGGGCGGCGCCATCAGCTCCATGTTCTTGCACCTCTTCATCATTCTCCCCATCATCTTCTACGCCTTCACCCGCCAGAACCCATACACCCTCTGGTTCAGCTGCTCGCCCGCCTGGTTGACGGCATGGGGAACCGCTTCCTCAGCCGCTACCCTAGCCGTGACCATGAAGTGCTGCCGTCAAACGCTCAAGGTCCCCGAGACGGTCACCAAATTCGCCGTGCCCCTGGGCTGTCTCGTCAATATGGACGGGACCGCCATCTACTTCCCGATAGTCGTTGTCTTCCTCGCTCAGACTCAGGGCCATGTTCTCAACGCGGCCGACTACATCATCATCTTGTTGCTGTCGACTCTTGCTTCCATCGGCACCACCCCCATCCCCAGCTCATCCCTCGTCCTGACTGTCATGATCTCGTCGAGCGTCGGCATCCCCCCGAGCGGAATGTATGGTGTCGTCGTTGCCATTGACTGGTTCATTGATCGATTCCGCACTGCTACCAACGTTAGCGGCGATCTGTTCGCTGCTGTGATTGTTACCAAGATGACTGGAATTACAGATCCGGTCGACGGCTCTGAAGTGGTCGAGGAAGAAATTAGGCACAATGACGAGCGCGTCTGAGTAATTTGCGTGTAATAGATAAAGAGAACAGGAACTAGGATAGATTGAATGCCACTCTGGTTTAATCTTGCAAAACACAAAGCCACTGTCGAATATACCGGGATCAACTTTTGGTGACTTCTTCGGGGCACGGCCGTTTATAAGACGTTGGCTCCCTGTCAGTATTATGTTCTCGATGACCGGTATCGCGCGGCGAAGGAGTCGCAATGCCGCATCAGGACGAAAGCAGCTAGGCGATTCCACCCTAGAGCCGGCCAAGGAGCATCTTGCCGACTTCAGGGGTGATAAGTTATCTCTTCGCGCGTCTCTTGTGGCATACTAGGGTATCGAACGGCTAGCTACCAAGTTGCAGTTGGAAGTATTTGTATTGTGGAAGTTCTTGAAGAAGCCATACTCTATTCGTCTTCAAATAGATTATCTCGCTGAAAACAGAAATCCAACGAAACACGCTGTGCAGAATGCTTCAAACCCACGCTGTTAAGCACAGGAACCAGAAGAAGAAGCACCAATTTCCACAGAAATGCACCTATCGAGTCCCTCTTAGTAATACGTCCTCTTCCTCCTTTTTTTAGAATTATCATACCAAGCCCTCACCTTGCTCTCCTTCTCCGCCGCCTCGATCCTCAACCACCCATAATCCTCGTCATACCCTAGCCCCTCGTTCTCGGCGTACTCCCCGCGCGTACGCTTCCGGCTCTCGGAGTGCGCCTTGGACCGGTACGTCTGCTCTTCGGCCCCGCCCGTTCGGGCCCTCCACTGTTCCCGAACGAGCGGCGGGTCCGCCTGGCCGGCTAGGGCATTCTCGGTCATCCAAGTTTTCCTGACGGCTAGGGTGGGATATTGGTACCCATACCTGTCTGTATCCGTGTCGGCTTCGTAGGTGAGCAGCTGGTCATAGTATGACTGATTCTGCGGGTTATCACGCGGTGGCTCCGCTTCGAAGTACCGACCCTGAATCGTCCTCCCGCTTGCAAGGTCCTCGACACCTCTGCAGATGTTTGTTGGCTTCATCACCGACTGTTCCGTTTCGGTGAGGCTCTCACGCCCTATAGTCCTGGACCAGTCGCCCACCCACTTCTGACTGCTCTTGTTGTATTTAGCCCCCGGCCACCACGGCATCGGCGGCCAGCGTTCCCAAACTTGGTAGGGACTCGTTCTAATGTAACGACTGCCTAATCTCACTCCGTCTAGGTCGGGACTTACACGCGTGACAGGCTGGAAGTAACTTAATTTGGAGTCAGTGACGAGGAGGATCTGCTCTCTCTTCTGGTTCTTGTGGTCCAGGACAAACCCCTCTTGGGGGACGCTCCCATACACTCTCATCTCGAAGACTTGTCTTCCTTCCGCTAGCCAACGGTCTTCTGCGTACGTAGGTGTTGGTGAAGTTGCACCTTCGTTGGATGTCTTCTCCGGTGCAACTCCCTCACTGTTGGGCTGGTTACCAGAAGGACCTGCCTGTCCATTCTGCTCTGGAGAGGCCTCGGGACTGGAAGACCACGAGGTTAGCAGCAGCTCCGACGGGCTAGCCTCCCCATAGCGCGGCTCTGGCACCACTGTGACCGGAGTCCCTGGACGAGACCACGGCTCGCGGGGTTCATCGGGACGAGTGAAAGTAATCACCTCAGTGCCGAAGAAATCCGCGATGAGATAGAGCATCTCGTGGTACCCGGGCCCTTTAGGTTGGCCAGCGTCCCAGTCGTTCCTGTTGAGGCAACGTATAAGATCTTGAGGGCCCCAGTCCTCGATGTCATCACTGGACACAGACGCACCTGAGTCCACGAGGAGTTGACAGTACATCCGGAAGCGGCGTGAGCCAGGGTTCGACAGCTGGTAATGGAGCCAGTTGGCCACCCTGAATTTAATTTTTTTTGCGAGATCATACCGGTTATGAACGAGTAGACTGTAAGAGTTAGAAGATGTACTCAATGATGACAGTCTGGGGCGAAACGAAAAAGGTAAAAGGGGGGGGACTTACGAGAGAGAATACCACAAACTATCCTCGCCCTTCGGTACAGGGCTCGTGAAGAAGGTGTAAGGGAGAGGCTTCTCAATGAACTCCTCCTCGCTGTCTTCCTCATCCCGATCAACACCGTACAATAGTGGATCTTTACCCTTCCCTTTCGGACTTCTGCCCTTGCCCTGCGTATTATTGTTCTCCTCCGGCTCCTCGTCGTCGTTTTCCTGCCCCTCGTTATTTTCTTCCTGCTCTTCGTCGTTGTCTTCCTGCATGTCGTCGTCTTCTTCCTGCTCCTCACTACTCTCTTCCCTGATATCCTCCTCGTCCGAGTCAACGTCCCAATAGTCAGGATCATTGCCCTTGAACCTGAAAACAGGCCTGGCCCGAAACCCATAACAAGCCTCAAGATCCATCCACTCCTCCGCCTCCCGCGCTCTCGCATCCCGAAGCATATTTCTCGTCGCCATCCACGTCTTCCCCATCACCCGATGATCCTGCTTCCGCTTATCCTTGTCCGCCTGCCTATCAGACCCATACGTCGCCTGAAAACCCTGGTAGGTCGCAGGAGTAGGCACATGCTGATCCCAGTTCGCAATCGTCAAATCGACCGGCGCATCGTCGCAAGTGCCGTTGGGTCCCCAGTGGCTAATCCGCGTATGTCGAAACGGCTGCCACTCCTCGTGTCCTGGCCGTCGGATCCCAGCAATGGTCCGGATGGCCGACCGGACCCGTCTGCCGGCCTCGACGTACCGCCGGTTGGCGACAGACCCCGGATCTGCCATCATTCCCTCTTGACATACTTTTTTGATCAACCTGTTGCACCACGCCACGAACTCGTGGGCCGGGGGTCTGGCTACTGGTGCAGCGGCTGTTCTGCTGTGTAGGCCCAGAATCTTGTACGCTAGATCCGCGGTCCCGTCGTCTGGGGCACACCCGAGGATCACCTGAATTGTGGGATACGCTTTGTCTCCTGTCGGTACGACCCACTGTTGGGGAGCTTGAGCGGCGGCAGCCATCTTGTCTATTTCGTCTAGTGGTGCGACGTTCCTCCGAGGTTTTGGTATGATCGGCTGAGATAACTTGGTGGGAGTTGGTCGAACTGGCGGTATGAGTTGTCTAGATTTTGGTCGTGACGTCTAGCGTTGACCGTGTTCTTCGATACAGTCTTATTGATTGCCAGTAATTGAGTTTCTAGATTGGAGTTGTGTAATAATCTGGGTGTTTGTTGTGTTTTCGTCATTCTTGCTCTCGTTCAAGTAGTTCATTCAGCCTGCTCATAACTCAAGCACATCTTTGCGCACCCAGGGCCAAAGATACCTCGCGGGAACATGAAAGAACTGTGTTGTATATCGAAGCAAAGAAGACAAAAAAAGTGGAGCTAACAATGAGGGCTTATGAGCGTTATGCTAATAATGAGAACCGTCGTAGAAATCTCAAAGACTTCAAGAACACTAAGGCGATAGACACAAGGGGATCACATTCCAATTTAGGTAGGCCGGCCCCCTACTGCTTCCTCGGTGAGCAATATCATCAAGAGTTGGGGACAACGAGCCTTGAGTATTCGATCACTTCACAATGCCTTTCACACTAACTACCTTAGCATACTAGGTAAGCATAAGGCTCAATCACAACGTACTAAGTGGCTAAAGACTTCCATCACGCCCATGCCAAATTTTGCAAAGGAACGTAATTGAAGGAAGACTCGTTGCGAAGTGCTTGAAGTTTTCCAAGTTTGAAGACCAACACAATAATAGTCATGAGAAGATCGCAAGATAGACCAAGACCCATGACACACTTTGCAAAGGAAAGTAATCAAAGATACACTGAGCACCGCATGTATTCAAAAAAAAAAAAAAAAAGATACCTCTAAGGTGCCTCTATCCCAAGCACGCAATGCATGGAAAACCCTTTGCAAACCCCATCTTGTTCGCTCCTTATTCCAAGAGTAACCCAAAAGATGTAAAGAAACTCCCTCCCGAAGCCCGCTTTGCCGTCACCATCTTCGTCGCCATTCCCTCGGAGTCTCATTCGCACCAAGCGGTGACAATCGACATCCCTTTGCAGCATGCTATGCCGCTCTCCACGCTCCCTCCCCCGTCCCCGTTCATCTGCCTTTGACCACAACTTTAAAAATACCAATACAAAGGACCACTCGTCACAACCAGCATCCGAGAGAATGCCAAGTCGACAAGAGGTCAAGGGTGACAAAAGCACAAAAACTCCTCAAAGACACCCTCCCTTCTTCACAAAGGAGGCTTCGGGTATTGTGTAATGCTCGTACAATATTCCTCCACAACCCACCACACCACACATACTCTCTCTCTACCGGCGCTCCGGACCCTCCCACTTCCTCTTCGCACCTCCCCCACCGCCACCAGTTTCATAGCTCAGGTCAACGCTCCAAAGCGAATCCCATACGACGCTCTTCTTCGTCGGACTCTCAACGCTGACCCCGCTCCTCTGACGCTGCAGCCTCAAGGGCGATCGAGCTTTCTGACCGGAATCAGTGAGAAGGGGTTAAAGCTCGGAGGGAGAGACAGAGAGAAATAGGGGATGATTTTTGCTGGTCTAAGGGCCAACGAGAGAATCGATCATATTTCGTACCTCAGGCGACCTGGGTCTATCGGGCTGACCCTCTTCCGCAAGCGGGCTCGATGCCTGCCCTACCTGTCCCGACTGCTCGTGTCCGTTCGTCGATGGTCCCAACTGTCCATCCTCGGGATGGCTGGTCTCGGTCGGCGTGTCCGGTGCGACTGCGCGAAGAGAATTTGTCTCGCTGCCCAACGCGTTACCCTTGAGAAGTGCCGCACCACCGCCGCCTACAGCAAAGGGAAGAGCCCGTTTCGAGTTGGAGCTGCTCCGGCGGCTTTCGAGGCTCTTGCTGAGCGCCTTGCTGACACCTTCGATGCTATGGGTGTTGGCGCGCTGCTTGTCCTTGCCATTCGTCTGCGCATGTGTGTGCATGTCCGCCATTGCCTCGACATTGTTCGTCGCGATCGTGGACTTGCCCAGGCCAGGCGTGGCTGGCGCGCCGGGCTTGTCCTCGTGCGCGTCAATCAGGTACCACCGCAGGCCATCGGAAAGCTGGAAGGGGTTATCATCCTCTTCGCCATTGACTGAGTCGGTATCAGGAAGTTGTTTGTGCATGCTCTTTGAGAGATCCACGACGCGCTCCTGTACCCTTGTAATGCGAGCCACGAGCCACTCGCGGGATCGCAGACGATGGGCATCAGTCTCCCGCAAAAAGTAATGAGGAAAGCCAACGTTGAAAGCAGCCCATGCGCCAGCCGTCTGGTTTCGGGTGGGCAGGAACAAAGCGAGGTCGCCCTCTTTGAAGTGTTTAAAGGCAATCTTCTCATGTGAGTCCCGCTGAAGGGTATGCGCCTTCTCCCTATACGCGCGCGCATCTCGCTGAAGTTTCCGGGCAAGGTGCTCAACGTCCTTGACGCGCTTGTAGACCGTCTCCGCAAACAGATCCATGTCGAAGGTGCCCAGCCGTGTCATGAAAGCCTCATATTTCTCGGTCTCTGCATCAGCATCATTGCTATTCATCCAGTACAACAACTCCAAGTCGGTGCTATCGGCCAGAGTGCGACTGGCAAGCATGCCAGAGCGGCGAATCGTAGACTGACTAGGATCAGATGAATCGTTTGCAGTGTGGTATTGGCTCATGGTGCCTCTCTCGGACCTCGGAACCTTCTGGATCGTCATTATCGCGTCCTGTCGGGTGACGGAGAAGCCCAATCGCTCCAAAAGTCGGCACAGTCTGTCGTTCTGAGAGTAAAGACGCTGTGTCAGATCCTTAGTCTTTTCAGATCTAGACTCGAAATGACCGAGAACAGCCGAGAGCTTGGACTGAGACTTCTCCATCTTCTCTTTATAGAGTCGCAACTCCTCCTCAAGGCTACCGACTTGGGATTGCCTCGAGGCAAGCTCCTCGGTGATAGAACTGATTCGTCCTTCCTCCTCATCGAGCTTCTTCCTTAGACTCTCCGAGCCCGTCTCACCATCGGCAATCTTAGCACGAAGCTGATCAAGCTGCTCTCGGCCCTCAGCAGCCTCCTGCTCAAGAGCAGCCACACGTGCCTTTTCTCCGTCCAGATTTTCCTTCAGGTGTCGCGACTTGTCCTCTTCGGTAGCGAGCTTGCTCTTCGTTTCGGATATCGCGGCCTTCAGGTTCTTGATCTGCTCATCAGCTTGTTCCAGGTCGGCCTTGAGAATTGATCGGTCGCTATCCAAAGTCTTCATGTTGGCGGCGACGTCGGTAGCCCGGTAGATGAGTGCGTCAATGAGATCGTTGAGATCCTCGGTAGTGTCATCATTCGGCGACAGCTGATCGTGGACATCGCGGAGTGCCTTCATTTGCGTGTCAGCCGTCTCCTGTGTGACGCCCAGAACCTTGGCCAGTTTCTTCGCATCATCATTGGCGGTCTGCAGTTGCTTATCGAGAGACTCGTTCTGTTCCCTTTGGAGTCGTGCCTCGTTGCGCAGGAAATCGACTTGGCCTTGAGCCTTGAGGGCCTCGTCCTTTTGCTCCTTCTGTAGCTTCTCAACCTCGGCCTCCAGCTCATGCATTCGCTCAATGTAGGTAGCCTTCTCGTTTTCTCTCGACTCGCCAAAGTTCTCAATCTCATCTTCGGTGTCTTCAATGCGGGCCTTGAGTCCCTTGATCTCGTTCTCCAATGACTTCCGCTCTTCGACGAACTCCCGCTGCAGAGCCTCCATGTTCTCAAGAAGCTCCTTCTTAGTAGAGTTGGCCTCCTCCATCCGGTCTTTGACGTCGTCGTGCGCGGTAGCCCGGACGCTGAGGTCATTTTCGAACGCCGCCGATTTCTCCTTCTCGGCATTGAGCTCCCTTTCGAGATGCTGTATTCTTTGCTGGACCTCGGTATCGTCGGATGACTGACGCTTTTCCAACTCGCTCTCCAATTGCTGCACTCTCTTCGCTAGAGCCTCTGATTGATCAGATGCTCGACGAGTATTCAGCTCACCTTCGAGCTGCTGTATTCTTTGCATAAGCGCTTCAGAGTTTCCTGTAGAGCGGCGATGGTCTTCTACAGTTGTTGTCGACTTGATCGAGTTGGTCGACCCATTCCTCTCGTGTCCGAACAAGCCACCGATACCGGGCCGAGATGCCGCGCTTTGCCTATGGAGCAAGTCCTCCAATCTTCGCACACGGCTCTCCGCCGTCTTGAGCTTATTCTCGAGCTTGGACTTGTCGTCTTGGAGGCTGCGCAGCAACTCGTCATCTCCACGGATCATCAAGCCACTTCGTCCAAGGGCGGCTTCGTGGACACTACCATTCTTGAAGGCCTTCAACCTCTTCGACTGCTGCTTCGTGGGGCTGCTCAACTCATTCACAAGCTTCATCACATCCTCGATAATATCCACTTCGGCTTGTTGCTTCTGAAGGTGCTCCAGGAACTCCTCCAGATCGCGCTTGACCATGCTGGGCCAGATTTCCTCTTCGCCGAGCAAGTTGACCTCCAGCCCAAGTACGTTTGCTTCGGTCTTGTCCGATCCGTACATGCTGCCAACCATCTTGTGCCATTTCCTCCGTCTCTTTGACTCTTCATCCTGGAACAGCGCCATCTCGTTGGCCAGTGTCGACGAATCCGTCTTGATCTTGTCGGACCACTCCCGGCGACGAACGGCTTCGGAGACGAAAGAGGCGTACATGTATGGGAGCTGGTGGATGAGACGCAGATAGTCAAAAGTCGTCATGTCGTCCTCGGCTTGGTTCAAGACATTAATCTGATTTTTAACGCTGCTGTGTAATGTGGTGATCTCGGTGATGTTGCGCATAAAACTAACTGAATCGGCCGATATCGTGTTCCGCGCCTGCGTGACGTAGAGCAGCATATCATCCATCTCCGCGGAACGTTTCTTCAAGCTTGGAATGAGGCGTGACGTGTGGTTCTCCGCCGTCCGCGAGGCTTGAAGGACGTTGGGCTGCGTATCCTGGTACTCCAAGACGATGTTGTAATCAGTCTCGATCTTCTTGGCCACGGCTTCGACATCCTGGAGCAACTCCTCCGCCTCGCCACTATGCGACAGCGCTGAGCGACCAACGAGGTTGTCAAAGTCTCCTATCAGCTGCTCAAGTCCGCCATACATCTTGCTCGCAGCCTTCTCCAGATCCGTCGCCTTGGTCGTGAACTTCTTCAAGGACGTCGGCGCCAACCGTCCAGACTTCTTTGCAGTGTCGTTGTCAATCAGGTCTTCCAGCGTGGTCGGTTTCTTCTTGAGGTCTCTGGAGGTCATGAAGCGCACCATGGCAGCAGAGATGGGCACACTGCGTGCCACGGTGAGATAGTTCTCCCAGTTCTCGGCGAGCTGGTCGTACTCGCCCAGCGCAGGCTCCACCCATTTCTTGAGCTCGGCGTACTTGGGTTCAATCTGTTTCACACTAATCTCCAGATTGGCCACGGCCGCATCGAGGCATTTGACCATGACGTCCATTTCGCTATACATCTCCTGAATCTCGGCCGCCATACGTGCCGAGTCGTCGACGATGCCACGGGCCCATGCCTGGCGCTCCTTGTAGAGGGCCTGCCATTCTGATAGAACACGAATATTGCCGATGTAGTTGGGGGCGTTCGGGACAGTGTAGCGCTTCGGAAGTGGGAGCTCGGACTTTGGGGACGAGGCGGCGTTGGGGGAGTTCGGTTGCGATATTCGAATGTCGTAAATGTAGATCTCTGTCTGCGCCCCAAATGTCAGCAAACCCGTCCCCCTCCCCTACCAGTAGATAGAAGGGCATCATACCTCTTGGTGAAGAGTCTGAAGCTTGACACTCCGACCTTGGGCAGTCAAAGCAACAACCTGGTGCGCCGGAATCGACGTCTGCCTTGCGATCCAGGCTTTGAGGTCATCGAGCCTGCGAATGAAACTGTCAGTCTGCTTCTCCCGGTCTCACGAGAGGCAAGAACCTGACATACGCAGAAAACTGTGTCGTGTCCACCTGCAGGCGCTGGCCCGTATGGGCTATCAACACCTGCGTCGCCATCCCCGGAACATCTCCGAAGACGAGAAGAGCTGCGACAGCTAGCCTGCGGTCCGGTCTTCGCAACAGTAGTTTGGAGGTTCGGCGTAGCTATGTAGTAGAGTCGACAAAGGCTGTCCGTCGCCTGGTAAATCGTATGATGCGCGCACAACACTCGCGGTTGTCGTTTGGATCGTAGTCTCGACGTCGTCGTCGTTGGCGAAGGATCGGGGAGAAAGACAGAGGTATGCACCAACAGTGGTTGATGCAAAAGCGCAAAGGGTTCGTTCGCCAGGTTCCAAGACGTGACCGCTGAGGCGCCCTCCGGAGCTCGTGCAGGCTGCAAACCCGCTAAAAACCTTTGGGAGGCATAGCGTGACGCCGCCTCGTGATGTCTCGAGTCATTTGATTGGATACTCCTGGGGCATCAGCCACTGATAAGATAACGGCTGCCAGGATGGGGCTGACAATGGCAGGCACAGCCGCCACAACCGCCACAACCTTCCCCGTCTTTCCATTCTCAGCTCCTGCCCTGCTCCACTGTCCGGATCCGAAACCCAAGGCCCGCCGGATTTCCGTGAGTTCGGGGGGTTTGAATGCGATTTTGAGTGAGAGTCGCGCGTCGCGTCCGGAAGGCGGGGCGGTGACATTTCGGATACGGGAATCATTCATCCCATACAATTCTGCCATCTGATGGTAGGTAGAAGCCACTTTCGATCATGGATGAGCCACCTAATCGAAGCATCTCGAAAGCAAACAAAGCCGACGAAGTGTCCGCTCTGCTCCTTTCAAAGGACGAGCAGCGCGTCCTAGCTCTTTACGATGAACTTCGCGACCTCGAGATCAAGGTCGCCTTGGTGAAGGCGCAAAAGAGCCATGTCTCAGGTACACATCCCGTCTCAAGACCATCGACAGTATCAAGTGCACATTGCTGACAGGCAAGAATAGACTCAACAACGCCAAGCACAGAAGAAAACGTTAGAAAGGCCCAGCAGGACGCGTCAACGGCGCGTGCGGGATGGCTTCTACGGAACAACATTACAGACAGCGTCATGACTGCCAACCCCATGCTTAAAGCCGTTCATGGGAGTACACAGTCAACGCCCATTGAAACGTAAGCTCATTATCAACTCGACGCTCGCAAGATTCCCATAATTACTTCCTTGATGAATCTACCTATGAATTTGGCATTTGAATCCTAACACGAAACAGTGACCTCCTACCACACATCCACTCCCGCGACAATGTCTCCGTCGCCCTCGCCAACAAATCAAACGATATCCGCAGCCTTGTCAATCAGCTGACCGAGGTGGAAGCCGAGAGTCTGCGAGTCGGCCGGAAAAACGTCGAGCTCACGGCCGAGATCCTCAAGCTCACCAAGGACGCGGAAAAGAGAAGAGCGGGCGAGGCCGACGACCCCGCCGTACAGGCGGAGATGGCCAGACTCCAGGCCGATTTGAAGGCGAGCAGACAGCGGTGGAAAGTCATGAAAGGCACGGCTAGCGCTGTTGTCGTCGGCAGCGGCGTGGACTGGTCCAGAGACGAAGCGCTGCAGGACGTGGTGTTAGACCCCGAAGATGACGAATAATGAAGACTTGCTAGACTTGGAGGCGAGAGGTGGCCACGATGCACAAGGGGCAGGGCAGGTAAACGCACTTGATACCACGAGAAGCTCCGGGCAGATGCCTATGGTTCAGGTATGGACATGTCCATAGGGAGCACTCATGGGCCTATCTGACCCTGGCCACATGATATTAGGAATCAAGGCTCTCAGATGGTGCCGATTACAACGGCGTACTAACGACGATTATGGGGATTCTTCAAATGGAGTGGACCGAAACCAAGTCCTCAGTACCTCGAAATATTCGCTTCAACCAGCCCTACGCCGGACGTATGCAGGTACGGGCCCTCATAGGCTCAGTCAAGTCGTGACAGCGGCTCGGGTTGGCTGGGCAGACGGATGGCCTTGCCAGATCACGGTGCTCGCCCTGCCCTGCGCAAGATCGAGTTACTGTTCCTTATAGCACAGCACGGCATCGGCACATGAGGGCACTTTTGATTTCCAAGCTCACCTTCGGCCCCTGCCGCCTCCACACGATTTTCACCACTCACAAAGGCTCACGAAACTGGACAGGGCTTAGCGCAAGTCGGACGCTATGACCACGGGAAAGTCGAATCACGTGGGTGAGCTTGGCTCCGAAATCTGCTTCTTTGGCCAATGCTTGAGCTCCATCAGCTGCTCTCTGTATCCGTATCGGTAGAAACTCTGAGATATCAAAAGATTGACATTTGTTTGATGAAACGCGTTTCAATACTTTGGAGAGGAGTTGAGAAGGGTGACGGGGGCCTAGAGTCGTTGCAATGTGCTCATTTTCCTCGTTTATGGTGACTTTCACGCATAAAATGTCAAGATTCTTCAAGAGGTCCTGCACGTTGAATAACTTGCGCGTTGAGCTATACAACGCGTTTCGCGTGTCCATTTTATGCCCTGACAGTGGATGACTCATGCCTTTCTGGATTAGATAATCAATGTTTCTCAAAGTCCCTCAAGAAGAGGAGAGAAGGAGGGAAAATTGGACTGAAAGTAGGGGGGAGCTTTGCACTCCCCGTCAGTCAAGCTCTGTGTCTGCTGCGACAGATCAGCCAGGAGGCCCAGGAGGAGTGGAGCATGGGCTCGCGTTGAACTACACAGTCTGCACTACACCTCAGTCCCCGACTCTCCATGTACCTCTCGCGTGCAGGTCCTAGGCGTGAGCAGCAAGAGTGTTTGGCTTGGGAGGGGGTGTGTGTGGTGTGTGGGAGAGAGTGATTGAGTGAGAAAGTGGGAGTCTTCGGTCAGGGAGGGCCAAATTTTTGCCGGGGGACCATCAGGTACAGCACAGTACCAGCAAAGCAAAGGCAACCAGACCAGCGAAATTGCCTGGCTCCGTGTATCCGCTGCAAGTCGTCGGTACTTTGCGCACTTTGTTCGCCAGCCCATTACCACCGCCTTCCCAGTGCCAGCCCAGCCAAACAGGGAACAAGCGGGCAAAAGCAAAATGGCTGGGCCCGGCGGCCCTGACTGGAATGGTGAAATGGTGCGGCAACGCCCTCCTACTGGAGCGCTGGGCAGACACGGCTCGTCTGGCCCATGGGCAAAACTCGCTGCCGGCTTGCCAATTTGCAGAGGAGACCTGCATTGGGCGTCTTGGTTGCGCGTTGGGTGCATTGGAGCGGGGGACCGTCTCGATTGTCGTTGCAGGCATTACCCAGTCTTATGCCTCAAGGTACACGAGACGCCCGCACACATTGTGCGCATGACGAAGTATTCCACCCTTCTTTGACGCCGGGAGCGTTGCACCGCCTGACTGCTGCCCGCTTCGTGGTGTGTCGGTGTTAGAAGATGTAGAACAGAGACGAGATAGACACGCCGCTCGCCGTCGGTCTTCGGTCGCCGTGCAATCGTCAAGCTCCGCAAATAGTAACGCGGCTCATTCTCCGCTATTTCATGTGGTGAAGCTTGCTGGTAGGTATCATAGTTGAGCAAACCGGCTATCGTAGCCTTGATATGAGCGTAGGACCCAGTGACAAAGCTGATCGCTGAGTATTTCTCCGTACTGGCTCAGCTCTCAGTCGATCACCTCGAGATGAGGAGCAACATACACAGTCTACGCCATTTGCGGATATTGTTAGGTACTACCTTCGCTGCAGAGAGCAGACTGTTCTCCGGGTGTCCAACAATAGACACAACGGAAAGCGGACGTAGAATTCGACGACAGAGGCGAGGGGTGGGGAGGTCCCAAGTGTACCGTGAGCTGCCCGTGAGGGGTGATTGGGCGCAATCGCCCAAGCTGATTCCGGACTTGGTGGACCGCGTTTGAGGTACTTTGGGCTAAGTAGTGGTACAAGGCAATCTCGTATGACAGTACATGGGGCGTATGCATGAATCAAGTACCTAGATTCCGTTTCGGCCAGCTTGAATGCGATCCCCATCAGTCATCATGACTTCCGGTCGTTCCAATGTCACATCTCCCTGAGCAACGGCGTGAGGTGCTGCTGCTTCACGTCACGCCTCGTCAGCCGATGCTGAGTATACGCCTCTGTGCACACCAGCCGAAAGTGCATGTTCCTGCCTCAGTTTCGTGGACGAGGACGACTCCTGCGTGGATACCTCAATAGCGAGTTGTCTACAAGAAGCGTGTTGCTGTAAGCTTCCCTTGGGCTCAAGAGCTCTCCAAGTCGCGCCGAGCTGGTGACTTCGCGCCGGAACTCAGCTAAATGGTGTGGCAATCTGTGCCGCATATGAAAAACCACCATTGGGTCTGCCGTATGTATCTCGTCTAACCACGTGGACCAGCAACCCAGGGCGAGCCGGACACGGAGCGTTTGTCGAGAACTCTGAGCCGACGGTACCTGTAGACTTTGGTCCTCTTTGGAGGCGATGTCCTTGGGTGTTGATAGGACAAGCCACTTTGAAGAGGGGGAATGCCGCAAAGTGTGTCGAGTGGTGTTTTAGTGTGGATGAAATTGCGCAGCAACGTCCAGGAAGCAGAATCACTTACACAGTGTGTGAACGTGTAAGTCAGCTTGTTCCCCCATTCTCCAAACATTGAATCCTCCACACCAAATGTGCTCCATCGGTTTCCCAACATTCATAATTCAGCCGGCCGAGCCTTGTTGTCTTGGTAAACAGCCGAAAGTTGCGAAGGCTTGTCAGCGGAAGACGCTAAGGAGACAACGTCGCGAGCATGAGGTCACTAACACCCACAGCCCCAGCAAAGTGCAAGTGATGGGCATGTTAGTGTGTCCGAAGTATAGGTTGTCTGCCATGGCGAAGGTTTGCTTTGATGGCGTGGGAATTGATGTCGTCTCACAGTAGACCTAATTCAGGTCGTGCAGATATCGAATTCTGCGGAGAGTATGGGAGAAGAAGCTTCGACTGTTGTGATCGACCACCCAACATGCTGTACCGAGAAAGGACGACTACCTGATTGAAGAGCAGCCAAGGTGTATGGAATAGGTATCCGCAACTACCTTGAATTGAAGATGTCGAGGCAACGCTGGCTACTGGACTTCCGTCTTCCCCGTATGGCGCTGTCGGTCTTCAATGTCTGACCGATGTACCTACGGCATGTCTAGCGAACGGGCCCTTGCTAGCCTACAGGCGGTAGGGAGTATCGTAAGTATCTTAGCGCTCATGAAGATGACGGAGAACTGCGTGGTCCAGGCCAAGTGCAGACGGACAAAGCAGGTGTGCCACTGCAACGACTGTACAAATCCACAAGGTCGTCAGACGTCCCTTATGCTGTCAATGCCTAGTGATATCGCATCGCTGTCGTATGAACTATGAGGGACGGTATAAGTAGCAGGGTATGTCAGGCTAATGGTGCATGCGCAGAACTATCCCCAAATGAATGGGCGAGGACTGGTGTTGAAGATGGAAGAAAGCAGTCGTGGGTCCAGATGATACCTACTTGTCGATGGTATGGTGGTGTATGTGGATGGTGACCTGGGATTCGTAGAAATGGTGAAGCACGAAGGGCATGACGAGCCAATACTCGGTCTCTCAGTGCCAGGAACATCAGCAGCCAGAAGCGGAGGGGAAGGGATTGGGAGTGGGAGTTGCAACTTAGACGGGAGTCTTGGACTGGAGCTGGTCGATGGGCAGGAGATGGTCCGTGTGGATGGTGACAGGAGGAAGTGAAGGTGGGGTAGGTAGACGGAAAGCACGAGATGCTTCAAAAAGAAGACTGGAAGACGAGGCAGGGCTCAGGAGCAAGACTCAACCGCACCTCACCTCAGACATTGGCAAAAAGCCCGGCACGTAACCGTAGACTGTACGAAGCGGAGACGGAAGGTGCGACAACTGTAAGGTATACAGTACGAAAACAAGAAATCAAGTCAAGGTACAAAGCAGAAGCACAGTACTTCGGTGCGGAGTTTTGCGTGCGCATTGTACCTGTACAGTACCGCACAATAATAGCAGCGGCACCACCACGAGCAAGGACTGTCCGAGGAAGGAGTGACGAGATGGATGGGAAGCGGGCGACAAGCAGACCAGTCCCGACGGAACAAAACGACGGAAGGCAAGAGAAGAGCACAGGAGGGCAGGAACCACATGGATGAGCCAGATCATGCTTCTTTTCCCTGCTTCCGTTACCTGGCCAGGTACGGTTTTGGCCACGGCTACAACCACCTGTACGCATACACCTGAAGAAGCTAAGGCCATTGGCGCCTGCCTGCCTGCCTTGCAAGTAAGTTGTTGCTTGATGATATCGCTCCTTCCTTCTCCATCGCATTGCCGGCGCATTCGTAACTTCTGGTCGCGCATTGTCCACGCCTGACTTGGTCTGGTCTGGTTCCGCAGCTTGATCTATTACCGTGGAATTGAATGACCAAGTGAATTGGTTGCGTGCGGACGCACTTGCATCCTAAGGTGAGGTATCCGTAAGGTAGGGAGGTATCTTTCCGTACTGACCAAGGTACTGGGATACTTGTGAGAATGTATCCGTAGCTGGCCGCTTCAAGGTGTGTAGTCGTTGTCCCCTGGCAGATGCGACGAGCAGGAAGGGGGTAGGCGGAAGGCGTCAAAGGAACGTGAGGTACTTT